TGTGTGTGTGTGTGTGTGTGTGTGTGTGTGTGTGTGTGTGTGTGTGTGTGTGTTTCTTCATGGCATTTGATTGCGTACAGAAAAGTCAGCGCCGTCAGGCCTGTAAAAGCGTTGGCGGAAATGCTGGTGATCTGGTTGTCATTTAACCACCTGCAGATAGGGTCGTAAACGAGTCAGCCCTTGTATGTTAGTCGTCCGATCTCTGCTTACAATTCCTTCAGCGCGCTCAGGTCTGTGAATACGCCTGCAGAAATGCCGGTAATCTGATTGATGTTTAGTCGCCTGCAGATAGAGTCGCAAACGAGTCAGTCTTTGCATGATTCCTCATGAATTTACTTGCTTACAATATTTTCAGCGCGCTCATGCCTGGGAATGCGTTTAGAGCAATGCTGCTGATCTGGTTGCTGTCTAAACTTCTACAGATTGTCACGAATGAGCGCGTTTTACGGGCTTGACCTTTCATGACTTGGCTGGCTTACAGGTAGGTCAGCGCAGTCAGACCCGTGAATGCAGAGGCGGATATGCTGGTGATCTGATTGCCATTTAGATACCTACAGAGTCGCAAACGAGTGAGCAGTTTGGGCTTGATTCCTCATGACTTTACTTGCTTACAATATTTTCAGCGCGCTCATGCCTGAGAATACGTTTGGAGCAATGCTGGTGATCTGGTTCCCGCTCATCTGCCTGCAGATAGAGTCGCAAACAAGTGGGCCGTTTGAGGGATGCTTCATATTTCTGCTTGCTTACATGTTCGTCAGCTTCGAAAGGTCTGTGAATGCGTTTGCAGCAATACTGGTGATCTGGCAGTTGTACGAATTTCTACAGAAAGAGTCACAAAGAGTGAGCCGTGTGTGTGAAGTGATTCTTCACGACTGTGTCTGCTTACAAAAGATTCAGCACAGTCAGACCTGCGAACGAGTTTGCGGAAATGCTGGTGATTGGGTTGAAGAACAGGTGTCTAGTGTTGCAAACGAGTGAGCTGTTTGGTGCATGATCCTTCATGACTTTTGCTTGCTTACAATTCTGTCAGCGCAGGCAGATTTGCGAATGTATAGTCGGGAATGATGGTGATGTTGTTGTTATTGAGTTGCCTGCGGATTGTGTCACGAATGAGCGAGTTGTATGGGTTTGATATGTCTTGTCGTTGCTTGCTTACAAATCAGTCAGTGCAGTCAGGCCAGCGAACGCGTTAGCAGAAATGCTGGTGATCTGGTTGAAGCTCAGTGTCCTATCGCCCAAATGCCGAGTCAGGAGGGCAATGCTTCGAGGCAAGGTCAACTCAACAGCAACTCGTACAATTTTGTTGTGTCGACTGGGATTTCGCTTGGAATGGCTGTGAGATATTTGCTTATGCAACTGACACCAGTTCCCGTGCAAGTGCACACTCCGCCAGAGCCACATGCATTGACTGCTTGTGTCAACTGGGCATGATTGAGAATCACGCCGAGCAGCAACACTAGACCAAAGGTCGCCCTTTTTGACATCTAAGATACTGCGGATCAGAGACATGTCCAGGGTGAGCTCGCGGCATTTTCAACAAACATTCAAGCCCGTGATATGTGTGTGTGTGTGCATGTGTGTGTGTGCATGTGTGTGTGTGCATGTGTGTGTGTGTGTGTGTGTTGCTCCACAAAACACAACAAGCGTGTTGTCTCTCTCTGCCCCCCCCCTCAAATCCCAGCGCGCGCGCTTTCTTGCTCGCTTCCACTGTGTTCGTTGACAACAATGTGCCTTCAGAAGAGCGTGCGCGCGCGGGGGGTGAGGGACGGCCAGGTGGCGATCAGCTGGGTGGCGCTTTGCGGTTTAGCCCGAGCGAGCTCAGGCCAGTCGGTCGGCAGAGGCCCTGCTGCTCTGGCACTTCCTCTTCTTGAATCGGAGCGACTGTGCTGCACAAAAGAGCGCATCGGAAGCGGGGGGGGGGTCCGGAGCGACAGAGAAACGACACGCAGGCAAGCAAGCAAAGAGCATGAGGAGGTCCCGACGGCTTAAGCGCTGAGACCCCCATCCTGGCCTTGTCGCCTGTTGGACGACCGCATTATTATTGGCGACGTGCGCAGAGCGGCTGTCGATCACGGCCAAGGCAAGCGAGGGGGTGGAACGAGGGGCAGTGGAGCGCTTCTCGGCTTTTGGCTTACTTGTGTCCGCCTCAAAGATCAAGCGAACAAAAGGGTGGACTGGCGACCTGTTTCGCTTCCTTCACCAACATGAAAAGCTGGGCAGAAGGGGGGTGTGTTGCAAGAAGGGACGTTTGATTTCAGACTACGTGAAACAAAAGGGGGGACCAGGAGGGGTTGTTTGACAGGACGATGATAGAAGGAAAAAAAGGGCAGCCAACTGTTTGGTCTCAGCAGAGACGCGCGCATCACATCCGACTTTCAGCATGCTCTTGATCAAGATTTATTCGCTATTGTCGCTTCTGACATTCATGGACAGGCAGACAAGCAGCACTCTCAGTCCTTTTGCACCATCCAACTTTGCAAGACTTCAACCCCACTCACCCGTCGGTATCAAGCAAACTTCACGTCAATTCACCCCCCCCCTTTTGAACCAACATGGCCAAAGTGCTCTGCGATAACAAGGGCTGCGGGAAGGGCTTTGATCCAGGAACCGATTCATTGATTCGCATCTGCACTGGCGGAACAGCACTCAGCGCACTCAAACGACACAATCGACGCTGAGAGAAAGCGAAAGACAACGTGTTGTATTCAACAAACAGGCACAAAGCAACTCAATTTGACACGAAAATCGCGGTGGATGCTTCACAGCATGGCACCGATTTCACGAACGGTCGTCCCATCTTGGAGCGCTGTCAGGGTTCGGACAAGCTGAGCAAAGGTCGGACGGTTCTCGGGCGAAAGGTCCCAACAGCTCATCATCACATTGTAGAGCTCGGGCATGCAGGTCTGTGGCATCGGCAGTCGACCGCCAGCTTCGACATGAGCCAGAGTCTCGCGTCCGTCCATGTCGCCGTACGGTTTTGCACCGTAACTGGAGCATTCCCCTACCAACATGCACCAAGTAAAAAGTCAAATCTCAACTCAACGCAAGTGTGCACATTTCAGCAAAACACTCCTCTACTCACAGGCTGTGACGCCAAACGACCACACATCGGACATGGACGAGAACTTTCGGAAAGTCAGCGTTTCCGGTGCCATCCACTACAAATGCAAAGTTCAACAAAATCAGTATAAAAGAAAACCGCAAACAACAACCCCATTCACACCCTCAACTCACCTTCACGGGAAGCTTGCCACGCGTCTGGATGCGATAGTAATCGTTCTCGGAGGCCATCTCGCGAGAAAGCCCGAAATCGGCAATCTTGACCACCATTCCTTTGCCAACAAGGCAGTTGCGCGCGGCGAGATCACGGTGCACAAAGTGGAGCGTGCCCAGATACTCCATGCCAAGTGCAATCTGGCGAATGGCATGCACCTGCTCGTTCGGTGTCCACCAAAGCGAGTGGACTTTGGACTTTTGCAGCAGTGTACGCAAGTCGCCGTACTGCACAAACTCGAGCAGAACGAGATGGGGCTCGGACTCGACCAGAGCCGCAAGCAACCGCACGACATTCGGATGCACAAACGGCGCCATCAACTTCGCCTCGCCTTCAAAGTCCTTGCGGGATTTCTCGTCTGCGTTGGACTTGAGCGACTTGACTGCCACTTGCACAGTTTTGGACGCCGTTGGTCCGAGCAAGGTTTGAGCTCTTGGGGGCAACACGTTGAAAGGCACCTGACCCAGTGCCACGTCGCCAAAGTTCCCGCTGGCAAGGTGCTTTACAATCGTCAAGCCATCACGAATGCGTCGAGAGTTGCTGCCAGAGGCGTAGACGCTGGCATCGTCGTAGACGCTGGCATCGTCGTAGACCGCGTCAGTCGCGATGGCTTGGTACAGGGATTCTGGCTGCTTTTGGCCGACCACGTCGTAAACTGAGCTGTCGTCCTCTTTGTGAGATTGAGTCACACGGGGAAGAGGGGAGATGGTCATCTCAACAGCCTCCTGGTAGATCGGACCACCGGCAGAGTCCTTTGCAGAGTCCTTCGGTCGCATGCCTGAAGAACGGCGTTGCGATCGACGACGGCGCAGCACGATGAACACCACTGCAATGATCGCAACAACGGCAACAGACACAACTGCAGCAGCGATGGCAGCCACTGGAGATGAGGATTGGGAGCTGGCGCGGAGCTGCGCAATGGAGGATGCGACAGATGCAGCAGAAGCCGATGCGGTTGACGCAACAGAAGCCGAGAGCGCCGAGGTAGCGGAAACATCGGAAGCAATAGATGCAGATGACGCGCTTGCAACAGATGCAATTGACGCTGAAGATGCTGACACGATAGAAGCAAAGGATGCCGAACTAGCGGAAGCGTCAGAAGCAACCGATGCCAATGATGCGCTTGCAGTGGATGCAATAGAAGCAGAAGACGCGGTAGCGAGGGTAGCAAAGGACGCCGACACAGTTGAAGTGGCGGAAACAAGAGACGCAATTGAGGCAGAGGCGGCCGAAGCAGCCGAGGCAACCGAAACTAAAGTAGCATCGAGCGCTGATGCGACTGAGGCGATTGACGCAATCGATGCAAAGCTAGCTGAGACAATGGAGGCAGCCGAGGCCAATTGCGCGGATGAGACCGAATCGACGGAGGCGATCGATGCTTTGATAGCAGCTGACGCAGCAGAAGTGACTGAGGCAGAGGCGATCGATGCAACCGAGGCAACCGAGGCGAATTGCGTAGACGCGGCGGAAGCGGCCGAGGCGATGACAGCCAATGGGACACAGGATCCGCTCATCATACCATAACCGTTATAGCACTGAGTGCAGACAGCGGACGAAGTGCAGGTCAGGCAATTGGTCGCGCAACACGCGCCAGACCCAGCGGCATAGCAGGTGGCACAAGCTGTATCGCACGCTGCAATTTCACTGTCTATGAATAAATTGATCACACAGGACTTGACAATCAGCTCTGGAACTTACGGTAAGGATAGGACGCATTCCCGTATGTGCTCGGCGGAGCGACAGTGTTTCCACCAAATGTAAAATTGTTGGGGCTCAGAGATTGCGAAGAAGGCAGCGACAAAACCATGCCATTCTGCAAGCCCTTGAACAGACCAGGCGGCAAAGTGGTGGCAGGATTGTCATTCAACGTCCTGAAAAGACGGCAAAGTAAGAGGCGAATCAGGCACGAGCAGCAGGAGTTTCTTCTTACAAAGTAGTCAGCAAAGTGAGACCTGTAAATGCGTTTGCAGATATGGTGGTGATCTGGTTGTTGGACAGATACCTGGAAATTGTGTCACAAAAAGTGAGTAGATCGTGTGTGTGTTTCTTCATATCGTGAATTGCTTACAATTGCGTCAACAAACTCAGGCCCGTGAATGCGGATGCTGAAATGGTTGTGATCTGATTGCTCTGCAAAAATCTACAAATCGTGCCTCAAAATAGGAAGTTGAGCCAATTGGTCGATTTTTCATGGCTTTGCTTGCTTACAATTGTACCAGCGCGTTAAGGCCTGTGAATGCGTTGGCGGATATGGTGGTGATTCGATTGCCGTACATAGTCCTGCAGACAGTGTCAGAATAACGTGAGCCGCGTATGTGATTCTTCATGTCTGTATTTGCTCACAATTGTGTCAGCGCAGTCAGGCCTGTGAAGGCAGAAGTGGGAACGGCGCTCAACCAGTTGTTGTACAGATTCCTACAAAAAAGGCTCGCCAACAAGTGAGCCATTTGTCCGTGATTCATCATTGTAATTGCCTTAGTTACAATTGCGCTAGTGCAGGAAGGCTTGAGAATACATTTGCGGGAATGCTGGTGATCTGGCTGCCGGACAAATCCCTGCAGTCTCAAACGAATGAGCCGATGGTCGTGATTCCTGAAGTCTTTGAAGTTGCTTACAGCCAATTTAACGCGGTAAGGCCAGCAAATGCATTTGCGGCAATGGTTGTAATCGTGTTGTTGTTCAGATACCTACAGTCCATAGAGTATCACAAAAGCAAGTGAGCCATGCAGGTATGATTCTTCATACCTTTGCTTGCTTACAAGGCTTGCAGCGCAGTCAACCCTGCAAATGCGCTTGCAGAAATGGTGGTAATCTGGTTGCCGTACAGAGACCTGAAGCCTCACAAAAAGTGAGTCGTTCGCGTGTGATTATTCATGTCTTTGCTTGCTTACAATTGTGTCAGCGCAGTCAGGCCTGTGAATGCAGAAGAGGGAACGGTGGTGATCTGGTTGTTATACAGTTGCCTACCGAAATTGTCCAAAAGAATGAGCGACTGGTCGGTGATTCTTTATGTTTTGCTTGCATACAACTGTGTCAGCGCAGTCAGGCCTGTGAATGCCGAAGAGGGAATGGCGCTCAACCAGTTGTTGTTCAGCTGCCTACAGATGGAGTCGCAAATGAGTGAGCGATTCGTTTGTGATTCGTTGTGCTGTTGCTTGCTTACAAGAGACTCAGTTTAGAAAGGCCCGAAAATGCGCTTGCAGGTATGGTGGTGATCTGGTTGCCGTACAGCTGCCTGCACACGGTCTCATAAAAAAGTCAGCCATGCGCGTGTACTTCTTTGTATCCTTATGAACTTACAATTGGACCAGCGCGGTGAGACTTGTGAATGCATTGACAACAACGGAGGTGATCTGGTTGTTGTACAGCCACCTGCAGAAAGTGTCACAAAGTATGTGAGACAATGCGTAACAATTCTTCGTGTACTTATTTGCTGGCTTACAAGGCCTGTAGCGCTGTAAGCCCTGTGAATGCAGACGAGGGAACGGCGCTGAGCGAGTTGTTGTAGAGACTTCTACAGAAAGAGTCGCCGCACCCAGTGAGTAGTTTCCTGCTTTCTGAGGGTCGTCATGCTTTGCTTGCTTACAATTGTGTCATCGCAGTCAGGCCTGTAAATGCATTTGCAGGAAGACTGGTGATCTGATTGTTGGAAATATCCCTGCAGATGGCGTCGTGAGCTGCTTGTTGGCGCCTTTTCCAGTTTTTGCTTGCTTACAAGAGACTCAGATGAGTAAGGCCTGTGAATGCGTTTACGAAAATGGCGGTGATCCGGTTGCTGTATAGATACCTGTGGTTCGCAAACGAGTGAGCCAGGTTGCTTTTGATCCTTTTAGTGCTTCGATGCTTACAATTGTACCAGCGAACTCATGCCTGCAAATGCGCTTGCAGAAATAGTGGTGATCTGGTTGCCATACAGCTGCCTGCACACAGTCTCATTAAAAAAATCAGCTGTGTTCGCCTCTTCCTATTCTTGAATACTTACAATTGGACCAGCGCGGTGAGGCCTGTGAATGCATTTGCAGCAACGGTGGTGATCTGGTTGTTGTACAGATACCTGCATGTCACAAATGAGTCTTTCGCGCGGGATTCTTCGTGTCATTGGTTGCTTACAGATAAAGCAACGCAGTAAGGCCTGTGAACGCCGAAGAAGGAACGGCGCTCAACCAGTTGTTGTACAGTAGCCTACAAAAGGACTCGCGAACGAGTGAACCATTTGCCTGTGATCCGTCAAGCTTATGCTTGGCTTGCTTACAATTGCGTCAGTGCAGTCAGGCCTGAGAATGCGCCTGCTGGAATGCTGGTGAGCTGGTTGAGGGATAGATCCCTACATATCGAGTCACAACCGAGTGAGCCACTGCTCTGTGATTCTTCATGCCCTTTCTTGCTTACAGGTAAGTCAGCTTGGTAAGGCCTGTGAATGCGTTTGCAAGAATGCTGGTGATCGTATTGTTGAACAGACGTCTACAACAGAAACATAAAATTGTAAGCCGTTAATGTGCGATTTCTTCTTGTTGAGCTTTCTTACAGGTCCGTCAGCGCCGTAAGGCCAGAAAATCCGTTTGCAGGAACGCTGGTAATCCGATTGTTGTAAAGAAGCCTACGGTTCGCGAGGCAAATACGAAATACGTGAGCCACGCGTGTGCAATTCATGGGGTCTTTGGGGTCTGTGCTTGCTTACAATTGCGTCAACGCGCTCAGGCCTGTGAGTGCAGAGGAAGGAATGGTGGTGATCTGGTTGCCGTACAGTTGCCTACAGAGAGTGTCACAAAAAGTGAGTCATTCGATAGCGATTCCTTCGTTGTGCTTGCATACAATTGGACCAGCGCGGTAAGGCCTGAAAATGCGTTAGCAGGAACGGTGGTGATCTGGTTGTTGTACAGATACCTTCAGATAGTGTGACAAAAAGTGAGTCGTTCGCGTGAAATTCTCTGTGTACTACGTTGCTTGCTTACAAGTAAAGCAGCGCAGTCAGGCCCGAGAATGCGTTAGCAGGAACGGTGGTGATCTGGTTGGTGTCCAGACGCCTACAGAAAGCGCCCAAAAGAGTGAGCGACTGGTCGGTGATTCTTCATGTTTTGCTTGCTTACAATTGTGTCAGCGCAGTCAGGCCTGTGAATGCAGAGGAGGGAATAGCGCTCAACCAGTTGTTGTACAGGTGCCTACAGATGGAGTCGCAAATGAGTGAGCGATTCGTCCGTGATTCGTCGTGTCTTTGTTTGCTTACAAGGTATTCAGCTTAGAAAGGCCTGAGAATGCGTTAGCAGGAACGGTGGTGATCTGGTTGGTGTCCAGACGCCTACAGAAAGTGTTACAAGAAGTGAGTCGTTCGAGAGCGATGCTTCCGTTGTGCTTGCATACAATTGGACCAGCGCGGTAAGGCCTGAAAATGCGTTTATAGCAACAGTGGCGATTTGGTTGTTGTACAGATACCTTCAGATAGTGTTACAAAAGGTGAGTCGTTCGCGTGCGATTCTTCGTGTCCTTGGTTACTTACAAGAATTGCAGCGCAGTCAGGCCGGTGAATGCAGAAGAGGGAACGGTGGTGATCTGGTTGTTATACAGTAGCCTACCGAAAGTGTCCAAAAGAATGAGCGACTGGTCGGTGATTCTTTATGTTTTGCTTGCTTACAATTGTGTCAGCGCAGTCAGGCCTGTGAATGCAGAGGAGGGAATAGCGCTCAACCAGTTGTTGTTCAGCTGCCTACAGATGGAGTCGCAAATGAGTGAGCCATTTGTCTGTGTTTCGTCGTGTGGTTGTTTGCTTACAAGGTATTCAGCTTAGAAAGACCTGAAAATGCGTTTGCCGAGATACTAGTGATCTGATTGTTGTACAGATACCTTTCAGATAGTGTTACAAGAAGTGAGTCGTTCGAGAGCGATGCTTCCGTTGTGCTTGCATACAATTGGACCAGCGCGGTAAGGCCTGAAAATGCGTTTATAGCAACGGTGGCGATTTGGTTGTTGTACAGATACCTTCAGATAGTGTTACAAAAGGTGAGTCGTTCGTGTGCGATTCTTCGCGTCCTTGGTTACTTACAAGGTTTGCAGCGCAGTCAGGCCGGTGAATGCAGAAGAGGGAACGGTGGTGATCTGGTTGTTATACAGTTGCCTACCGAAAGTGTCCAAAAGAATGAGCGATTGGTCGGTGATTCTTCATGTTTTGCTTGCTTACAATTGTGTCAGCGCAGTCAGGCCTGTGAATGCCGAAGAGGGGATGGCGCTCAACCAGTTGTTGCTCAGCTGCCTACATGAGTCGCAAATGAGTGAGCCATTTGTCTGTGCTTCGTCGTGTCTTTGTTTGCTTACAAGGTATTCAGCGCAGAAAGGCCTGAGAATGCGTTAGCAGGAACGGTGGTGATCTGGTTCGTGTCCAGACGCCTACAGAAAGTGTCCAAAGAGTGAGCGACTGGTCAGTGATTCTTCATGTACTACGTGGCTTGCTTACAAGACTTGCAGCGCAGCCAGGCCTGAGAATGCGTTTGTAGCAACGGTGATGATCTGGTTGTTGTACAGATACCTTCAGATAGTGTTACAAAAGGTGAGTCGTTCGCGTGCGATTCTTCGCGTCCTTGGTTACTTACAAGGTTTGCAGCGCAGTCAGGCCGGTGAATGCAGAAGAGGGAACGGTGGTGATCTGGTTGGTGTCCAGACGCCTACCGAAAGTGTCCAAAAGAATGAGCGACTGGTGGGTGATTCTTCATGTTTTGCTTGCTTACAATTGTGTCAGCGCAGTCAGGCCTGTGAATGCAGAGGAGGGAATAGCGCTCAACCAGTTGTTGTACAGGTGCCTACAGATGGAGTCGCAAATGAGTGAGCGATTCGTCCGTGATTCGTCGTGTCTTTGTTTGCTTACAAGGTATTCAGCTTAGAAAGGCCTGAGAATGCGTTAGCAGGAACGGTGGTGATCTGGTTGGTGTCCAGACGCCTACAGAAAGTGTTACAAGAAGTGAGTCGTTCGAGAGCGATGCTTCCGTTGTGCTTGCATACAATTGGACCAGCGCGGTAAGGCCTGAAAATGCGTTTATAGCAACAGTGGCGATTTGGTTGTTGTACAGATACCTTCAGATAGTGTTACAAAAGGTGAGTCGTTCGCGTGCGATTCTTCGCGTCCTTGGTTACTTACAAGGTTTGCAGCGCAGTCAGGCCGGTGAATGCAGAAGAGGGAACGGTGGTGATCTGGTTGTTATACAGTAGCCTACCGAAAGTGTCCAAAAGAATGAGCGACTGGTCGGTGATTCTTTATGTTTTGCTTGCTTACAATTGTGTCAGCGCAGTCAGGCCTGTGAATGCAGAGGAGGGAATAGCGCTCAACCAGTTGTTGTTCAGCTGCCTACAGATGGAGTCGCAAATGAGTGAGCCATTTGTCTGTGTTTCGTCGTGTGGTTGTTTGCTTACAAGGTATTCAGCTTAGAAAGACCTGAAAATGCGTTTGCCGAGATACTAGTGATCTGATTGTTGTACAGATACCTTTCAGATAGTGTTACAAGAAGTGAGTCGTTCGAGAGCGATGCTTCCGTTGTGCTTGCATACAATTGGACCAGCGCGGTAAGGCCTGAAAATGCGTTTATAGCAACGGTGGCGATTTGGTTGTTGTACAGATACCTTCAGATAGTGTTACAAAAGGTGAGTCGTTCGTGTGCGATTCTTCGCGTCCTTGGTTACTTACAAGGTTTGCAGCGCAGTCAGGCCGGTGAATGCAGAAGAGGGAACGGTGGTGATCTGGTTGTTATACAGTTGCCTACCGAAAGTGTCCAAAAGAATGAGCGACTGGTCGGTGATTCTTTATGTTTTGCTTGCTTACAATTGTGTCAGCGCAGTCAGGCCTGTGAATGCAGAGGAGGGAATAGCGCTCAACCAGTTGTTGTTCAGCTGCCTACAGATGGAGTCCAATGAGTGAGCCATTTGTATCTACTTTTTCGCGTTGTGCGAGCTTACAGGTAAGTCAGCGCAGTCAGGCCTGTGAATGCGCTTGAGGAAATGCTGGTGATCTGATTGCTGCTGAGATACCTATCGGCCGTACACCAATCATGGGAGGGCAGAATCTTCAATTTGAGGTCAACTCAATCACAACTTACAGGATGGTTGTGGTCGCTGGGATTCCGGTTGGAATGGTCGTGAGATATCGGCTATCGCAGTTGACAGTAGTTCCCGAGCAAGTGCACACAGCGCCAGTGCCACATGCAACGGCTGCTTGTGCCGCCTGAACGTGATAATTCACGACGAGTAGCAAAAGCAGCAGACCAAAGGCAAGTCCTTTGGGTGTCATCTGAATAGCGGGAATATGGCGAGTTAGAGAAATTGACCGGAAACAGTGAGCGCACAGCACTTCAACGTTACATCGACTCTCCCGCAGCGTCACAGTGCTGAACGCCAGTTAGGTATATATAATAATGTGTATGTTTGTTAGAGCGTGTGGGTGTGAAGATGGCTTCAAAGCATTAAGCATTGCAGTTGCAGTTCTTTCCCACAACATCAAAGATTCTGCAACGCTTTCCCACAAGATCAGAACCCACTCTGCAACCCGGGGTGCGGGCCGTTCGCGCTCTCCCTGCGTAACCCCTCATGATCACTTCCACTGTTTGTTTTTTTCTTTTTTTCGTCGACACATCGCGCCTGCAGGAGAGCCAGGAGCAAGCGGCCACACATCAAGGGGAGGCGTTGTGTGAATGCGAATGTATTTCATGTTCGCTGTCTCTTCTTCAGCTTGGCTTGATCGGCTTGGTACAGCAGACATGACCAACTTGGTACAACAGAGCTCTTCAGAGCATTAGAGGCAGGGGGAGACAGCGACAGCGAGCGAGGGTGCAGGCAGAGAGAGCCATGCAATGTGATTCCAAAGCGCTCGGCGGCCACTCCTCGCTCGTCGACCCCACTCATGGCGGACGTTCGCGCCGCTCGTCAGAAGCAGTGGTAAAAAAGCGAAAGAAGACACTCGCATTTCTGGCTTTGATTGGCTTTCGATGATGGCTTACTTTTGGAAGCAAAGCGGCAAAAAAAGCAAAAGCCAAAAAGAAGGGGGAAAAAAATGAGAACACAAACCAAAACAAAGGCAAAACAATCAAGAATGAATGAATGAAAACTGATCCGTCGTTGTGGGAACGAAGCTGCTTCACTCTCTGGCGTTCATGGAGGGCGGATAACAGGACCCGAGCCGAGGGTCTCAAGATGCGGGATAGTGAAGAGATCACTGGAAATCCATCGGAAAGCCTTTTCAACACACAATCGGCGAACAAAACAAAACCCACTAACAATAGCAAATAAGGGTATTTCCAATGATCGGCTAAATGATCATGTATTTTGAGCCTGATAAGGCGCGCGGATTCGCACTCGATGCAGCAACAGGCACGCTACACGTCAAAACACCACCGCAAGCACATCGAAGTCACCGTGGTGGCTGAGACAGGCTCGAAGGTGGGCCTCAAAGTGGCTGTTGTTTTGGAGGTGCGGCTCTGTCCAAGTCGATATTTAGTGTAACCCGCTTCGATTTTGAGCCCGGTCTCGAGTGCTGGCTTCTCATCCTAGTACAGCAGTACGGCGGAACTCGTGCAAAGAGGACCAGAAAGTGACCCACGATGGACTCTTCGGTTGGACTGTTGGACGGCTATCTATGCAAAACCAGCAAGGTGTGGAACAGGACAAGCAAAACCCACTTTCACGCCCCTTCCGTTCAAGTCGACGGGTCCATCGACGAAAACATGCAGCGCTCTCAGGCACAGCAACGACAATTACAAACAAGGTGCAGTCACTGTCATGTGGGCTGCAGAATTCAAACGCAGAATTGTTTGGACGTCGCAGAGCCGGCGTGGCACAGCAACACGAAATCCAAGTGACAACGGCTGAACAGTGTTCAAAGAGTACAAGACACAAACGCCGGAACTTGTATTCAACAGACAGGCACAAAAGCAACTCAATTTTGCACGGAAATCGCGGTGGATTGCGGATGAATCCTTCAGCAACTGCTGCTGCCCAAAATCCAATTGAAAGCCGGAAATTCAGGTTGATCGTATTCACAGCATGGCACCAATCTCGCGAATCGTCGTCCCATCTTGGAGCGCTGTCAGGGTTCGGACAAGCTGAGCAAAGGTCGGACGGTTCTCGGGTGACATGTCCCAGCAGCTCATCATCACGTTGTAGAGCTCGGGCATGCAGGTCTGTGGCATGGGCAGCCGACCTCCAGCTTCGACATGAGCCAGTGTATCGCGTCCGTCCATCTCACCGTACGGCCTTGCGCCGTGACTGGAGCATTCCCCTACCAACCGAGCATTGTCGCAAGTGAGAAAAAGGGTTAACCGACACTGTTGCGATAGAGCCGCCGACTCACAGGCTGTTACGCCAAAGGACCACACATCGGACATTGAAGAAAACTTTCGGAAGGTCATAGTCTCGGGAGCCATCCACTGCAAGGAGAGCGCAAGTTTAACAAAATCAGTATGAACGCTGCCAGCGACAACACCTGCACGCACTCTTGACTCACCTTCACGGGAAGCTTGCCACGCGTTTGCATGCGGTAGTAGTCGTTCTCGGAGGCCATTTCGCGAGAAAGCCCAAAATCGGCAATCTTGACCACCATCCCTTTGCCAACAAGGCAGTTGCGCGCGGCAAGATCACGATGTACAAAGTGCAGCGTGCCCAGATACTCCATGCTAAGTGCAATCTGGCGAATGGCATGGATCTGCTCGTTTTTGTGTTTGAACTCATTCTAGATCTACTGTATCCACTTTAGCAAATTCGCGCTCTCTGAGACTCTTTCATATTTGCATTTCCCAACAACTTGAGCAAATTCGTGCTTTTCTGAGACTCTCTCAGTCTCACTCTTTTTTACTTGTGTGACTTTGCATTAGGAAATGGCTGCAGCTGCAGGGCGAGTGCTCCTGCTTGCCGACGACGCCGATGCCAGTCGCAGCGTGTCGCCCGCCGTGCTGCCTGCGCTCTGCTTTGACCGCAGCGCCTTCTTCCGCCCAGCCGCAGGACCAGGATCAGGACCAGGAGCTGCAGGACCGGTCGGAGTCGCGAGCCACGACAGCAACAGCACCCAGCCATCCCATCCCAACCAACCCGGCTCCGCTCCTCCGACTGCCAATGCTGCCACTTCTGATGCCGGTGCTGCGTTCCATGTCGAGGAGTTTGTGGCGCAGTGCAGGCAGCGCGTCTCGCTCGAGCTCCTCCTCGCCGATCTCCAAGTCTTCCTCGCGTCGCTCCACAGCGAACTCGTCGAGCTCATCAACCGCGACTATGCAGACTTTGTCAATCTCTCATCCAATCTGGTCGGAATGGACAAGGCGATCTCGGACATTCGCGCCCCGCTCTGGCTCATGCGCGAGGAAGTGACGGTAAAAACGCATCCTACTCTCGGATTCTGAGACTTTGATTCAATGGGGGGGGGATAATCGGGATGAGCAACCCGAAAGGTTGATCTTTGAGGAGGGAAATGTGCTTGGGTTGCCTCGACCAAATTCATTTCGTGATTGTTTGATGTGGCTTGTGTTTTTCCATCAGAACGTTCGTGCTGTCGTCGAAGACAGCGTCATGACCGTGCAGGCCAAGCTGGACCAACGCGCGGCCGTGCGTGAAAAGAAGGCAACTCTAACACTGTTTATCAATGTCTCGGCGTCGCTGGAAAAGATTGAAAAGCTGCTCGCGCCGTCTTCCAGCACTGCCGCATCTGCGTTGGCAGCGCCAGGAGCACCAGTAGACGAATCCACAGCAGCCATCACTGCATCCACTCGTCTCATTGAGCGTGTGGCAAGCGAGTTCAACCAGCTCCAATTCTACGTCTCCCAAGGCCGCGATCTTCCATTCATCCAAAATTTGCACAGCGTATGTCGTTGGTCTCATGCGAGTTTGGTTGCGATGCCACCGAGCCACTTGTCCTAACTTAGCCTCGTTCGTCGTGTTCCCGTTTCCAGCGCATCTCGTTTGTCACGAGCATTCTCAGTGCGTCCCTCGAACGGGGCTTTTTGGCCGCCTTGGATGGCAACGACAGAAACATGCTTACACAGTGCTTCCGCACGTACGCATCCATGGACAAGGCGTACGAAGCTGAAGCGTTGATTCGCAAGCACTGGGTTGCACCATTTCTACAACAGGTAAAGGTTGCAATTCACCATCTCTATTTGTGTGCCGCTGATCGCTGCCCAAGGGTTTGTTGTCCAACTGATTTTTGTGGCATTTTTTTTGCTTTGTCTGTTTCTTCGCAGACGATTAATGCAGTCAACCTGAACTCTTCCAATGGACTGCAGCGCATCTTTGAGAACGTTCTGACGTTTGTTGACGACCGCATCCGGCCGCTTGACGCGCTTGTTCTCGACACTGGCGCGCGAGGGTACGATCTGGTCGTGAACAGCGTGTGGCCAGAGATTGTGCATTGCATTTGCAACAACATTGCCAGTATTTTTGCACCTGCCATTCCCAACAACTTTCATCAGGTAAGTTTTCAAAAAAAAACCACGGCGCGTGAATGCGATTAGCTGATCATTTGGCGGTTGCATCCAGAACTTTGTCGCCACAACAGCCTTTATTCGTCAGCTTGAAGCCAAGTGCAATTCTGTCGTGTCTGTTAAACGCCTTCGAGAGCATGAAGCGAGCCGGCAACTGCAAGACAAATGGAATCTTTCCGTCTATTTCCAACTTCGTTTCCATGAGATTGCCTCCGAGTTGGAGACCGTCCTTCAAGCACAGCAGCAATGCACGTCCTCGTCACTAAAGCGAGCCGGTATGTGCTGCAAGAGTATTTTGTGAACGTAATGAGTCTGTCGGTTAATTCTAATCACTTTTGTGGTTGTGCTTGTCAGACGCGTCAAGCAAGTTTCATCTTCTTTCTACAGCAACCATGTGGCATACAATCACGTCTTGCTGGTCCCCCACTATTTATCTTGATGTTTTGAGCCATCGCATGTGGAAGCTCACATTGCAGGTCGGGTGGTTTGTTTGCTTGTTTTTGGTTTTTTTGCTTTTCGCAGCTTGTTGAATTTCTGCATGTTGACTTTGACTGCTGCTTTCTCCTCCCCCCCCGCGCCTCTCGATTCTCTCTGCCCAGCTTATTTCACGATACGCGGGATGGTCGCGTCAATCCGTGTCCGACCTGTCCACTCACCTGCAATCTGCTCTTCCGAACGACACAGGCGCAGTCGCGGACGGGACCCTGCAAAATGCCAAAAACCTCTTTGCCATTGCGAATGCCGACATCCAGGCGTGTCTCTTGGTGCAGTTGGATGTGACGAGCTGCATCGCGCAGCTGCCTGGGTTTGTTTCGACTGTCATCGAGCCAATGCTGCAGCAATCGTTCTCGACGCTGGAACAGGACAAGGTTGCCAATCTGAAAGGTAAAATGCCCCTTCATGCGAGCTGGCTTGATCTTGTGCTTCATCTAACGTTGCCTTGTACTTTTCTCGCCTTAAGAGTCCTTTGCCGAGTCGTACGGATTGTTGCAATCCACGATCGCACCAATCGAGCAAGTTGTCGTGCGCGCGTTAACTGAGGCCTGTACTTCTAGCTTGGCACCAGTCCGCGGTGTTAAAAGCGTCTACCGCATGACCAACAAAGAAGTGAGTCTCGCGATAGATGTAGTGTCGACTGTTGCGAATGTTGTTGTTGTCTCAATCTTTTGTTTGTTTCGTTCACGTCGTTCATAGATGCCCACCAAACCATCGACCTACGTTCTCCCCATATTCAAGCCGCTTGCCGTTCTGCTCTCGCCACTCACAAGCACCGAGGTGTCGCCGAACGCCCTGCCGCAAGAGACGGCGCGCCGCTGGATGACGCAAGTCGTCGAAACTGTTTCTTCGCGATTGCTGGAGATATGTCAGGACGAGATTGCAACAATGCGCAAGCGCGAGGATAGTTTGAGCAAGCTGAAACGAGGCAAAAAGTCCGTGGCTGGCGGCTTGGTTGCAGAAGTGACAGATACCGACAAAATCATTCGGCAGCTCCAGTTGGATACGGATGCGATTGCTGAGCAGGTTTGTGTTTGTCTGTGTCTGTCTTTCAGCGTTGTTGCGACGTGCGTCGTTCGAAACGGCCTCCCGCACGATTCTCACTCTGAATTTCTCTACTTGCCACAAAACAGATCGACGAGCTCGGTTTGGCCAGCTCTTCCATCGAGCAACTGCAAGAATTGCGCAATTGGCTCGCGACTGCTGCCAACGCACCACGCGAATCTGCCGAATAGTCTCGGATTCAAATTCGCCAGTATGTTGTTACAATATTAACTCGTTATTCGATATTTCCAATGGTGGTTTTTATTCAGATAAACAATTTTGTTCTAAATTATCCAACTCGTCACTTTCATCCCGAGTTGGTTCGGGCAACTACAGCATGGCCGTCTTTCTTGGCAGGGACCGACCCGGACGAAAGGGATGCTCGACGGCTCTTTGGTTCGAGGTCGGCAGTCGCCAACAGAGCAGCTAGTCGTATTCATAAACGAGGCAGTCAGATCAGATAAACGAGGCCATCAGTTTGATGCTCTGGAGCAGCCTCCCCCAAAATACACATTATCATCATCATCATCATCATCATCTTCATCATCATCATCATCATCATCATCATCATCATCATCATCATCATCATCATCATCATCATCATCATCATCATCATCATCATCATCATCATCATCTACCCATCTTTGTCACTCACCTTTCTGAAGCTCTAATGCGGACTGAAGGGCAGAAATCGTTGACTGCTGTTGGCGAACGAGCGACTCGAGATCTGCCATGCGCTGCTCGTTCATGGTCAGACGGACGCGATCGTTCTCCGAAATGGACACGAGCCTCCGATCGTAATCCAACGTCTCACCAGTCCAGTTGTTGGGTCCTGCGAAGGGAAAGGCAACGTTGCTGCCGTTCGCGCTGCCGCTGCCCGTGCTCGACCCACTGCTTCGGAAGCCCTTTTGGGGTGGTGCAAAGCCGCTTGTGCCAGGGGATGATGAGTACGTAAAGGACGAAGACGGGGAGCCTGGCGCATTGCCCGGAGAAGAGGCGGACGACTCGTACAACCCTGAACTTCGAAAGTACGACTGTCGCGCAGAGCTCGAGGCGCTGTTGCTACTGCTCACCGAGCTCTGTTGGCCAGGCAGGATGGCCAAAGCCGGGACCGGGACAGGAGCTGCCAAGTTGTGCACAGGCGCGCCTTCGAGCCCGTGTGCGGCAATTGCGTTTGTCACGGCCAGCGTCAGCGAGTTGGATCGCGAACCAGGTTGCGAACGCACGCGACTCGCCGCCAAATTGTGTCCGAGCGAGGCACCAAGCGATGCAGAGAGCTCATTCAGCTGGCCAGTGCTTCCACGCAGCGTGGACGAGGTTGCGTACATTCCAAATCCAGTTGGAAGGCTTTGCATGGGTGTAGAATGTGGCAAAATGTTGACAACCTCAAAGCTGGAAAAGTCGCCCGTTGAAGCAGCGTGGGTGAGTGTGTCCACCAGAGAGCTGCTGGTGCCACTGGCAATGGGGGTCGGATGAGACAGCGAGTTATTGCGCGAAATCTTGGAGGCAGATACAACCGGCGGTGGAGCCGGAGGAGGATGGGCAGTGTTGCCTCCCGCGGATGGGTTGGATGCGCTATTGTTGGGCTGCGGATTCGACGGGTTGGCTCCAACGACCGTCTCTTGCGAGCTTCGGCGGGAACCGACACTGCTGCTATTCTCCTCGGCATGTTTGGAGGTGGAATTGCTGTCTGCACCAAGGATCCACGCAGAACTGGCTGCCGGTGCCAACGGTGCTTGCTTGCTGCCGCTGCTGCTGTTGCTGCTGTTGCTGCTGTTGCTGCACGATGGTGCACATGGAGCTATCTCATTCATGACAATGGGAGATGTGGCAGAAACGGCCAGCTCGCGCGGTTCAGGTTCTCGAAGTAGCTCCATCAGCCGTTGCACCACGTCCTCCGGGAGTGGCATCGGTGCTGATCGAGACCATTTGACGTGGTGCATTTGGCTAGCATCGTCCTCGAACTCTTCTGCAATGCTCGTCACGCTACTACCACGGCTCAAGCCACTCATCGTGCGGTACGACAGGGGATGCGACGACGCGATAGGAGAAGAGCTGGCACCAATCAGTGCCGATACCGCGCCAGCCGCCAATGGAGGGCCGCGAGGGGAAGGTTGCGGAGATGCCAGAGCATAGAGCTGTCTGCGCACGGGCACCGAGGACGATAAAGGCCCTGAGGAAGATGCCAGAGACGACGCCGAAAGCTGCGGATGGTGTTGTTGTGGTGGCAACATTTGGTGCTGTTGGAAGAGCTGGGCGTCGCTCGGGGACTGCGAACGGATACTATTGGGGCTGCCGAGCGATGGTCTGCGATCGAGTTCTGTTCGCAGCGGTACCGACCGTTGCGATAGCGATTGGTGCAACGGAGGATGGCTCGTTGATTGCGATACAGCAGTGGGATTGGTACTTGACGCGTCGCCCTCTCCGTGAACCAAGGTTCGTCGAGGCGTCGACACGACCATGGCAGGCGAGACGCGCGAAGATGGTCCAGAGCTGAGCAGACTTGTGTCGCTCTGTGCAGAGCCCGGACGTTGGTTGAGGTCGACACTTGCGCCGAGTGCGTGCAGCACGAGCTTGTTGATCAGTGCGCCAGACTCGTGGTGATGCTGCTGCTGCTGCGGGTCGTGCTGAGAAGAGACGTCGTCAGAGTGTTGCAAACTCTGCTGCTGCGACGACTGCTGGTTTTGCAGCTGGAGCACGGCGCGAGCAGCATCTGGTGGAGCAGAAGAAGGTCTACTGATGGATTCTGCCAGTGTGGCAGGGAGACGAGAAAGGGCAATCTCAGATGGCTGAAAGGCAGGGGTCGGGTCGTACAAAAAGTGAGCGAAAACAAGGCAAAATCCAGCGTGATACAATCAAGAATCAGATTCTCATACCACAAGCTCTTGGAAAGGAGGATTGAAGATTTCGACAGAGAGCGGGCGTTTTCGACGATCTGCCAAGCGAGTGGCCGAAAGAGGCGAAGGGCTGGACAGCGAAAACGGCGAAGGGGGCTGCAGGTATTTTGGCACAAAACCAAAACAACAGAGAATGCAAACAGGCAAGTTAGGGAAAACTGATTTGACTGCCAACACTGCAAGTTGGGATGGAAATGTCTTACCAATGCTTTGCGCAACATCATGGCGAGACCAACAGTTGGAAGCGACGTCTCGGGTCGCGCAGCGCTTTCCTCGTTGACTAGACGCACTCCGACATTCTCGTAACTGACCGCGCCAGAAGTAGCAGCGTGTGCACTGGAGGCATCGCTTCCGGCCTCTGCGGCTCCAGGTAGAGAGAGCGACCCTTCAAGATTCGCCGACTGGAACGCGTGGTCCAGTTCGCGATGACGCTCAGCGACAAGCGGAAGTAAGCTGTATCCAACATAGTTCCAAGCATCCCATGGAACGTTGTCTGTTGTCCACGAGCCCGAGGAGTCTGCTGAGCTGTCTGTTGGGAGTTGGTAGTACTCAATGACGAGCGCGGCCGACTCGACGAAAATTTCGCTCTGAATGGCAAGATGAGCACATTGTTCAGTGGATAGGACGGAAACGGGTTTCAAAAAAGTAGCCAGCCTTGGGGAAAAAAGGAGAGAAAGGCATTGGCAGCGTGAAAAATGACTTACTTCGGCTTGAGTGAACAAAAAGACGTGGTTCCAGAACGGAAGATCGGTGGGGCCGACAGGAAGCGTCATTTGAGATGCACAAACGTCATGCTCAGTCTTGTGCAGGGCAACGTCAAAGGCAGATTCGGGATCGTAGCCAGGGAATTCCAATCGCTGGACTGGAAGAGCGGGCAACCCATCTGGATTGGAGAACATTTTGTTCGCAACCCGGTGCACGTACTGTCTGGAATCCTTGACAAGTTTGGCGGCGGCGAGAATTCGCTCTGATGTTTGGATGGTGCGTTGGAATCCCTGAGAACGCGGGGAAAGAACGGTGAGATGACATGTTTGGTTGTGAGACAAACGCGAATTCATCTCAACCCTCTCACCTTCAGCAGCACTTCCAGCGTAATTTGAACAGGAGAGGAAGTCTCTGCAGGTTTGGAAGTCACGATAACACTCAACACCGGACGCGGCGCATTCGATGACGTTGAGCTGACTGGAGCGACAAGATCCAAGTGATATCTGGCAGCGTCCCCCATTGAAAAACAAGATCAAAATCAGCTCCTTTCCTCCACACCCTGGCAGTCACAACAAAAAATCCAGCACAACGACAAGATTCGTACTGATGGAAAGGGAACAGGCGATGAACAGGCAGGAGGAACTTGGCGAGATACCGCTTGGTCGTGTTGTCGGCGACGGTCAAAACCACCCCTTCGCCTTTCGCAATGCTCTCCTCCGACACGCTGACGACCAATACCTCATCCCAAATGGGCGACCTGTGTGTCAACGCAGCGAGAATGAGCAAGTGTGTGGCAAAAAAAACATCGGAACAAGTACAAACACACTCCCATTCAAACTTACCGAGATGGCTCCGACGCATGGGTGGCAGAACGCGCAGGAAGCCGATCTTGAGCTTCTTGCTGAGTTTTAGCAGTGACAAATGCCGCGGGATACTGGTCTCCAGCTTCTCCAAATGCAGGGAGATGCCGGGCTCCATGAATGACAATAACAATGTCTCGCGTTTGAGGGGCAACCGTGTGAGCTCGATGAAATGTTCGAGCAAAGTCGTCTGCGCTGTATGAGGTTGGGGAGATGGTGTCCATCGCCTGGGCTGGCACGGTCAGCTGAGCGCCAGTCGTTGACTGGCCCGGACTCAAACCAATGGGCATTCCGTTTGCGTTGAGAATGACAGTGGGTGGTCCGACATTTGCGGCATCGGTCAGCGCTCGCTGTCGAGTGTTAAATTTGCGCGCTGCGCGGTTTTGGTTCCCAAAATTCAATCACAGCCAACGGTCAATCAGTTACAACGAAAAAATAAGGTGCAGCTAACATGTCACTCTGCCCCCAAAAAAGCGCAAACGCCTCTGAAGAATCTGCTTCTTACCGGGACCAGAAATGGTCGAGCGCGATTCAGTAACACTGGAACGGTTGCTGCCAGAAACGCTTGCGCGACCACTGTTCAGCGCCTCTGTGCTGCCAAACATATTTGGAGATTGACTGGCAAGGGAAGGCGTCGTCGGAGTAGGGGGCTGTGGCCCGCCAGGCGAAATCATACCGCTCGACAAGGTCAAAGCGGCAGGAAGTTTGGTCCCAACTTGCCGCGGTCGCTGCATGTTGAAACTCTTCCGCATATCGGAGGAGGGAGCTGAGGAGTTGCCGCCAAAAGATTCGGAACCAGGAGCAGGGGAGCCGCGATTGGTGGAAGAAAAGCTCCGCCGAGTGGGTGTTGGTGGCTGGGATGAAAATTGCTGCTGTTGTTGCTGCAGTTGCTGCTGTTGTTGCTGCTGCTGCTGCTGTTGTTGCTGCGATGAGGACGATGGCGAGCCAGTATCAGACATGCCGTACTTGTGAGCGGACGTGAAGGAGAGGCGGGCAGAAGATTCGGTGGAGCCTGTGCGACTGTGCGAGCGCTTGCTGGAATCGGCCCGATTGTCTCGCGGAGAGCTGGCCGAATAGCGCAAGGCTGTGCCCACAGTGGATACATCCACCTCGGCCATCGAAGGGGAGGCTTTGGACGACCCGGGCAGCTGAGAATGGTACACTGGAGAGCCAGAGTGCGCGTGACCAGCCTTGGTTGGGCTCGACGGGTCGAACGCAGGACTCATGCTCGAAGGCTGCTGCTGTGAAGCTGATCCACCCCCGGCGACATAACTGGAACGCGATGAGAAGCTCGTGCGGCCAGCAGGTGCACCGCCTGCGACTCCAGACGAGCTCGACGTAAAGCTTGCGTGGGTCGGAGTGCTCTGGCTGGATTGGGTGAAGCTGGAGCGTGTGCTGCTAGGTGCGGGGTTTGGGTCAATCACGGGCGACATCAAACCACGCGGCGAGCCTCCGCGACCTCCAAACACACCCGAGCTGGTGGCATTCGCCACTGCACTTGACAAGTTGGACGGAGTGCCGGCAGCAGCTGCTGCTGCTGCTGCTGCTGCTGCTGCTGCCGTGGCCCGCGACGAGCTCGCATGGCCCAGCACCTCCACAAGCTGCAGCTCGAGCTCAACCACGCCTTCGTAGACGAGCGGCTCTCGCGGGGAGATGAGATGCTCCCCACTGATGACCGGGACATGCAGAGCATCCGGAATTTGACTACCGCCCTGGGCCGAACCGTGAGGATGGTGGTACGCGCTGTGCGCATCTCGAGGAGGAGAGAGTGGGGAAGCGGAGCGGTCGCTTCCGCTGCTTCCACCGCCTGGGCTTCGTTCGTGAGGCAAGGCAAAGGTCGGTGAAGGTGACAAGGAGTAGTTTGCCCCTCGAGGAATGGCCAGACTGCTGCCAAAGCTCGTTGGGGTGCTGCTCGTGCTGCTGTTGGTGCTCGCAAACATTCCACCTGGCAGGCCGTAGGCCATGGGGTGGCTAGGCTGAGCACCGGGCAATGGCGAGGTCGCATGAAAGTTTAATCCTGCAGCGGCAGCGTAACCCTTGTTCTGAGCTCGCTCGTCGAGAAGCTGCAAAGTCAGCGTGGTCCGCTGCTTTGTTATCAGGTCTTGCAGACTCTTGGAGAGTGGAAAGGCGTGAGAGGCAACCCTGCGCACCGGCGATACGGGTCCAGTGCTCGCGCCGGGCAGTGGCGAGACGCCGGTCGCAGCAGCTGCGGATGCAATGGCGGAGGCTGCGGTCAATGATGGTATGGGCATGCTTGCTGTCGGTGTTGATGTTGCCGGGGTGGCAGAGGTGGTGACGGCGATGGCAGGCACGACAGCGCCATTCGCAGAAGCTACCGCGGCACCCGATGCCGATGTACTGGATGTATTGAATGGATTGGGGACAGCTGTCGCAACTGAACTGGACTCTTGCGACCCGCTGTGTGGTAGTGCGACTGTGCACGCCTCCACCAGAAGCACTGCTCCTTGGAGAGTGGACAGAATCGCAGCATCTTTGGGCGAGAGCGGCAGTGCTCCAAATGGATTGGATACGCCTTGGCTTGGCGCAGCAGCAGCAGCAACAGCAACTCCGCCATTCGTGCCAGGATTCATTGAACCCGACATTGGGGATATGCCTGCGAGCGTCGCAGTCGCGGCAGTAGCTTGTGCGGCAGCATATCCAGCCGCCGTCATGAGACTACCACTCGGCGCCGAGCCAGCCGAGCTTGATACACTCGCACTGAAATTGTGCGCTGGCAACCGGAATGAGAATCCACTGCGACGGAAGATTGGTGCATCCGTGTCCCGTACAACGTCCGTGCGCGAGTGAGACGCAGGAATGACGTTCGACCCGTCGGCAAGCGCCAGCTCGAGCTTGAAAAAGTAAGTGTCGCGAACGGACATCCGGACTTGGCCCACCGTGACTTGGAGCTCGGTTGCGCCAGTGCTCGAGCTTGAGCTGGAGCCTGCGCCCGAGCCAGCCCCAATCACAGCCCCTGCCGCTGAGCCTGGGCTTGAGGCCGCTGCAGCTCCAGCTCCAGCTCCAGCTCCGGCTCCAGCACTACTGTGGCTGCCTGGGGAGCCTGACGAGGCAGATGACATTTGGATGGGAGAGAGCGACCCGTTTGATTCGTCGGCTCAATGGAAACTCAAAGGAGACTGGAACTTGAATGGAGACTGCACTTTTGTTTTGGACTCGAGATGGGTATCAAGGACGAAGGAGTGTGAGTAGATATATGGGATGATTGTATTGTATTGCCCCGTTCGCTTTGGGGAGAGAGCGAGGAAATTTGGAGGATTGTGGAAAGCCAAACAAGTGGTCGACTTTGGGCGATCGTCGTGTCGAATCCGACCCGTGAAACGTCGCTCGCACATGGTAGAATTGGTGTCAAATATTGTTTTGTACTATAGAGTTGATTGGGGTGGAGTTGGCAGCGTTTTTCAAGGCGTTTGTGAGGTGTTGAAGCGTTAACCAAGATTGCACGCGTTGCACCACGACGAGGGTCTGACCTACCGGCCTCATACTAAGCAGGCAGTATGTTGACAATAATTTCTTCATTTTATAATCCGTTAATGTATGAAAATGGCAATGTTGGATTCGGAGCAAGAGGTTTAGACGCTCTGTCAGGGATTACAGTTGCGGACGCCAAAAACTCGTAAATTTTCGATCTCGAATCACCGACCGGTTTTCAGCAACCGACTCCCACCAAACAATCATCCTTAAGGCACTCAAATTCACATCCATTCAACAGAGAGGTCAATAACCCTCGTCAACACGCCGAAGCGATCGCCTTCAAAAAATCCTCGCCTTTTCGCCATTCTCTCCACTTCCCACAACACTCCCAATCCTTCCATTACTTTCAGAAACCATCTTCTACATCCTTTCTACCAAACTCTCAATCCTGCTTTTCAATCTCATCAGCTTAAGCTCAGTCGTTGTGTCTACTTTGTCCAATGCAGCAGCAACAGCCAATGCAATCCGCTGCAGTCCCATTGCGGCCCTTCCCGCCTGCCCCTCCGACTGCCGCCGACGCTCCATCCATCCTCGACGGCGGTAATTCACGCTCAGCAACCCTAATGCATTTTCACTGGTGTCCATTGGCTTGAATAGCGTTGAGAGAAGGCTGACCTTGACCTTGACCTTGTCGCTCGTTCTGTTGCTTCAACGTTGAACCAGCGTTGCTCGCTCGCGCTGAGGAGATGCGTGCTACACTGAACGAGTTCCGCTTGTTCGATCCACGCATCCAGTGGCAGGACGTCGTCAGCAAGTTCTCAGTGCTGCTCGGCCAGACGCACAACTTTGTCAACCAGCTATCGCGCCTCCCAGCGCCCTACGAGGTACCATTGCCAAAAGCTCATAACCAAACGACACTTTGTTGGATTCAGTGTCTGATTGTCTGATTCATCTTTTGCTCGATTCCGACCGGATTATGCTCCAGCGCACTTTTTTTGTTTTTACTCACAACTTGTTGATTTTCTGCTTATGTTTGGACAAAACCCTTTGATCTTTTGATCTGCATCATCACGACGATTCAGCTGGCCTTGGTGCCTGGGCAGTTCTCGTCCAAGCGCGACCCGGAGGTGGAGGTGGCCACGCAAGGCCGAATCTCTGCCGTCAAGCCCGATGTCATTCCGGATGTGCTGTTGCGATCGCGGCCTCCGCCAGAGCTCGAAGTGTATGCTGCACCCTTTAAATCGGCAGCAGCAGCATTGAGAGAGGATGTGCGCCAGCATCTTGTCACGGACGACGCGCAAGCGATGGACATGGATGCGATCGACCAGCCGTCCATGCAGCAGCAGGAGGACGAGATGATCACTGGCGCTGTCGACTCGCACAACTCGTTCGTCGACGAGTGTCTAGCGGCAGTCGAGCGAGCGCGTGCTTTGAACGACCAGGAAGCGGCAGAGTCCGAGCCCCTCGGCAATCGTCGCGCTCAGGCCTCGGCAGCCAACACGGATGCCGGCATCATTCGCGCTGCAATAGAAGCACACGCTCCTTTCACCAAGGCGCTAGTTTCGGCTGTTGTGTACGGCACGCGGTTACGTGGCCAGCCAGTACAGCCCGCAGGACAGCCCGTCGTGCAGCAACCGTTCGCTCGCTGAAATTCAAGTGCAAGAAACTACCGCAAAAACGAAAGGATGAAGTTATTTCATTGTTACACACACACACACATAAAGAACAAAACCCATACATCAAACGGCCAGTTACAACACAAGACTTTGCATAAAGGAAAAAAAAAAAAAAAACAAACAGAAAAAACAAAAGTCAAAGTAGGGCCTCTTTGACCACCTACACCCACACCCACACACACATGCCAGAAAAGGTACAAGGAGGCGCGGGGGCAGAAGCACTTCTTTATGCAGTAGCTTGGAGCTTGGCAGCCTTTTCAGCCGCATGCCGTTGCTTGGCCTCTTGCTTTTGTTGCTGGAAGGTGGCAATGCGAGACTCAATCTCGGGGCGGAAGTGGCGAATAAGGCCTTGGACGGGCCAGGCAGCAGCGTCGCCCAATGCGCAGATAGTGTGGCCTTCAATTTGGCGGGTGAGCTCTTCAATCATGTCAATCTCTGCAGGCTTGGCGTTGCCGTCAACAAAGCGCTTCATGATCTTGGCGAGCCAGCCGACACCTTCGCGGCATGGTGTGCACTGACCGCAACTCTCGTGCTTGTAAAAGTCGGACAGACGAGAAATGCAGCGAATAACGTCGGATTGCTTGTTCATGACAATGACGGCAGCGGTACCAAGACCACTGGTCACGTCCCTGAGCGCGTCAAAGTCCATGAGAACGTCGTCGCAAATCTTGCGGGGGAGCAGCGGGACGGAGGCGCCGCCGGGAATAATGGCGAGCAGGTTGTCCCAGCCGCCAATGACGCCGCCGGCGTGTCGCTCAATGAGCTCCTTCAGGGGGATGGACATTTCCTCCTCGACTGTGACTGGTGTGTTGACCTGGCCCGAGATGCAGAACAGCTTGGTGCCCTGGTTGCGTTCGCGGCCAAACGAGGCAAACCACTCGCCAGTGCGTCGGCAGATGGTGGGTGCCACGGCCACAGTCTCGACGTTGGCGACGGTGGTGGGGCAGCCAAAGACACCGACATCAGCGGGGAACGGGGGCTTCAGGCGCGGCTTGCCCTGCTTGCCTTCGAGCGACTCGATGAGTGCAGTCTCCTCGCCGCAAATGTAGGCACCAGCGCCACGGTGCATAAAGACATCAAAGTCATAGCCGCTACCACACGCGTTCTTGCCGAGGAAGCCAGCCTTGTACGCCTCGTGGATGGCGACTTGCATGTTGGAAGCTTCGTTGTAAAACTCGCCACGAATGTAAATGTACGCAGCGCGAGCGCCCATTGCGCGACCGGCAATCAAGCAGCCCTCGACCAGCTTGTGGGGGTCGTGGCGCATAATTTCGCGATCCTTGCAGGTGCCTGGTTCACCCTCGTCAGCGTTGACGACGAGGTACTTTGGCCTGCGCACCAAAATTGAGCAAACAAGCGAAAAAACAGAAAAGAAAATAATAAGAGTGAGATGAAGCATCGATGACTGGGGACAATCGAGACAGTCACAAATCAATCTCTCGCCCCACCCCCCTAACTGGATCTTTGGGCATTCGCACAAGAACCAAGAGCAACACGAGAGAAAGAGGAAGCGCGAGTCATCCATGCAGCGGTTTGTTTTGCTCACCGGCCGTCCGACGGCTTGTTCATAAAGCTCCACTTCAAGCCGGAAGGGAAACCAGCACCGCCGCGTCCACGGAGACCCGACTTTTTGACTTCGTTGAGGATCCAGTCATGGCCCTTGAGGAGGATTTCCTTGGTCTTGTACCAGTCGCCGCGAGCGAGCGCGCCCTTGATGCCCCAGTCGTGGCGGCCATACAGGTTGGTGAAGATGCGGTCCGAGTCCTTGAGGTTGCCATACGTGCGCGGCGGCTTGGCAGTCGCAGCAGTCGCAGCAGCGGCAGCAGCGTTGAGTGCAGGCGCCGCCGTCGCAATGCCACGCGCTGGAACAGCATTGAAACGCATTGAAACGGGGACGAACGGGAGCAAAAAGCAACAACGAAGAGCACCAGCCAGCAGTCCATGAATCGGATCAGAACATCAGGAGACAGCACAGCAAGGACAGTAGGACAGTCAGTCAGTCAGTAAAGCGAGCTCAAAGAGAAACAAAAAAAAAAAAAAAAAAAAAAAAAAGAAAAAAAAAAAAAAAGAGGCGATCTCAAATTTCAATGGAAAACCATTGGAAAGAAGAGAAGAATGACAAAGCGGGAGGAAGAGCGAGATGAGACAGAGACAGAGAAAGAGAGAGAGAGAGAGAGAGAGAGAGAGATAGGGATGGAAGGGAGGTGGGGGTGGGGGGTGGGGGGAGACGCACCATTGGCGAGGGCAGAGCGCGATGCTGGAGAAGCGATCAGCCGCAGCATTCGATATTGAAAAAAAAAAAAAAAAAAAAAGAAATAACAAAAAAAATGACTGGATTTGCATTGGAAAATGATTGGAAAGGGTGTTTTCAGTTTTGACGCATTGAGTGGAGGATGCCAAAGACGAGTCATTCAATATTAAGATTGCATTTGAAATTTGGACGATTCTGAAAATGAAAAAGACAGGGCGACGATTTCACCACTCAAAATCGTTTGACCGGCTTTTTGCTTCAATGTTGCTATGTCTCTTTGAGCCTGACAGCGTTCAACAATTCATTCATTCATTCATTCCATCTATTCTTCATCCGTCCATCTTGAATCCAGGCAGTCATTATTTCAACTGCATCCCGGTTTCACAATGGCAGCCGAGCCATTTAGCTTCCCAAAGGTCCTTCTGCTTGCTTCACTGTCCCCCCCTCCCTCCCTCTTCGCGTTTGACCCAAAAATGAATACTCACGGCCCATGCTCATTGTCCACTCCCAACAGGTCGTCGACATGTTCGAGCGCGTCGACACGCACGCAGGCAAAGCAGCGAACGAGATTGAGACAATCCCGTTCCTCGACGCCTACTTTGAGCTGTCCAAGGTGTTTGACCATCTCGGAAGGGTAAGCAACACAACATGGGATGAGCGTGTGGTTTTATGTGGTTTGATTGTGGAGCATTGGGGGTGGTGGTGGATGGGGGAAGTTGAGTGGGAGGAACAAAGCCGACAAGACGGCTTCCTTTCTTGTCTTCCCTACTCTGAGCGACTCGGACGGAAGAAAACGCAAAGAAAGATAACCGAGGCACAAAAACAAATCGTGATTTTGAAATTGAGAAACGAACGATGCACAGCGCTGGAAAGGTGAAACTTTGCTCATTTTGCTCAATCTGCTCAATCGGCTCAGGCGTTCAAGTTCGTCACGGCAGACGTGGTCGAGAAGATTGACATTCTGCGCAAGCACCACGAACTGCGCGAGAACGCGCACTCTACGTTGGACGGGATGCTTCGTCACGAGCTCGAGAACAATCTGACCGACACAACCAGCAGCGGCGGTCTCAGGTCTGGCAGCCGCACGCTGCTCCGACTCAATCGAGCACTCGGTAAAAAAAGCTACTCCTCAACTGTGTCAAGCTGCTGCATTGATCGTTTTTGATGCTGACTCGCTGCTTGGCACGTACTTCTTAGAGTTTATTCTGGCCTTTTTCGACCGCATGATTGAGGCCAAGGAGGACGCAGCGTGCTCAACCCTGGCAGGCGAGGCATACGCAAACACCTTGTCGAAGCACCACGGCTGGGCAGTGCGATCGGCAGTCAACCTCGCTCTGTACACGCTGCCGTCCTTGTCCGAGCTCATTCGGAGGTTGGACGTTTCTCGCGACGACGGCATTGCCTATCTGAAGCGCATCGTTGCCAGCGTTCGGCCCATGTACGACCACATCAACGGGCTGTACACAACGCACGATCTTCATTCCTTGCCATAAAAATTGGCCAAGCGAGTCGTCGGGTTTGCTCACAAAGAAAGCGATGTATGATACAAAGTGCACAAAACGGACTAGTCCCACTCTTCATCCACGTCGTCGTCGCCAATCATAAATTCATTCATTTGGTCGTTGTCGGCCATGAATCTACAAGCAAAACCATCTCACAGGTGAGCACAAGGTGCCTTTAAAAATACAACACACAAGGGGAATGACAATTACTTTGTGTATTGGAAATCGGCGGCGACGGCCACGTCAAAGATCGAATCGTTGCCTTCAGAAAGACCGCCGTAGACGTAGCCGTTTGCCTTGTCGATAGTTTTCATCAATCGAGTGATGCTATCAGGATTCTGCGATTAAGCAGGCAAGGTGATGAGCTTTCTGCCACATTTCACCTTTGAGATCCAGTCGCGCAACAACGAACGTACTTGGATGTTCATGGTTGAGAATGTCACCAGAGAATAGTCTTCAATCAGACCGCATAGAGCGGTATTCAGCTTCTTGTAACGTTGCGCGAACGGATTGTCCTGAAGGTGGTTTAACAACTTTGACAGATCGAGTACCTCTGCGTAAAATTCCAAATTAAATGCTGCAGAGTATCAAACACCGAGACAGCGTCGAGTCAGCAAATGTGGACGTTGCAGCCACAAGGAAACAAACAAAACAGCAGCAGAAACGCAAAACCAAATCAGCATGTATCGCCTTTACCTAGTTGACCATATCGCTCGATGAGATCAATCTTTGAAAGTACGTTAACGTGTGGAAGTTCGATCTGCAGCATGGTCGCGAGCGACGTCAGCAGCACCGAAATGAACTTTGCGGGATCGCTGCAGTAATGCGAGTCGACCAAATGCACTGCTGCGAGCTGTCAACGAGCAAGGGGAGCGAGTCAGTACAATTATTCCACATCCATTTCCCCCTCCAAATCTCAGATTTTGTGTCTGAATCTCAGCAACACACCCGAAACTTGAGCGCCTTGTCGAGCTTCTGGGTGAGCTCCTTGACGGCGTCGTTGTGCGTGTACAGCTCGACCTGGCCAGGGCAGTCAAACAGAAAGTAGGCGTCGTCGGTGCACAGCGGCTCGAGCTTGGCGCAGAGCCAGTCAAAGTTCTGCTGCAGGAACTCCATGCAGTAGATGAGCGCCCCGTTGGGTCCGAGCTTGAGCCGCTCCATGACTTCGGGCAGGCGGACGAGGTCGGACACGTCGACTGCAGGCGTGTACGGCAGCGCGTCGTTCGCTGGGTCCAGATTGACCACATGTACCGTGCGCGCGTGCGGACGGCGGGCGTGGAAGTGCTCCTGCACCCCGCGGCAGTACGTCGACTTGCCAGAGCCCGGCGGGCCAATGACAAGCTGACCGAACGGCATTTAGGAATGGAAACTAGGACAGAAAAAACAAGAGAAGCAGGAAGTTGGGAGTTGGAGGTCGATGGTTGGACGACGACGACGAGTTGAAAATGAAGGACTGAGCTATTTTGTCTGAGAAAAGACAGAGCAAACTGAAAAGTGTAAATCAAGAAGAGACCCATCATACACAAGGACAAAGAACTCAATGGATTGAAGGTGCATGATGAAGCGGTGCTCGTTTGGTTCCGAATTCCCCTATGTCGATGGAAGCTACTCCAACTCGCTCACTCGTGTGGATGAAAAGCTCGATCAATTACAAATTACGACAGAATACACACGCAATCAGCACACATGAGCTCACTGCTCTTGCTCGCGGCCGTAAAACTCGCCGCGGAATTGGCGCATCACCTTGATAAACTCGTCGCCTTGCAGCCGACCGTACTGAGAAAACTCCATAGAGAAGGCGCCAGTGCCCGCCGTCTGAGTGCGCAGGCTGGTCGAGTAGCCGACCATGCACGCCAAGGGCACTTGTGCGACAATGACGTTCGTGCTGTCGACATCCGACACTTCCACACCGGAAATGATGGCGCGACGTGTCCCGGTGAGGTCGGACATGACACTGCCCATATGCGAGCCATCGACCGTCACTTGAACTTGCATCAAGGGCTCGAGCAGGAACGGGTCGGACTTTTCAATGCAGCTGGTGAGCGCCTCGCAAAAGAAGGTGGTGAGCGCGCTGCTCGAGCAATCCGTGTTGACCTCGACGGCGAGAACGCGGGCATGCATGTCGGTGAATGGGAAGCCCAGCAATGTGCCGCGACCAAACACCAAATCGGCGCCGGTTCGGAGAGCGTTGAGCAGCTCGGTCATGCTGAGGTTGGCCGAAGGCGGGACGACCAAGTGCTGCAGTTCATCAGCAAGCGAAGCGAGCGTTACGACCTCGGCGTCCGTCGACGAAAGGTTTGCCGTGGAAGAGGAGGAGGAGGAGGAGGAGGAGGAGGAGGATGTTGCCGACGCTGCATCGGGACTGGTGGTGGAGCTTTGAGTATTCGCAGAGGAAGCGGACAGCGCCCGGGAACCGGCAAACTCTTTCGCAGAAACACTCGCAGTGCTGGAACTCGATGGAAGCAAGTGATCGGGCACCTTGTCGACAGACAACTTGGGTTGGCCGATGGCGGGAGCGGGGAGAAGCTCCAGCTTGATGGAAGCAAGGCATCGACGGTTTCCAATCACACGGTCGAACGAAAACTGCCTTGTCGTGGCGCTGCCGATAGACTCGCGGTAGGACACCTGGACGGGGCCAACAGACACGGCCACATTGTACTCGCGTTGAATGCGGTCGCGAATAATGTCGAGGTGAAGCTCGCCCATGCCACTCATCACCTGCTGGCCGGAATCGCCGTCAAAGAAGGATCGGAAACTAGGATCCTCGCGCTGCAAGCATGCGAGAGCGTGGTCGAGCGCCGGTTGATCGGCGGAGGTCGCTGGTTCCACTCGGCAGAAGAAGACGGGTGTGGGGATGGTCAATCCTTTGAGGTGCAGCTTGGGAGCACCGCCAAATGCTGCAACAATCGTGTCGCCAGTCACCGTTTCCTTGAAGCCCACGCCAATGCCAATGTTGCCCGCTGCCACCGTGTTTACCTCCCGGTACTCGTTCGCCATGACTTGATAGATTTTGTTGATACGTTCGCGCGTTTTGCGGGTTGCATTGTAAACAGGAACATTCTTGTCAAACACGCCCGAGTAGACGCGGAAGAGTGTCAAGGGACCGCGCTGCCGATCGTGAATAATTTTGAAAGCGAGCGCACAGAGTGGTCCTGTAGGATCTGCCTTGACTAATTGCAGTTGTTGCGTGTCTACCGCAACCGCCTCGATGGGTGGGCGGTCGAGTGGTGAGGGAAGGTAGTCGCACACGGCCTCGAGAAGTGGCTGCACGCCCTTGTTCTTGTAGGACGAGCCGCAGAGAACTGGAACGCCACGGTTGGCGATGGTCACTCGGCGCAGGGCCGCGCGCAGCTCTGCTCCAGAAATGGCAAAGTTCCCTTCACTGGACTCGAGCCCCAGCGTTGCTTGGAGCTCACGAATCTCGCTCGACGAGGTTTCGGCGTCATCGGGTTCCGAGAGCATGAGCTCGGCGATGCGATCGTCCACGTCGGCCAGCTTTTCGACAAGCCGTTGGCGCGCGTGTAGCACTTCCAGAATGTCGGCATTTGACAACCGCTTGCGGGCTTGCTCGAGCGTCGCTGGTGCCAACCGTGTGTACGTTGGCGTGCTGCCATCATCGCCCTTCCATTCCGCGGCCTCGAGCTCGACCAAATCGACAATCCCTCGAAAGTTTCCCGATTGACCAAGCGGGTGCTGGATGGGCAGGGTGACGGCGCCCAATTTCCGTTCCATGCTTTCGATCGCTTTCGCAAAGTTTGCTCCTTCACGATCCATCTTGTTGATAAAGGCAATTCGCGGAACAGAGTACCGGTTTGCCTGTCGCCACACTGTCAGACTTTGCGCCTGTACGCCCGCAACCGCGTCAAACACGGCTACCGCTCCATCCTACCATACAGCGGCCTTCAAGTGAGCAAGGGGCAACCAACAAACGAAAAAATCTCGAAACAAAACAAAACTAAACAAAAAGCAACCATCCACCTACCAATACACGAAGGGATCGCTCCACCTCGACGGTGAAATCAACGTGGCCGGGCGTGTCAATGAGGTTGATTCGGTGATCCTGCCAGTGGAAGGTGATGGCAGCCGCTTTGATGGTAATGCCTCGCTCGCGCTCTTGTTTCATATAATCCGTGACTGTGTTGCCGTCGTCGACATCTACCAAAACGTCAAGTGAATTTCCACAACAATCATGGTGATGAGTTTTTGCTGAGAGCTCCAATGCTTCTGAGGAAATCCGATCTCGGTACAAACCTCCGAGTGCTTGAGTAACGCCAGCATAGAACAGCATGCGCTCGGTGGTCGTCGTCTTGCCAGCGTCAATATGCGCAATGATGCCCATATTTCTGGTTCGCGGGAGCGAGTCTGCAAGTTGACTATTCTGAGCAGTCTGAGCAGTCTGAGCGCTGGACTTGCCACCACCGGCAGCACCGCCGCGGGCAGCAGCACCACCACCGCCGGCCGACGCCTGAGATGAGCTCGTCTGTGCAGTTGCATTGGGATTGCGAGTGGCGGCGGCTGATGCGTTGGTCGCCATCGCCAAGCGGCTGCTCGCGGACATGTGCAAGTTCGCACGAGGCTCGCGTCCAGCTGCGGTCGTCGCCACTGTGGAGCGGACTGAGCATTGCAAGTGCTGATACGACGATGACGATGATGACGATGATCGCACAGCAGCCAGCGTCAGCGTTCGGAGGAGCAGAGTCGCGGGTGGCGCGCGAGCGACTGCGCGGTGGAACATGGTCGCTTCTAGTGTCTTGGCGGGAAGCAGAAACAAAAAGACTGAGATTGGGGACAATCTCAGAAAATGGGGGAGTAAATGCAACAAAAAAAAAAGACAAGGGTGAAAATTTAACAATAGCAGGATACAACAGGATGCAACAGGATACAAAAATCAGCAAAGCGAAGATGAGCTTGTGTTTGTTTGTTAGATTGTACTGGACGTCTGGCGGTTGTTACAGCTCGCTTCGTGCAGTGGCTGTACGGTCGTCACTGGTGCTCGCATGCTTGGCTTGGTGAGCCTTCTCTTCAGCGTCTTGCAAGTCCGACTCGGTGACTTCAAAGTCGATAGGCTTCAATCCGCGCAAATAACGCGACTGCATCGTTTCGAACGCCGCCTCCAGACCACGCGCATGCTGTGGCACGTTGAAAAAGCGCGGAACATCGTCAAACGCATCTGGGGAAAGCTCGTCCGCGTCCCTGGTGAGGCTCTGGGCGAGCGCGGTTCGTCCTGCAAGCAACGAGCGGCGTGCCGCCAACACTTTGGCTCGACCAGCATCCGTGGTCGCAAACTCCACCGCCATCGCTTCGTACAGTCCCGCTGATGTTGCGATGAACTGATCCAGCGACGCACTGCTCAGCATGCCGGCCGCGCTCCGTCCACATCGCGTCTGGCCCGCTTGCGTCAAAACGGGAAGTCCGCCCGTCAGCATTTCCGACGCTGTAGTGTGAGCGTTGTATGGCAGCGTGTCGAGGAAGAGGTCGCACATGGAGGGTGCGTACTCGAGAAAGTCCTCTCGTTCCAATCGAGGCGTGAGGATGACTTGCGCTTCGACTTGTGCCTCGGCAACAAGCCGACGAAAGTTTGCAGCTACAAGTGTTGGCGAAAAGCTCAAAGTGAGCAGAGATGAAATCGCAAAGCGTTGTGCAGTGATGACGATGCCCAAAGTTACCTGCATCATTGGGATGGGCAATAACCCAGAGCCGCGCTTCGGGAGCTTGTTTGAGGATTCGAATCCACGAGTGTACCGTGCTCTTGTTGGCTTTGAAGATCTGAGCAAAACAGAGGCACACAAAAGTAAATAGCAAGATCTAGAATGAAAAACGCCTCCACGCATCTCGATTTGCGCATCTCGGATTGACGTACCGGTCCAAGCGAGCAAAAAGTGAATGCACCGTCGTTTGGCAGGCCAAGCTCTGTTTTCTTGGCAACAACATCTTCCGCTGGTAGCCAAACAAGCAAACAAGCAAACAAGCAAACGCAAGCAACCACACGCAAACCAAAAACAAAGCAAAGAGAACACAGCGCCCACCCAAACAGGTGAGTCTTCGCTGCCACAATCCTTTCCGTTCCAAAATAACAGACAAACTTACGCGCGGGAGGATAGACCTCAGACGCCCGAAACCACGCGGGTGGGTACAAACCCGTCGGCAGAGTCACGACTCGCTCGATGAGAAACGATGGAACGAGCTTGGATGGGCAGGTGGTTCGATCGCACAGGGTGTAGTCGACTTCTGTCGACCCAGAGGTGCCACAGTACGTCAAGTAGGACGCAACAATAGGCGCAGGTTTGCAGGCAATAATGTCGGGGCGAGCGCCGCTCGAGTACCCCATCATGTCAAGCAGAATGTCCGTCTTGTCAGCGACAATGCGGGCTGTTGCTTCTGCAGGTGACATGGCATGGACAGAGACCACGCCGCCATTCAACACGCTGCGCATCTTCTCAGTCCAGGCATCTTCGTAGGGGCTCGTGCTGTAGCCCGTGACATGGAACCGGTCCTTGTTGAGCTGACTGAGCACAAAGTACAGTAGATGCGACGTCGGATGGTTGTAAAAGTCAGCGCTAATGATGCCAACATGAATACGTTGCTGCGATAAGGCAGAGCGCGCGGAAGGACTGAGCGAATGCAGATCGTCAATGCGAGCTGCAGCAAGTTTGTAGCGAATGGCCTGGGTGTTGCGAGACTCGATGGCAGCAAAGGCCGCCGAGTAGTCTCGCAGAATTTCGGGCACAATATCAAAGTACATCAGGTTGAATGGCGGCACGGCCAGCTGCTGCAGGGCCTTTTGCGTTTGGTCCGACCCAGTGATTGCGCGGTTTTCAAGCGCGTCCAGAGTGTGACGAATCTGTTGCAGAAGCAACGTTCGCAGCTCTGGCAGCCTTTGCTCGACTGCATCGTGGTCTGCAAGGAACATTTTTGCAATGATGGATTCGCCAATTGCGTGCACGTTGGTCGAGTTTGAGAGCAGCGCCTTGTCGAACGCCTCCGACGACGCCTTGTGCTTTTGCAGCCGTCGAAGGGCAGCGCCCAAGTTGATAAATCCAAGCGTGTTTGTGCGGTCGATCTTGACGGAACGAAGGGCATAGTCATACGCGGACTTGGCATCGCCGAGTTCGAGCGCCAGCTGGGCAGCGTTGGTCAGGGCGAGGACAGACTTTGGATTGAGCAGGATGGCGCGCTTGTAGATTTCAAGAGCAGACTTTTTGTCGCCATACGATGCTTGGATGGAGGCCAGCAGCAACGAGTGCTCGGCATTGGCAGGATCCAAGAGCGTCGCGTTGCGGAAGTGCCCGAGGGCCTCTTGGTGCTGTCCTTTCAAGTACGAGACCTTGCCCAGCGAGTGGTGAATCGTGGCCATGAGCTTGCCTCCCGCACTTGCAGGTCGCAGCGCGTCAGGCTCCGATTCGGCGGCCTTTCTCGCCTCGTCCAGCGCTTGTGTGAGAATTGCTTCTCCGTCGTTCAATCGTTGTCCAACGAGCAGCGCTTGGCCTAATGGAGTTTCAGGCACAGTCAGAGAGCGGGTTCACAGTTGTTAGTACACTGGAAAGAGCAGTGCGATGCCTTACCAAGTTGAATCATGCTGCCGAGCGTTGGGTTTTCCTTTGCCTCGTCGCCATAGCACTGAATCGCCGCGTCCTATTCCAATTAACAAGAGTCCACAACCATGATCAATGTTACTACATCTGTTCCTCGTTTCGTCTCTTCATACTGCCAATGGTTTGGTAGCAGTTTTGGTTGGGAACTTGCAATGTTTCCGGCCTTGTACCATCGAGCTCCAGCCGCACTGCGCACACACACAAGAAATTGCGCAACCCAATATGCATTAATATCACGAGTGACATCAACTCAATCCATAGCTCAATCCATAGCTCAAGTGGTGGTAGATCGCACCTGAACGACTCGTCGGGGCTGCGATCGCACTCAGTCAGAGCGTGGCGCTGCTGCGGCGGCTGTTCCAGCGGCTGATCCTGAGCCCGAGTCTGAGTCTGAGTCTGAGTCTGAGTCTGAGTCTGAGTCTGTGGCTTGGACGCTGCTTTGCCTCGCGCGGGTGGCTTCAGTCGCACAGCATCGCAGTCAGAAACAGCGACAAGCAGCAGAAGGATCAATGCGAGCCCAGCAATCAACTGAAAGCGCATTGGGGAAGCAACGAAACTCAGAAAAAGCAAAAAACAAGGAGTGATGAATTTCTGAGAAGTTCTGAGAAATGAACAAAAAAATGAAAAAAGGTACTGTAAATAAACGAAAAGAGCGCACTTTGAAGGCAACGAACAATGCGAAAGTGATTGAGATTTGCATTGAATTCGATTGAACAGGCGCATCCATTGAAGTACACGATCAACCACCATGTCAAGTGTCTCAAAGAATACATACTGTAACATTTCGTCTGATCCGGACGAACAATTTCAGCACTGTTGTATTGAGAGTTTGCATTGAGATTTCTATGGACGAGGATTCACGCCAACTGCAATGCTGCGAGTTGAGCTGCAGTCCAGTCTTGATATCATCATCTTTATCTCTTTTAATGTTATTTATTTAGCGTGTCTGAGAAGCACAGTTTTTTTTCCCGCCAAAAATCATGGATCTCCCGCCATTCGCTGAGGTTGTCAACCAGCGGAATCTCGCGCTGCCGAACGGCGTGCAGCCGACCTTCACGCTCGCCCAGGACACACCTGCACACGCAGCCATCCTGAGCTCATCCGACTGCGTAGCGCGGGCTCGCGAGGTCCTCCGCGCGCTGTCCTTTGCGAGCTCAGTAAGGCAGCACATGTCGCACAAACTCGGCTATCGCTCTCATGATGATGATGATGATGATATTTCTCACTATACTATACTATGAATTGTTCAATGTGCAGCATACAGCAAAGACGGAAATGTTCACCGAGGTCGACTTGTTGGCGCGGATTGTGTACAAGAACAAAAACCAGCAGCAATCCTCAAAGTAAGTAGTAACAGCAACGTACCATTTTTCATGTGTACAAAATATATGGCTGAGCTATAAGCGATCGACAGAGAAGTTCGAGGTTGCATGTTGCATGCCGAAAGTTGTCCTAATAGCACTTTTGGCATGGCTGGCGAGACGATTCGCTCACTCTCGGTGTCTCTTCTTTGGTCCAACCTTGTCAGACAGCTCCAACTCGTCATTCACGTGCTGCGTCTAGCACGCCGTATCAAGAGCTTGGCGATTCGAGGCGTTATCAAGGAAATCGGTGCTTTGTTTTCAGTCCCTCCACCAGTGACTGCGTCCTCTTCCAAAGTGAGTTTGCGAGAAGTTTGAACATGAAACAAACTGGGTCTCAGTGGCTCGTAGTAGAGATCTCACAATGATCTTGGAAACACCCCAACAAACAGCCCGTCGATGCAGCATCCGCAAACAACAAGTCGTCAGCCCAGCAAACGTCCACCGCAAACAAGAAGATTCAGCTCCCGAGCACAGCGTCCATCGATTTTGCTCTCGTCCGAATCGCCGCTGTCGCCATGCTGGCTCGTCAGGCACATCTCACTTCTGTCCGATGTAGTGCAGTGCTAGTGGACAGCATTCGCCATGCCCGGTTCATTCCCATCATGCTTTCGTTGCTCGCGAGCGTTTCTCGAATCGACGTTTACCTCCGCCAGCTCGAAAGCGATCTTGTTTCGGTCTATCAAGTGCTTTTTACTTGGAAAAGTCTCACCATGACAGTAGAGTGGACTGCACGACAAGCTCAGCCGCCATTGTCTGCAACCAGAAGCGCGGGCAAACGTCCGGCAACCGCCACAGCCGCGGCAATCATTGAAGAAATCGCCGCATTTCCATTAGGCACACGACGAAAGATTGTCGCGACCTTGCACACTCTCCTCTCGACTGCAGCGTGTCCCAGTTCTCTCACACAGTGGCTGGACGAGCATCTGGGCGCCTCGGCATCGCTGCACGGCCTGAGCGAAGCGCGCATGCCCCTGGATGACAATTCGCTCGCTGCTTTTGGCGGCAGTGCTGCAGCATCCAGTGACGATCCTTTCGGGATGGGCGTGCAAGATAGCGACGACAGCGATTCAGAGCAGAACAGCACTCCGCTGCAACCTTCGGCAAGTGCCAGCAGCACATCTACCAAAGGCTCTGCTGAAGCTGCTGCTGCTGCTGTTTCTAAAACATCAAGGGCTGTCACGCCAGCACCAGGTGGTGCAGGACCAGCCGCCTTTTCGAAACGCGCAGGCGAATCCTCAAGCACCGCCACCACAAAGCGTCCTCGTCTCACCAAGGCTCTGGATGATGAAGATTTTGGCGAGGCCATTTCAGCAGACTCTGTCATGACTGGGGTTTGGCGATGAGTCGCAACCGTCGTAACAGGCAGTGAAATTTTTAAGTTAAATCATTAAACACCAAATTTTAATGGGCAGGAAAGGTCCTTTCAAACCACAGAACAAGACCTGAAGCCCAATCATCGGCGTTATGCCTTGGTCACGGCGTGCATGGCGCGGGCGAGAGCGCCGACGTTGGCATGGGTGAGACCGACCATCGAGATGCGGCCGTCGGAAGTCATGTAGATGGAGTGCTTTTCGCGCAGCTCTTGAACGTGCTTTGCAGTCATGCCCGAGTAGCAGAACATGCCGATTTGCTTTGTGATAAAGTCCCAGTTCTTGGTGGAGCCAGCAGCCTTCAGCTCCTTCACAAGGGTCTCGCGCATTTCAATGATGCGGCCAGACATGAGCTTGAGCTCGCCCTCCCTGTCGAGTTCAAAACAAGCACAAAGCAGAGTAGAATGACATGAGCAAAAAAAAAGCTGGCAATAGAAGTGTAGTGAAACCATCAGGTCAGGGGAGAGCAAACTCACCACTCGGCAGTCAGCTCGGGGGTGTTCAGGATGTGGGTGGCAATGCGGGCGCCGTTGATCGGGGGCGAGGAGTACATTGGTCGGATGATGAGCTTGAGCTGCGAAAGCACTGCCGAAGCCTCAGCAGCAGTCTCGCACAGGACGGTGAAAGCACCGACACGCTCGCCTGCACAACAACAACAACAACAACAACAACAACAACAACAACAACAACAACAACAACAACAACAACAACAACAACAACAACAACAACAACAACACCAAAAAAAAACCAAAAAAAAAAACGGGTCCGTGAGAAGGTGAGTCGTGAGTTTCAAAAGTTGAATGCCACGTCTCACAGGCTTAGGCAAGCGTACCGTAAAGACCCATGTTCTTGGCAAACGATTGCGTGAGGATGGGGTGCAGGCCTTGCTGGACAAAGTGACGGACTGCGAACGCGTCGCGGCTGGGGTCACCCGAAGCGAAGCCTTGGTAGGCCATGTCAAAGAAGGGCAGCAGCTTCTGGGTCTGTAGGTGTGCATTGTTGCGGTGAGTGCTGGTGGTCGTGGGCAGCTGACAACGTTCGAACAAATACAAAACAAGTTACCTTGAAAACTTGAGCAAGCTCCTCCCATTGGGCTTGAGTGGGGTCGATGCCGGTGGGGTTATGAGCGCAGGCATGGAGCAGGACGGCCGAGCCAGGGGCACGTTGCTGCGTCATAGAAGAGTGCAACCATTAGATACAAATAAAGCGACATGACCCATGAAAAACAAACACACACAAAGAAAAAAAATATCATCGTATTGCGCTTACGGTCAAATCCTCAACCATCGCCTTAAAGTTCAGGCTGATGGTGCTGGCATCGTAGTAGCGGTAGGAGGAGGTGGAAACACCAGCGGCGTTGAGAATCTTGTCGTGGGTGGGCCAGGTGCGGTCGGGAAGGGCAACCTCGGGCTTCCTGTGGAAGCGACGGAGGAACTCGCCGCCGAGGCGGAGCGCACCAGTGCCAGAGATGGATTGGACAGTGGCGGCCTACATGCAACACCAAACGAGCGTTCAGATTTGCAAGATTTGGAATGGCTGCCACAAAACAAATAAACAACAACAACAACAATCCGTACGTGAACATCCTTGAAGAGGTCCTTGCCAAGGGCAAACTTGAGCGCCGCGCTGCGGAAGTCAGCATGACCCTCGATCGAGGCGTACTCCTTGTCGAGGTTCTTTCCGGCAATGATTGCCTCGGCCTGCGCGTGTTACGTCGAAAAGCAAAGTTAGCAAACAATCTGAGGTGCCATGACATCATGAATCAGCCGATCCTCAAAGCAAAACCAAACAAACAAACAAGCAAACAAACAAACAAACAAGACCGGTTTTTTGGTTGAAAATTTCGTCATCCTGCATTCGGAATCAAACCAATGAAATGCTGCCAGCTGTTGATATTTCGAAAGTACACCTCAGCATGATGGATGGATGGCTGGATCCACAGCGGCGGGCGACCGCCGTGTCCACACATCCGCAATGTCTTGCAGTATATTCCTGCTTTGTCGCTTTCCCCACTCTGCGAATCCACCTAGAACTCTTTTTCAATCCATGCAAGGCACTTTGTATTCGTCGCCTTGTCTGATCTAGTTGGCTGGGGTGTGATGAGCAGTTAGGGGATTGCTCACACTCGTCACTAACTGGGTCCACAATCTCGCCCCATCTTCCCCCTCTCTCTCCCCTCTCTCCCCTCTCTCTTTCCTCACCCATTCTCTCTCTCGTTTCAACACTCCAACACCAGTCCAATCACATCAGAACGCCCCCCCCCCCGAGCGACAGCACCATCCCCATCGCATTCGAGCAGGGGGAGCTGTGCCATGTGCGAACCAAAAGCCAAGACATCATCAGCCGTCGGAGGATGGGATTCAACGGCAGAGAGCGAGACCGAGATCAGGATCAGGATCAGGATCAGGGCTTTTGGATGTGCAGGTCTCAGATGGGACGTAAAAAGATCAAGCATCCAGACAAGCATCGAGCGAGCGAGAGAGAGAGAGAGAAGGAGAGCGACAGTACCTTGCGGACGGAGGGAAGGACGAACGCCTTGCCGTTCGCATCGCGGTAGGCACCGACGCCGACGTTGATCTTGGCAGGCGAGGGATCCTTGCGCCAGGCCTCGGTCAAGCCGAGAATCGGGTCCGCGGGGCCCTCGGGAACGCCAGCCCAGAGGCTGAGAGCAGTGCATGGCAAAAACAGTGAGCCAGCCGGGGGTAATGAATTGGTAGCGCAGCGAGTGAGTATAAAGCAGCCAGGATCAAACAATAGAGATACTGATTCAACTTCGCGCTTCATTGGGGGAGTCGTTCCACACTCACCTTGCAAAGCGAGCAGGCGACGCTGCAATCTTGGTCGTGATACGCAATGACTGCTGAGACAGCATGAGGAAATGATATCGAGATGGAAGTAAATCCAAACAAAAACGAGACTGAGCGGTTGACAAGTCCTATTTTGGAATCGAGTAGTAAAACGCTGACCTTGGTATCCGTTCGCTCGTGTTTGTCGATGTGCTCTGACTTGAATAGAGACGAGCGAGGTTTTTTCTCCTTTGATCTTATCTGGTTGACAATTCGTGTCGAGAGGGCGCACGAAACAAAGCCGCAGCAGTGATCCGTTCGTTCTGCACTGCGCGCAGCGTCACACAGGGGTTGAATCGCGACCAGATGATCCAATTCAGGTGCAGTTTCATACAAGAGGTCCAACTGGGATGCCGCACGCGCACGCAGACGTCGAAAGAGAAGGCCGGCAAAAGGACAGCACTCATCGGCTCAGACGATTCAGTTTATTTATTTTTTTTTTTGTCTTCTTGTTGCGGTTTTTCCCCCTTTTCTGTTGCAGGAACAAGTAAGCCAACAGCGCATCGTCAGACCCAACCCGAAAGGACGAAGTGGTGCTTGCTGGGGAAATGCCCGACCCGCGTCAGTGAGGAGGAGGAGGAGGAGGAGGGGAGAGAGAGAGAGAGAGGGGGCCCGCTGGAGTCGTAGTCGTTGAGTCGGAGATGCTTTGCCTGCCTCCGCTGTCCTGCACTCTTGCCGTCCCGCTCCCGTCTGATCCGATGATGCGCCTCTGTTGTCACAAGCTACTCAGAGCAAACAGAAGAAGTGACACGGCCAAAAGGAAGGGCCGGAAGGGGGGCAGGGCGTCTGCGACTTTGAAGGGTGGCGCTAATACATGTGGTGAGCACAACCCAGAGGTGCCTGGTTTACTGCGACCCTCGCCCTCCTCGCATGCACCAATGCGCCCCGCTAAGTGGACTAGTGTCGCTGGCACAGATGCTGCGGCGGCACAGGCACCACCGCCCGCGTGTCGGCGTTTGTTGTGGTTTTTGAGCGAATCAGATGCAATGAGCAAAGAGGTGTCTGTGGTCACTTCTACCCCCCCCCCCCACCCCACACGTTCACTCTCCGCTTCGGTGGAGTGTCGCTGCTGCTACTGACATGTCTTGTTGGGTGGAGGAACGAGAGACCGGCTTGCGGTTGGCCGTGGCAACAGTGCCAATCCACTCTTAGAAACGGCGCTTATTGTTTTGATGTTTTTTTTTTTTTTTTTGTTTCTTGCAGTCTGCTCGCTTTTCAAATGAAGACCAGATTGTTCCTGCTTGCTGTGGCGCTTTTGGCTGCGGTGGGCTCTGGTAAGTAATAAGCAATAAGTTTGCTTGAGGCTGGAATCAGGATTGAACGACTCACGCCAAAGTTGATGTGCATTCTCCGCTTTGACAGTTCGTGGTGCGGATCTCGATATTACTTTCACAGCTGCCACTGGCAATTACATCACGCTCAGTTGGGCTGCGTATGGCAGCTTTGCTTCACCGATGGAATATCGTGTCACTCGCAGTCCTGGTCCGGCGACGGCTGTGTACACTGGCACTGCCCTGATCTACACTGATATTAGCCTGACTAAAAACACTGCCTACACGTACACTGTTTCCGTCTACTCTGACATCGGAGCTGGCGCGACATTACTTGGAGCAACTGCGGCCCCACCCTCCCAAACGACCGCAAACGATGTGACTCTGAATCCCAACAGCATCTTGTTGAGTGCCACAGCAAATGTGAATGCGTACGTTCTGTCCTGGCCTGAGTCTGGTAGCCAATCATGGTGCGTCAACCGTCGGACCATCCGGTACCATTGCCTACCCTGCTGTCGAGTACAAGCTGGCGTCCGCGGGCACCGACAGCTACGCCTATTGGCCGGGCTACACGTCATCTCCTGCACTCGTGCTCGATCCTGGCACATGGTACAATGTCAGGATCACTGTTTCCAACCAAATCACGGGCACCGCGAATGTTTATCAAGTCTTCACGGGCAGAACGGGCTTTGTCGACCCTGTCATCGGGACTGCCCTTGCTGCTGGCACCATCACTGCCACTCAAGTCCCTCTCAGTTGGACGGTTACCAGCAGCGGTCAGGAGTCCACCTTGTCGTTGGCTTATACACTCTTCCGTAATGGCAGCCAGGTGGGCACCACTGCAGTCTACGCTGGCTCACTCCCAAACACATTTTCATACACCGATTCGGGCTTGTCGCCGTACACCTTGTACACGTACACTGTGCGAGTAACCAACGCTGTCGGCAATTATACGGAGAGTACGCTGACCGTGACGACCGTTGCTGCTGCTCCTACTGTCGCTTTCTTGACCACCGCACCGTACAGCACCCAGAATTCTGTCACTGTTGGTTGGACCTTGGCTGCTCTGAATGGACCAACACCAATCACGTTTGTCCTGAAGCGTGGGTCAATTATACTGGCACTCCCGCCGGAATCAAGTTCCGCTTTGGCGACCGGCCAATTCTTCTTTACCGACGATGGTTTGGATCCGTGCACCACTTACTCGTACACTCTGACTGCTACTACGAGTGAAGGCCAAACCGTCACCACGTCCGCTAAAAGCTTCACCACCCTCGCTGACCAGCCAGTGATTTCGGCAACCGTTACCTCGCTTAATTACACCTATAATGCGTTCAGTTTCAGTTGGACCAGCTCTGTACAGAGCTTTTGCGGTGCTGGTTCAGTTGGGGCTAGTGGTTATCAGGTGATGCTCAACTCAAGTGCAATCTCTCCGACCACTGCAACATCCTACTCCCTGAGCACTGGCGTGACTTCGGGCGCGACGTACGATTTCTCTCTGGTTTTCACCAACGCGTATGGCAACGTTTCGGAGCCTGTGGCCTTGACTACGTTCACCACCTTTGCCAACACTCCCACCGTTACCACGCCCACTCTGACAACCAGCGCGGCGAACTCGCTCACGTTTCAATGGAATGGTACAGCCCGTGGTGGTGGTCCTCTCGTTTATAAGGTGGACCGAACTGCCCCATCGTCGCTGTCCATCAAGGACTATGCTGACAGTCTCACTTCGGCCACGGACAATACTGGCTTGCTGCCCTTCACTGATTACACGTACAGTGTGCAGGCAAGAAACGCCGTTGGAAACACATCCACTATTGCCACTGCGACCTTCAAAACTGCTGCGGCCCAGGCCACCTTCTCCAGTACTACTGTGTCGTCAACTCCGGCCGTCAATTCCATCCAATTCTCTTGGACGGCAGCGACATGGAACAGCTTACCTGGCGACTACGCTTGGGCTATCAGCGGAAGTCCTACTCCTTCCCCAAGCGCAGGTATCGTCGCTGCGACCAGTGTGACTGTCTCCAACCTTCGCGCCTACAATCAGTACAATTTTACCGTTATCGCTCGAAGCGTTAGCGGCACTTTGTATAATTCTGATCCACTGACCGCCTCCAACTTCCTGACGCTTGCTGCCGCGCCGACAATCGTGTCAACCCAATTCACATCAACAGGACAGACCTTCAACTCTGTTTCACTGGAATGGAATGGCGTTCTTACGCTCATCAACGGCCCCACTGTCAATTCTGCCTCGCAATGGACGGTTGAACGTCGTCTCAACAACCCTCAAGGGGCCTTTGTGTCTGTCGGGGCGTTTCCAGCGGCAAACTTGTCTGCGACCGACAGCGATGCATTGTTGGCGCCGTACACGGTTTATGATTACCGTTTGACTGTGAGCAACGATCTGTACTCTACCAGTGCTGTCCTTTCCTCAGTCCGAACCGCCGCTGCCCCGCCAACTATTGACCCGAGTCTGATCGTGCCTTCATTTGTTTCGAATGGACCGACCAGCTATGCTGTGACGTTTAACTTGACTGGCGCGTACTATCGCGGCACTCCGGCCTCAGCCAGTGTGACTTTTTTGCTGCGATACAAGCTGACTAGTTCTGGCAGTTTCACCTCGGCCCCGACATTTACAACTGACACCACCACGGTCACTATGCAGGCGAGCACAGTCTACACTTTGGAGTGGAAAATCACAAACGTTGGCGCCTTGTCGTCCATTTCGACAGGCTCTGTCAGTGTACTTGCAATCCCGCCGTCCTTCAGCGCACCGACTATTCTCACCCTAAGTGTCACGACAGACACCGCAACCATCTCCTGGCCTGAGCCTACGACCAAGAACGGTGGTGACCCAATTGTGTATTGGGTTCAGTTTACTGCGACGCAACCCAATCCTGGAAATCAAACCATTCAAACCTTCAGCAACACTCTCCAAACCACGAGCACCACTGTCACTGGGCTCTACCCAGGTATTGTTTACAATTGGACAGTTGCGGCCAAGAGCGCCGATTCTGGTTTCTCGAAGCCCTTCTCTACCCCGTCAACTTTGCGCCAAGACCCCGCGGACCCCATTTGGCTGATCGCTCCCACTCTCTCGGCATCAGGGCGAACGACAAGCTCGTTCGCGTTGAATTGGGCGGCTCCTGTCTATGCTCAAGATAATCCAAGCAACCTGAAGTATCGAATTGTTGCCACTCAAATCACCGCAAGCCCCAATTACCCCAATCCGACCCTTCTCTTCAAGACTGTAGCTGTCAATTCGGCCGCCGTGACAGTCGCCGCAGCGTCGAACACTGGCTATGAACCCTATGTGCAGTACAGTGTGACTGTGCACGTTAAAAGCTCAACCGACAACTGGGTTCCAAGCAACAGGTTCCTCACGGTGACAACTGCTAGCTCGCAACCAAGCTGGGGTGCCTTGACTCCGTCCTCCATCATGGCCGTCCCTTCGTCCCGCCAGATCACTCTCGACTGGCCAGATGTTCCGTACCCTCAGGACACGAACTATTTGACTTACTCGGTTAGTCGCGGTGGCACTACAGTTGCTTCCGATCTCGCAACCTCGAGTTACGTCGACACTGGTTTGACGCCATTCACGAATTATGCGTACATCATCACCGCCTACAATGTAAGGGGATCAACTTCGCTCGGCTCGGCAGTTACTTTCAAAACCACTGAAGCAACTCCTCGTTTTGCTGGCACTGAAACGTTGACCATGATTCCCAACGCGAATGGCGCGAGTATCACCTATGCTGCGCCAAACTTCCCATACGGAACACTGTCGGGCTACACTGTTTCGGTTGTTGACACTAGTTTTACCGACTCGCATGCGACACCACTCAGAGCTCGAACAGCACCGTCACAGTGTCTACCCGAACGATTACTTCGCTCTTGCCATTCCGCACCTACGCCGTCACTATTCAAGCTACGAACGGTGCAGGTACTTCGCCGCCGAGCGACTCGCGCAAGGGCACTTTCACCACCTCGCCGAGCGCCCCCATCTTAGACCCACGTTGGCTTGTCGCGGGTACAACCGACACGTCAGTCATCATCACCTGGAAGGGCCCTCAGCCTTGGGAGCGAAACAGCGTTCTTAGTTCATACCGTGTCGAGTGCCGAGTTCAAGAAGGGGATTGGATTTGGACTCTTGTCCACACTGTTATTCAAGGACCCTGGGCTGCCGACAACGCCGCCTATAGCTCCGCCGTGCAGCAAGAGTACCGGGCTGTGTTTTCTGGATTGCTCCCTAACAGGAACTATGGCTTCATGGTTACTGCGACTGGAAGCTCGTTGACTTCGAATCCCATCGAGGTGCAGGCCCGCACTTTGCCTGCGACGCCCACTGAGACGCCCACTGAGACTACCTCTGATTCATCTTCTGGTGGCGGCTCTCAAGCGTCAACTTCAATAGCTGCCATCGCTGCTGCTGTTGTGGCTGTTGCAGTAGTTGCGATAATTGTGCTGGTACTCGTCGTGTTGCGACGCCGGCGCCTGCAACGTGCAGACTTGCAACCAAAGGACTCTGCCAGTTCCACCATCGACCAGACGACTATTGAAATGACAATGTCTGCTCTGGCCCATTCGAGTGAATCTCGCATCGAGGATGACGGCTCAACCTCCGCCAAGCCCAGCCAAAAGCTGCAGCCAGAATCGCAGAACGCTGCCGATCCCATGTATCAGGAGGCTGAAGAAGTGACAATCTCCCCTATTCCCGATTCGACCGAATCTCACAACGAGGATGGCGGCTCAACCTCCGACCAAAAGCTGCAGCCGGAATCGCAAAACGCTGCTGAGCCCATGTATCAGGTTGATGAAGTGACAACTTCCCCTCAAAACCATTCGGCTGGAGCTCACGACAAAGCGGACATTCCATCCCCAGCGGCGATCGGTCAACAACAGTCGTATCAAGCTGTCCCGACCGCCCCGCCAGAGGAGGTGGTTGACGATGATGCGAGCGCGTATGTTGCCGGCAGCAATTCTCGTCGCGTTCGCGAAGGCTTGACCATTGGGAAGCACCTTGCCAGTGGTGAATTTGGCGATGTGTCACTGGGTCAAGTGCCTTTCAACGTGTTGCCCACAAGAGCTCAAACCTTGCTCGGACCTACAGCGTCGCCAACCGTGCTGGTTGCAGTCAAGTCTTCCAAGGCCGACGCTGACGAGAAATCTCGCCAAGACTTTGAGGCTGAGGCGAAATTGATGGCTCCGTTTGTACATCCGAATGTCGTGCGGTTGCTTGCGGCTCTGGTCGAGTCCGAGCCCCACCTCGTTCTGCTCGAGTTTGTGCAGTACGGCGACTTGCGTACACTGCTGCAAAAGTCCCAGGTTCACTCGCTTTGGTGGACACAGAACGAGCAGATCCATGCCATTCGCCAGATTGCACTCGGCATGGAGTATCTGGGCACGCTTAACTTTGTGCACCGAGATCTTGCCGCGCGCAACTGCCTTGTGGGGCAAGGAATGGTGGTCAAGATTGCCGATTTCGGGCTTTCCCGCGAATTGACGGATGAGCAAGATTACTATCGCATGCAAACGCGAGGCAAACTTCCCGTGAAGGTGGGTTGAGTCAGATGGCTCCACTGGTCGTATGTGATTCTGATTGTGTTGGTGATTGTAGTGGATGGCACCGGAAACAATGACCTTCCGCAAGTTCTCGTCCATGTCGGACGTGTGGTCGTTTGGTGTGACCGCCTGTAAGTAGAGCCGGTTGGTACGAAAAGATTGCACTTGAGTCTCACTTGTGTTGGTGCACATTGGTAGGGGAATGCTCTAGTTACGGTGCAACGCCTTACAGCCAGATGAATGGCGCTGAGGCACTGGCTCATCTGGAGGCTGGTGGTCGACTACCCAGGCCGGAGCACTGCTCAACTGACCTGTTTAGCTTGATGTTTAGTTGCTGGAACTCCATCCCAGAACTACGACCAAGCTTTACGCAGCTCGTCAAAGCTCTGAAAAACTTTGACGATGGAACAGCAATCCGCGAGATCGGGGCTCTGCTGTGAACAGGGCTTTGTGAGTTCTTGATGTCGCTCAAACATGTCAATTGATGCAATGATGCTTCGGCCACTGTGTGAGGCTCCTTGCGTTCCGAGGTTGCGCTATTACATTTTTCCTGTTTGATGGTCGATACGTGTCCATTCAGAATTCAACAAAGAGAACACAAACGATGGGTTGTTGGAGGCACAACGTTGGTACTCTGCTTCCATACAGAACGAGGTACCCCAATCGCGATAGTCAGAATAATCCACATCAGCAGTGCACATCCAACCTTCAGTACCAAGAATGAGGGCGGTCCGGATGAGGTGAATGAAGTTTCAGTCACAAAGCATTTTGAGCCAAACCTTTCGCCGAGCTTTCTTTTGTAGCCTTCTTCCTCCATCATTTCCAATCTTGATCGAGTTCATTTAAATGTAAAAGCTCGTTCAACAATGCAATGCAAGCAAATTGAACGTTATCCGTTTTGTTTCAAATACAAATTTTTGGCGCGCAGTTTTTTTTTTCTCAACGGTTTTTTGATTTTTGCTTTTTCCCTCCTTTTGTTTGATTTCTTGCTCAATCGCACTTTCACTTCAACTCTTTTCTCTTTCTCTTTCTTACCAACACACATTCACTTTGCAGTAATACGACACGATGGCGGACATGCAACACGAGCCCGTGTTTGAAGTGCGGAAGGCCGCACAGCCTGCAACGGCGTTCCCGCGTTTCCAATCCAAATCGACTGCGACGACTACATCCTCTGCCGCCAAGTCACTTGCCGCCGGCACTCGCAATAATACCAACCTGTCTGTCTTTATGAGCGATGGCGCGAATGCAGCGGGTGGCGTGGATGCTGGTTTGTTGCCTGAGCTCGACGACGGCGAATCGGCGCTTGTTTCAAACGAGAATCAAACTGTTTCAAACGAAACGGCCTTTTTTTGCAATCCGCAACCGGCAGCAACCAGTGCGAGCAGCAACAAGGCGTCTGCAACAATCATCAGCGCAGCCACGCTCGTTCTGAAGCCGTTCGCGTCGGTGCCGAGTCTGGACTTTGGCGAGGCTCAGCTGGGCGAGGTCCGCTCGGCCACTTTGACCCTGTCAAACCCGTCCGCCGAGCTGGCCAAGCTAACAGTCAAAGAGATCCCCGTCGACGCTGGATTTGCGTGGCAGGGTGTTTCTGCGGGCGATGTCATCGAGATTGCTCCAAAGGGCACTGTTACTGCAACGCTCCGCTGGACGCCCGTTCCCGCCAAACCGGCTGCATCGACGTCAACAACCTCAACCAACGGCAAGACCAACGAACTTGCATCTGCTCCAATTATTCCCATTCACCAGGTCATTAAGCTCACCTGGCACAAGGGTCATATGGAGCTTCGCGTCACCCTCGAAGGCTCGTACCGCGTAAGAAATGTTTGTTCAATGTTGGGTGGAAATCAAACTTGCCGCAGTGTACTGATCGACTCACTGATGCGACACCCATTCCACTCAGACTGCGAAAAAGCCAAAGGCACTTCGCCCAGCCTCCCAAAATGCCGCCAACATGTCACAAAAGCCGTCCTTCCACGCCAACAAGGCCATGCTGCTCCGCAAAGGTAACACACAAAAACTTCCAACGACCCTGTTGCACCTGATCTCGACGGAATCTTGGCATAATCACTCACATTTTTTCTGCTCCCGATACAGCTCATGCGGTCAAGGAGCAAGCCATGATGGCAGCAAAGGCAGCCAAAAAGCCGGTTGCTGGCGTGGCCAAGTCCAAGCTCTCGTTTTTGAAAGCGGCCAGTGCCGCACCCCTCATGCCCTTTGCTGGACGGAGCGCAAGCTACGACACTCACTGGATGGACAAGCAGGAGCGTGGGTTTGTCAAGTGGCTCAACTTTGTGCTTGCGCCCAACACGGACCTGAACATTGGCACCGTTCTCACACTCGGCGAGAGTGCGCCAGCTGCAATGCTCGGCAACATTACCAGTGTGGCACCTCGCCCTTTCGCTGCCCGTCGAGCGCTGGATCAGCTCCGCCGTCGTTCTTGCGAGATTTTCCAATCGGAGGAGGTCAGCCATGTCCTTCGCCGCATGGAGGCAGCTGTCGATGCCGGGCAGATTGGCGTTCGAGAGCATCACCGTCTGCTCCAGGACGTCGGTGCGGCGGACTCGATTGTTAATCTGCTCTTCCAGTACAACTTGCCCTGGCTGCGAGTTGCCCTGGAGACTGTCTTTGGTCGCCTGCTCGTGCTGACGGGCGACGTGGCCAACGACAAGATGCTACTGGCACGATGCATCCGGTCTCGATTGCTGTTTGACGAGGCAATCGCTCAAGAGTACACCGTGCCCAACGTGCCCAACAGCTTCAAGGACGGATTTTCTCAAAAGATGAATGCCTTTACCGTCAAGCGATTGCTGGCCGTCGTTTATTTGCTCGACAAGTCAAAGCAGGCGCGCATCATGAAGGACGACCCTTGTCTGTTCCGGTCTACATTCCAGCTGGCCAGCTCTGCCGACAAGACCGCGCTCAAGGCCAGCGCCGACCTGCTCGAGGCGTTTGCACATGCGCACCTGACCGGAGCCTTCAACATTTTGCGCGCACTCTCGCTCATTGGATTCACAGTCCAACACAAGCAGACCTACCTGGACGAGTTTGACTTTACGACCACCAACATTGCTATCGATTTGCGCGACGGCCTGCGTTTGGCGCGCTTGACAGAGCGGCTGACAAACGACTTTTCCCTTTCCGCCCAGCTCTCAGCGCCGGCCACCACAAAGCTACACAAGACCACCAACGTTGACCTGTCCTTGAAGAAGCTGGCACAATCCGGCATTGCTCTTGACATTGTTCGCGGGGACGGTGTTCACGCCAACGACATTGTCGACGGGCATCGCGAAAAGACACTAGCGCTCTTGTGGAAGATGATTTTCCAGTTCCAAGTGGAGCTCATGATTGACGAGGGCAAGCTTCGCCAGGAGATTGCCACGCTCCGCGCCGACCAGCCAATCGACGAGGACTGCGCGTTGGATACAGGCCTGTACTTTTCGGCGCCTCGTCTTTCGCTGCTGCTGCAATGGTGCCAAGCAGTTGCGTCCCATTACAACGTGGCTGTCAGGAATTTCACCACCTCGTTCGCTGACGGTCGGGTGCTGTGCTACTTGCTGCACCACTACTATCCATCGCTCCTTCCTCGTGAGGCAATCCGCGATGTGACCACTGCCTCTGCGCAGCACAAGTTGAATGACGACGAGGACGAGTCGGAAGAGGACGGCGCGGACGACGATTCATGCATCACCCGCACCGAGCAGGGTGGCTCAATGTTTGTGACCTTCAATCCGGATTTGTTGCAGTATGCTTCTCGAAGCGAGAAGCGTCGCGTCGACAACGAGAAGCAAAACTTTCAAGTGTTTGAGCAAAAGCTTCACGAGCTGGGCGGGGTCCCGCTGTTGCTCACCTCCAGCGACATGACTGCAACCATGCCTCAAGAAAAGGTTGTCATCACCTTTGTGTCGTATCTGTGCACGCGTCTGTTGGAGTTTAGCAATGAGAACCGCGCCGTGTCTGTCATCCAGTCCGCATGGCGTCAGCGAAAGCAGCGCGAACAGGCCCGCACGGTCTGCGCCGAGACATTGGCTGCTCAACGGGCAGAGGCGGCTCGGCTTCAAGCAGAGCAACTCAATCTTGCACGTATTCTGCGAGAAGAGGCAGCAGCTCTGGCAGTCAAGCAGACCACTGCCGCCGTGTGCATTCAAAGTGCTATTCGGGGCAGGCAGGTGCGCGTCAAACTCGAGGCGCAGCGCCAAGCTGCCGCCCAGAGCGCCGCAATGCTGGCTGCACAGCAGGCCGCCGAGGCTCGTCGCATTCGCGTGTTCTGCACTGCGTTTGTGCTCTTTACGGCCGCAACTTCCATCCAACGTGCATTCCGCGCTTATCAAGCCCGTTTGCGGTTGGCTGCAGCCAAGGCCGCGACCGAGCTGCAGATGCAACGCGAACTGGCCGAACAGAAGCGCTGCAATGTCCTTTGCACTGGCTACGTGATCTTTATGGCTGCGGTCTCGATTCAACGCGGCTACCGTGCTCATGTGAAACGCTGCCACGCCATTGCTGCAGCCGAACTTGCCGCAGCTCAACAGCTTTTAGCGGCCGTCACGCTGCAGCGATCTTACCGCGCAATGCAAGGTCGTCGCAAGTTGGCTGCGGCCATTGACACTGCACGTCGTCAGGTCGCACAGCAAGCTGCTGCTGAAGCCAAGCGATGCAACATTTTTGTTCATGGCTATGTCATGTTCATGGCTGCTACAAAGATTCAACGGGCATACCGGTCGTTCATTGTGCGTCGCGAGGTGAGCAAGAACGCTGCAGCAGAGGCAAAGCGCTGCAGAGTTCTTCTCAAGGGCCACGCCATGTTTATGGCCTCTGTTCAAATCCAACGCGCTTACCGCCATTGCTGCCAACGCCGACAAATCGCCGCCCAAGCCAAGCGAAACGCGCGCCTGTGCTATGCAGCAACACTGTTCATGGCTACCGTTCGTGCCCAGCGACGCATGCGCGCTCGGTGGTTGGCTCGCCAATTGTGCATGGAGAAGCGACTGGCTCTGTTGGCCCGCGCCGCAAGCCTGTTCATGGCGACCATCCGCATCCAGCGCACCTTCCGAAGCGTGCAACTGGAGCGCCAAGCTGCCAAGGAGGCGCAGCTCTTTGCCAAGCGATGCCGTGTGCTCACCAACGTTTGCCACATCCAGCATTCCATCATGTGGACTCAACGTGCCTATCGTGTCAAGCTCGCTATGCGCGCCGAGGCAAGGATGCAGCGTCTCGTTTTCGCGGCCAAGCTCTTCTTTGGAGCGGTCTGCCTACAGCGCCGCTTGCGTGCTCGCCATGCCGCTCGCATGACAGCCAAGATCGCTGCCGCACGCATTGCCCGCCTTGTTCATGCTGGCAAGTTGTTCTTGGCCACCGTTCGCGCTCAACGCATGTTCCGTGCCATCCTGGCTGCGCGCCAAGCGGCTGCCGAAATGTTGGCCATCAAGGCCGAGCACGATCGCATCCAACGCCTGCGCTCTGCCGCGCTTTGGTATCTCTCAGCCATTCGTGTGCAGCGCGCCTACCGTCAGCATGCAGCCCGTCGCGCGTTGATGCGGCATACACGGGCCATCACCAAGGTCCAGGCACTGTGGCGTGGTCGGGCGGTGCGCATTGCGAGCGAGCGTACAATTTCCCAAATCCGCCAGCGTCTGATGCAAGCAACGGCCCAGGTGCAGGACGACATGCGTCTGGGCAACCGCGCCCGTTCTGCGCTGGAAATGCTGCTGACGTCCAAAAAGACCTCCATGACCCTACGCGCGTGCAACAACCTGGATGTTGTCACTCAGCTGTCCGAAGCCTGCTGCGAGACCATGGTCCGTGCGGAGGGTGCTGTGCCCATCCTCCTGTCCCTGATCAGCTCGTGCAACCGCTCACCCGAGCACATGGAGATTCTGACCCACGCCCTCAACATTTTGCTTCACTTGGTCATGCTGCCCTCGACGGTGGAGGCCGTGTTTGCCGAGCCCAACTGCGTCAACACGATTGCCGAGCTGCTGCAAATGTTCCGTGACAAGGATGACATTTTCGTCAAGGCGTGCCAGCTCTTGATCCACATGTGCAACAACCCTGCACGCGTCGCTGCTGTGGTCAAGATGACTACCATCGTCCAGCGCATCCGCACCATTCAGTCGATCGTGCAGCGCAAATTCAAGCTCGAGCAGCGCCTCAAGCAGTCCGTGCCCAAGTTGCCAGCAGCCATCGGCAGCCCCGCCTCTCCCCGAGCCTCTCGTCGCCTGAAGCAGCAGTGCGAGCAGCTTTCCACCGTGAGCTCGATCGACGCACTCGTTGCCATGTTTGACGCCGCCACTCCCAAGCCATAAAAGGCGCGCGCATGGACGAACATTGCGTTTGCTTTTGTTGAAAATGAGTGTCGGACAATGTTGATTTTGTTAAGAAGTTTTGATTGGTTTTTTTTGTTTTGTTTTTGCTTGTTTGCCTTTGTATTGGTTTGTCTGGTTTGATGTTGTTCTTGTTCCAAGACAGTTCACTGTTTCAAATTGTAGATTTTCAGCGCATTTCGAATGCTGGTCAATGTTGCAGTTCAAAAGTCCATCACTTGTCTTTTTTGCTTTTCCCTTGTTTCAAATCATTTCTCAGACAATTCCCAGTTCAGTCTTCCTTCATTGGATATCCGTTCTGAGACAAACAAATGCAGTCCGTCCAAGTCAGTGGCAAAGCGACGCTGTTTCTGATGCTCACGTCGTTCGTCGCGGGCCTCGTTGTCGGCTTCCGAATCAACAAGCTGCTGCGCGAACACACACAGGCGCACGTCGAACGCAAGAAGCGGACCCAGCGCGCCGAGATTGAGCGCCTGCAGCAGCTCCACGACGCACTGTGAAACCAAACACAATGTTCTGAACACAAATCTCAGACATGTCTAAAATGTCAAACAGCTGAGTTTTGTGTCAAATAAATCCATCAGACGTATTCCAACTAAGAAACTGAGTGAAATGCCGAGAGAAGCGGCTCCAAAGCACAATGCAAGTACTGTACAAATGCAAACACTATCGTATTGAACGTTCAGTCAAAACCAGGTGCTCACACCGCGTCGGAAGAGGTGGAGCAATAACACAAAGGATTTTGGTTTCTTTCTATTGCTCTTACATTGAGTGCTGTTGCATTGGCGGCACATCGATCTCGTCTTGGAACCAGAATGTCTTGGCACTCCAAGGAAGGTGAACGCTGGTGTTACGAATCCCTCATCGGTCTTCCCCTCATTCTTCACTCTATTCATAAGTAAACGATACAGTACTTTTGCATTCATTTCATCCGCTTCAGTACCGATTCCAGGTGTAGGTTCCGGGCAAGTTTCGCAACATTGCCAAAATCACAACCACAACACACATCATAACAATACTTAGCATTGACATTCGTTGATGGCATGGCTTGCTTGTGTACCGTATGTATTCAGTACACGTCTAGAAAGCGACCATTCCGGGAAATCTGAGCACAACTCAGTCCCAATCCTACAAACAAACAAACAAACAAATCTCAGAGATGCACGTCGTTCTGCACTTTGACGTCAACAAGACGGTCGTGATGGACGACGCTGCTGGATCCAAGGACTTTATTGACATCCTGAACGAGGTCCTGGCCGAGTCGTGCTGGGGCCGAGTGGCATTGAACGGACGGGGAGCACCGACTTCTGCCGATCCTGCGACTGATCCCGCGCCGCCAGCGAGCTCACCCAAGCGCAAGTCAAGCAGGACGGAATCCATGGCCAAAGCGGCGGAGGTGGCGCCGGTCGCATCGACGTGGACAATCTTGGCAGATTGCGAGATTCAATCCGAGTCACCAGAGCCAGACAATCCGGCCGTCATGAATTACAGCGACTATGTCCACAAGATCCTGTATCCAATGAGCGAGATCAGGAAGGACGACGCGTCGCCGCAGGATTTCGAGGCACAGCTCGCAGACACCAAGGCGACCAAGCTCAAGCGCGCGGAACTGATCACCAGATTCACGCAGAGGGGCCAGCCGGGCCATGCACTCGCCAGCAAGATTGAAGAGCTCGATGCTGCGCTGACGGCGTCGGCATCGTCATCGTCGTTGTCCCCGGAGAGCGATGCAACGGCCCCTCGCAGAATCACCCGCAAGCGAGCGCACGAACCCGAGCGCTACGTGCTCGTCCCTGCGTTCCTGGATCTGCTCGTGTTTCTTGACAAGCATCGTCTGTTCCATAGCCAGGCTCCCGCTGAGTTGGACGCCGGCGGCAACGATCCAAGAGGCACAACATTTAGCATTGCGTTTCGCACGTTCGGCGACGACATTCAGCGCATCATTCAAGACTTGAATCGCTTTTGCGAAGGCCGCCATCCCATGTATCCGCAGGTCCGATTGGATGGGTCGAATGGTTCTGCGGACTTACGGGTAAAGCAGTGCTCGTTCTGGAAGCACACTAGCACAACATTTTTTTGATTGTTTGCACGATAACTAACTTTTGTGCCCAATTGTGTTTTTTTTTTGGGGGGGGGGGGTAGATCCTGAATAATGACGCGGTCGGCTGCTTTTATCGATGCGGACCATCGTCGGATGACTCGTATCTGATTCAGGGCACGATCGAAAAGCCACCGCGGATGGCAGCGGGCATCCAACATTACGCTGACAACCATCCCGGCTTGCCAGTGATCCAAGGATTTGCGGCGATTCATGCGGCGATTGGCGCGCTAGTATGCACGCATTCATGCATTGCGCTGCGTGACTACTTTGAGTGGTGGAGCGCGAACAGAGAGAGTATTAGCTCGGGCAAGCTGTTGCTGGTTGGCGACGACTTGCCGTTCGAAAGCATGTTTTTCGATGACAATTTCCGTGACGACGAGAAAGGCCATATCAAGAACATTGTTGATGTTCGAGACATGGGTGAGTAGCGTGAGATGTTGATGCGACTGAAACGCCTTACGCGATTGTTCGTTGACTGTGTTTTCAATGTAACCGTTTCTTTGCGAAAACAGCAACCGAGGAGGCCGTTCACGTCTCAGAGAGCATCAACCGCCACGTATTTACGGTCAAGCCGTTCGGAGTGATTACCGACCGCCGTTACTTTATCCGCCGCGTCTGCCAGCGTTTCGACCTGACGAACGTTGCGTGAATGGCTCTGCTTCGAGTCTTGACCCTGAGCATGGCCTGCATCACGAGTTAGGAGTTAGGTGTGCCAAGAAATGGATGCTCAAGTATCTTTTTAACTTACGAGGATAGTGAAGCATGAGGACGGCGGGAGGAGGGGGGGGGGAAGGGTTTCAAGGCCGGCCCCCTTTTGCCAGCCTGCATTATACTCCTTGTACTTGTCCCCTCTCAATGCCAACCCTTGTCTCCTTCTCGCAGTACCGTATTACAGTATTAATCCCCCCCCCCTCCCTGCCGTCCTCTTTGTTGTTTGTCTGAAATTCTCAGTCCCAACTCCTAAATCCACCCCACTTCGTCCACTCTTTTGTTTTTTTTTAAAATTCTTATTGAATCTTCCTTCCTGTTTTGCTTTATTGCATTCTTTGCTTTTATTGCGACACTATGGACGACAGCGCTGCGCCAACGCGGTACCATTGGAGCCAGTTTGACAATGAGCGCCGAGCGTCGCGTTCGAGCCTACCGACCGCCGCCGCCACCATCACAGCTCCCATGAGCACACGGCCAGCATCCCCACCGCCGAGCGGCAGTGGCAGTGGCAGTGGCAGTGGCAGTGGCAGTGGCAGTGGCAGTGGCAGTGCGACGGGCGGCCCGTTGCTCGCTCTGCCGCCATCGTCGTCCCAGTCTCCTCAAGCTCAGTCCAGTCCGCCGTCCTCCCGCGGGCAAGACGAAAGTTACTCAAGACACTACCGCGAGTCGCGTGAGGATGACCGCGACCGCGAGCGAGACCGACATCGAGGCGCTTCGGGGCGATCGTTCCAGTCGCAGTCCCAAGCTCAGGCGGATTACCGCTTGCGGAGCCACCACGCGTCATCATCAGGGCATGGGCATGGGTACTACAGCTCATCCGAGTCATCGCAGGCGCAGGACTACGGACGGAACGGGAGGTACAGCCGGCCAAGCGACCAATCGTCGTCGTATTACTCGAGATCTGCTCCGTTGCTGGCACATCCAGGCAGCAGCAGCAGCAGCAGAGATGCTGGTTCACGAGGCCATGATGGCTATTACAATCACCGCGGGAGCGGCAGCGGCAGCGGCAGTGGCGAGTCTTATGCGGACAGGCGAAGCGATCGAGACGACCGACCCCATCATCGCTCATCCAGTTCGAGTTACTCGAGTTACTCGGGTTCCTCGCATGACTCGAATCATGACGACCGACATCGCGATGCTGGATCTCGTGACTGGGACGGCGACAATGCCAAAGCTCATCATAATCATCATCAGCAGCAGCAGCAGCAGCAGCGAGGAAGCAAACGACCTGCATCCCCACCGTCCGCTGCTGGTGGTTTGCTGGGTGCTCCTGCCGGCCCGCGATTTACTACAATCGACGACATGTCCACTCCCACCGAGCGAGCCAACAAGCGGATCCGAACGGATCTGCCAAGCCTCCTTCCACCGCCTGTTCCGATTTCGACCGGTCGCCATTTGATGAGCAATCCAAGTCACGGCGAGGAGAGAAGGTACGTTGTCTCGCTCCGGAATGTCGCTCTACTTGTTCAGCCTGACAATCATCTCACCGTGTCTCCGGCTTTTTTTTTTTTTTTTTTTTTTTTTTTTGTTTGTTTGTTCATTTGCACTGTACAGCAACGAACCACCATCCATTCTCCCCTTTGAAGAGTTTCGAGCGCAATATTGCCCTTCCTTGTCGCTGGACGAGGCCCGCGACAGTCACGATACCTATGTCCTTGAGATGGAACGTGGCTTGATTGTGGACTTTTTCGATCAGCATTGGTCGGAGCCATGGTAAACGATCATCATTTGGCCCCGTGCAAGACATTCTGTTCGCCGCGTTGTGTTTTGTGAGACCTGACTTTGGCATTCTTGCTTGCCCCTGATTGCCTGTAGGTTCCAGGAAAAGTACAACCCTGTCGTCAAGGAGCAGCTTGCCGCGGCTCGTCTGGAAGAATGCGAGTTGAAAGCGACGCGCTTGTTCGAAGACGAGCGATTCAGCACTCTTCAACTCACAAAGGAGCATGGGTCCACTGCCGCTGCTCTTCTAGACACAGGTGCAGTGTCTATTGCTCTGAGTTTCATTGTTCCGGTGCTGTCGACTGACCCAACTTTTTTTTTTTTTTTTTTTTTTTGGGGGGGGGGTTTCTCAGTCGAAACGGCCTGGGATGATACTCTTCTGAAGCGCAACGAAGCGGCTCGTCGGACGCCATCGCACGAGCCGCCAAGTTCGGAGGAGAGTTCCGATCTGGCGGCACCACAGGCAATGGTCGAATCGAGCGAATTGAGCGACGCGAGCGAGTCTGCCGCGGCCGTTCCATCCGGCGAGATCATCTCCAGTGCGCGACTCGACTCAGAAAGTGACACACCACGTACACTGCAGCTATTCGTCGTCTCCATTGCACCACACATTTCGCGCGCGGAGGTCGAGAAGGTGACCATGTTGTCTCGACATTGTCATTGAATGCATTTTGCCCTGTTGAGTTTGTTTCTTTCGACTTACATCATTATTCCATGTTTTTTTTTCGCTGCGCTCAGCTCTGCCGATATGTTCCAGGCTACATCCGGCTTCAGTTGTCTTCGGCAACATCCGCAAAGCGCTTCCATCGACTTGGCTGGCTTTCATTCGCGCTCTCCACAGACCTTCTGGCTGCTCAGAGTCGGCTGAACAACACCATGTTTGGCGAATTCAAATTGATTGTACGAGATGCCAAGTCGTATCATCTGAGAACGCGCTACCAGCCAGGCCCGCTTGCGATTGACGCGGCTCGGGCTCGCACCCTCTTGCCGATTATTCGTCGGTTGATGACCTACTTTGATGAGCAAGTGGGGATGACCGCAGAAGCAGCGCGCCGCGAAGCTTTGCACGCCGGCGATGCCGAGACCATGGAAGAAGCAGAGCTTTTGGCGGTGTGTGGATGCTTTGCGTTTTTTTTATTAGCCTGCCGGCTCGCTGTTGTTTCTTTTCCCGCCTGGCTGACCTCGTTGTCTTTTTTGGTTGTGCTCTGATAGTGTTTGGACAAATGCGTTCTGTACTTGCGGGCGACTCATCACTACTGCGCGTTCTGCTCGGCCTCGTTCGATTCGTGCGAAGATCTTGAGCGGCGTTGCGGCGCTGTGCATTTGCGCGATGCTTACCCTGACACGGTCCTGCCCGCAGTCACGACGACCATGCCTCGCGAAGGTGAGCGCGTGGCATGCGAATCGCCAGTGTGTCTGTTTTTGATGTTCGCGTTGCCAAACTGTTCTCACACTCGCGAGGGCATTGTTGCTCGTCGATTAGGCGCGGACTACTTGACATGGCTGGCTCGCGGAGCAGAAATGCGAATGCGCACGCACGAGCTCGACGCGGGTCGAGTGGAAAGGATTGGCTTGCGAAATGCAGATCGTGATGCGGCCAACTTTATGAACAGTACTGTTGTACGTCTCAAGGATGACCGAGTGCGGTGCGGTATTTGCCAAGTCACTTTCAAAGGGCAAGAGTTTATTGAAAAGCACATTACGACCCGCCACACGCCTGCCATGATTGCTGCGTCGAACAAGGTAAGCAACCTTCTTATTTGTTTTGTGCACGAGATTGGTTTTGTTTTGGCCATGAAAGGCAGCATCGAAACCTCATTGTTTCTTGCTCCTCTAGGCAAGCACTTTCAACAATTTCGTTCGAGACGAACAACGGTCGATGGTCGGCACCAGGTTTGTTCCCCCGAGCTTGACCAAGCTTCAAATGCGTACCGGCACCAGCAGCCGTCAAGTTGTCAGCTATCATGATTTGTGATGCGAATTTAGAGCAATCCGATTTGGTTTTGTTTTTGAACAAAACAAATCACATTGAAGAAAACACACACAGCAAGACCAATAGGCAGGAATTAAAGTCCCAGTCGGGACCAGAAATATGAAAACGACCCCGCGAGAGCAAACCGTAGCATTCAAAGAGAATTGCTACAACCCGAAAACACGGGGGCACGAAGACGCTCTAGGCTTATTGAGCTGTGACAGTACCAAAGAGCGAACAGGAGTCAGTGTTTTCATGCATCATACCCGAAATATCGGCAACGCCAAACACCAAAGCACCATTCGTCAACCAACCTGAAGGAGCGCCGCTTCGTGCTGCATGGAAGTTGAGCATTTCCTGGAACATCAATTCTGTTGTCGTGCGACCACAGTCAAAGTAAGTTGCCAAGCAATAAGTCGAGCCGCTACGACCGCAGGAACAAGAAATGCTTGCCGTACCTTTTAGCACTTCTTTTGAGCAGGTTTCAGACTCCAAATCAACGTTAACCGGTCGCTCAGCAACAGGCTATCAAAGCACCACGACACAGCAGAGTTGAGTCACCATCCAGCAACCCCCTACTAGCGCAACAGTCGGCAGACACAATATGTTTGGTTATGTGTTGTTACCTCGTCGGTGGGATCGTAGTACTGCTCAAGGTAGGGGTGAGCCAGAGCATCCTCGATTGTGATGCGCTTTGTCGGGTTGAATGTCAGGAGCTTGTCAAGGAGATCAAGTGCTAAAGTCACACGAGACAACAAAACCACCACAGGTTGTTGAGCAAGTGCTCAAGTTCATAAACCCCCCTCCCACCCCCACTACCCCAGAAGCGATTTCTTTTTACCCTGGGGATTGGCGCTAACAAAGAGCGACTCCCACGGAACCTTGAGCTTGCCAGGAAGGGACTGGATGTAGGCAAGAGCCTTCTCGTTGCCAATGCAATCGAGATCGTCGGAGGCTGGAGTACCGACAATGTTGAGGATGAGCGTGAGCTGGTTGAGGTAGTGCTTGCCGGGGAAGAGCGGTCGTCCACCGAGCATCTCGGCGAGGATGCAACCAACCGACCATGTGTCGATAGAGTTGGTGTAGGCCTTGCTGCTGAGCATAATCTCGGGGGCGCGGTACCAGCGGGTGGCCACGTACTCGGTGAGGAGGCCGGCATGGTCCTTGGTGGGGTCGGCGACGCGGGCGAGGCCGAAATCGCAAATCTTGAGGTCGCAGTTGGTGTTGAGCAGCAAGTTGCTGGGCTTGAGGTCGCGGTGCAGGACGTTGGCCGAATGAATGTACTTGAGGCCGCGCAGAATCTGGTAGGTAAAGTAGCAAATGTGGTCGTTGCTGAGCGTCTGCGTCTTGAGCAGCTTGTACAAGTCCGTCTCCATGAGCTCCTGCACAATGTAGACATCCTTGAACGCCTCGAGAGACGGTGCGCGGATGAAATCAATGATGGCGATAATGTTCTCGTGGTGGAAGCTAGTCAGGATGCGAATCTCGCGCAGTGTTCGCTGGCAGTACGTCTGGTGCTCGAACGGGCTGATCTTCTTGATGGCGACGCGCGAGTTGTTGGTTGTGTCCAATGCGGATCTGCATGATCAGCACAAGTGAGGAAACAAAACATTTCAGAAGTGAGATTTGGAGAACAAGATTTTTTTTTTTTTTTTTTTTTTGGGTTTTCAGTCCGATTCACACAGTCACCAGTGCAAATACTCGTATCGTTGTTTTTTTTTTCTCATCTTCAGAGATCAGCTCTAACTTTGCCAAACATTCCAACATCAACAAGTGTTTCAACAGTCCGAGCTCGCACACGAACTCTTTTTGGTGCGTTTCGCTTTTTCAAAAACGTCGTGATGTGCACGGTCGAGTCCCATCGACGTACGACACTTCAGAGCTCCAAATGAATCATAGCTACAGTTGTTGTCCGAACCACCCCCTCAAACTCATCAAAGAGATACCTCAAACACATAAGGAACTCACAAGAAACACAAATTGCCGTCTCAGAACTCTGCGCTTCAAAAACAATCAATCCTTCCCTGTCTCTCTCTCTCTCTCTCTCTCTCTCTCTCTCTCTCTCTCTCTCTCTCTCTCTTCATGCCATGAAACATCACTGAAACCACTGAAGAACAATCCACAATCCATACGTCCGTCGCTCACTCGAAAGCGAACAAACTGCAGAACAAAAAAAAAAAAGAAAGAAAAAAAGCATCAAAGAGCGAATAATTCAAAAAAAGAAAAAAAATTCATCTCGTTTTTTTTTTTTTTTTTTTTTTTTTTGCCAATGCAAAATCCAGCCAAATTAAATAAAAAAATCGAATTTTTTAAAACAATCCAAAGCGGTTCGACTTTTTCTTGTTTGCTGTTTGTTTCGCTGACGTTCAGTCGTTCGTTCGCTTGCTGGCGTTTTCAAGCTTGTTCGCGTGTTTGCGTGTTGCTTTGGGTTTTGGCTTCTGTGGACGCTTCGACAGCCGATGAAAACGGGGGCGGGGGGGGGAGTATGTGTCACTGCTGCGAAAGCGGTTCCATGGAATAAAAAAAAAATCGGGGGCGCGCTTCGTTCCAGTCCACACACTGTCGCTCGGAGACGGAGGCGGGGGGGGGGGTAAGATTGGGCACCCCGGTTGCGAAAATGCTCAAACCCAGTGTGCAATGAGAGAATGGTGCGCCGTGGTGCAGCAGCAGAACCAGCGACCGGACTTCAACCATTCAACAAGAAAAAAAAAAAAAAAAAAAAAAAGTCCATCCCAAAATGCGGGCGGTAATCATTGAGTACCATCGATGCTTAGCAAAGCGTATGCGACATTGCCGCTTTCATACGCTCGACGCTCACTAATCCGCTTTTTTGTTCTGATTTTTTTTTTTTTTTTTTCAGTCAGAAATGCAAGAGAACGTACGCGACCATGCCATAGGCGCCCTCGCCAATGTAGATCAGATCCTTGTAGCGCGGAGCAACCTCGAATGTCTGGTTTCGCACGAGTTCGCCGCCCATTCGCAACAATGTCAGAAAACGATTGAAAAAATGAAAGACTGGCATACAAAAAAGGGAAGTCTGTCTTCTGAGACGATCGGAAAACATCCACCAAAAAAAAAAAATAGTCGGCTTCAGAAGAACTGTTCAACCGTTGTTCCGTTCGCAACAGAGTCCAATACCAGGTTCAATGGAGGAATATGCTGTTCAATGCACTTCCAATTGAAAAGAGCTCAGTCATTTTTACAATCTCGTTTCAAAGACCACCCATTGATGAAGCCGTGGTCTGCAACGTACCGCGTCCACTCGACAGCAACGCGACCATCCGACACTGCTGTGCCGATGGACACCACCACAGCGGACGGCGCGACTGCTGCTCTGATGACTGAGCAGCCACCCAGCCAAGCGGCTGCGAGTGATGACGCAAAGCCGACGCTTCTGGAAGCGGCTCACCATCATCAGATCCAGCCAACCGCCGCTTCCAAGATGGGGTTCCCGGCATCGCACTTGGACGGCTCGATGCTGCTCCGCGGCGATCGTGTGCGCTTGCCGCAGTCGGCGATGGAGCAGCTCGCTGCGAGTGGCCAGCTGGGAACGCGCACGCGGCCGCTCATGCTGCTGGCTGCCGCAACGCCGCGCGCACTGCAGCTGGCTCTTGCAGACAAGAAGCAAGACACCCAAGCAACTGGTGGCAGCAACAAGGTCGTCGCGTGTGGCGTCCTCGATTTCGGTGCAGACAACGGCCAAGGTAACAAAACAGTCCCAAACGATGCGAATTTCGCTCAGAAGTTTAAAATCTCCGTGCTTCTCGAACAACCAGCAGCGATCTGAGTGCGCCAAAGAGTGTCCAGTATGCTCACTGCGTACGAATTCCCACTTCCCTGATTTTTTTTTTTTTTTTTTTTTTTTTGTTTTGATGTCAAACAACAAACAGCCGACCTTCCGCGATGGATGGAACAAGCACTGCAACTCCAACACGGAGACTCCATCTCGTTCGTCGTCGCAGAGCTGCCTCGAGCGGAAAGCTGCGAAATTCAAGCATGCGACTTGGCGTTTTATCGACTCCAAGACCAAAGGTACAGTGTGATTTGGATGTCGAAAACAAAAGGCGAAAATCAGTCGACACGACACGCTCGTGCTCACCACTCATCCACCCTTTTGGCAAACAATATTTCAGGGCTGCACTTGAATCTGCACTCATGACCCAGTGCACAACATTGACGAAGGGCGAGCGCATTCGTGTCGAGTACGAAGGGAGACTGCACACCCTGTTTGTCGTGGATTTGCTGCCAGCCGATCGATGCTGCGTTGTGGACACGGACGTCGTGAGTTACCAGAAGTTTACATCCATCTTCCCCGCTGCTTGCTGACGAAAATTCTTGCTTGCGTCAACATGCTCACCATTCTCAACACCCAACACTCCAATCTTTCTGCAACTCACAGGAAGTGAAAATTTTGCGGCCAGCCATCCCCGACCCTGACGCAGCTCAGCTCGATCAAGCTGGGCCAACAGAATTGCTTATTGGTGGCAATGTTTCCCTGAATATTTCCTCAACACACTTTACCTATCTTCAAGTGAGTGTTTGTTGCAGCGGTGATGAAGGAGGCAATTTTTGCATGTTCTAAAACGTTGTCCATCATCCTTGGTGACAGTTCCGCGTCGACGCTGCTGATGCAACGGTGCAAATTGGATGTGCAGCGGTTGCTGAGGACTTTGAGGCGTACATTGCACGAGTGACAGGATCCACTCCGTCTCCAACGCGAGATTGCCATTTGCTCGCGCCAGACCACGACCGACTCTCGGCGGCGACCTTCACAATCAAGGCTTCAGCTCACCCGGACGCCATTGTTCGAACTGGCCCGTACATGCTTGGGCTGCGCGCATTGACTGCTGCGCCTTGCATTGTTCAGATCACTTACGACGTTGCGCCGACGCCGGATGGTCCCGCAGCAGCCGTTGCTGACGCAAGCGATCGCGTTGTTTGCAAAAATTGTCACCAGGCCGTTCCGGCTGCTCGGCTTGCACTGCACACTGCATACTGCGAGCGCAACAACATTGCATGCTCGACTTGTGGCAAGGCATATCTGCGAGCGCAGCCTGCGCAACACCAGCATTGCACCATCTGCCAAGAGCTGAGCACCTCCGATGCTGAAAGTGCCAAGCACATGCTTTTGCGACACACTCCCATGCCATGCACCCGATGCTCAGCAGTGTCCTTGCCGATGGCAGAGCTCCAAGAGCACCATCGTACCGACTGCACGGAGCGCATGGTGACTTGTCGCTATTGCCACAACTTGGTCCGTGCTGGTGCTCCTGCAACCGACCTTCATGCCCGTTACCGTGGTCTGACCGAGCACGAAAGCTATTGTGCCGGAAAGACAGAGACCTGCCCCGATTGCCGGCGTCCCGTCAAGTTGCGCGACTGGGATTCTCACCGTCAGGTGCACGAGTTTGATCGCAACCAGCGCAATGGCACTGCCTTGAGTGCGAGCAACAGCACTGGGAGCAACTCTGGCAGCAGTGGCAGCAATGGCAGCAGCGGCAGTAGAAACACTCCGTCCTTCTCCTGGACGTCACCCACCGATCCGGCAGTTGTGCGGGCGCAGGCAGACCGTGCCCGCGCGCGTCTGTTTGGCCAGATTGATCCAGAGTTTGCAGGCACCGCGTCAGCATTTGGACAGCATGACGATGATGATGCGGAGGCAATCATCCGAACAATGCAGTCCGCCTCCGACCAACAGGAGCGACTTGTTCGCGAGCAACAACAGCTGGAAGCTTCCATCAAAGCACGGGCGCGCCCGATCAAGCCTGTGCTCTGCGACAATTATCACTGCATGAATGTACTCCCATCCTCCTCGTCAACGGCGGCAACTGGAGGTGACGCCATCGCTGCCGCCATTGCGAGCGGCACAGGACTTTGCCAAACGTGCTACAACATCCTCGCCACCGTCGACGCGACCATCACACCCGAGCCGACGGCTGTGCTGCGTGCCTTGTTCAAGTTATCCTTCTTGCGCATGACTCAGCCTTGTCCATGTGCATCCTGCGTCGCCCTCCCGCGCTGCTGCACTGTGCACGACTTGTGGGCGAAGACGGACGGCTCGGCCACGGCTTGTGCCGCTGCAGCGCTGGAACTCGCTCGAAAGGCGTTCGACCCGGCGTACACGTCTACTTGCGATAAAATTTCCTCCTTCCGCTATTTAATCTGCGTGGATCCCGGCATGGAGGAGCAGTACCAGCGCGCTTGCGCCCTCGCACAGCTTGCGGGTGTTGGTTTGCCATGGGCGTCCTATGCCCTTCGGCTTCACAGCAATCCCGACCGTGCAGCCATGTTTTTGTTGGATTCCGCTCCTCAGTTTGCAAAAGTTTGATGCGCGGGCACTCACGTGCTGCTCGAGGATTTTGGAAACTTTGTATCTTTTACGCACAATGTAATCCATTTGTTTTAGCAATGCTGTATGGCAGACAAGTAACACTTTTGGCTAGGCCGCCAACCGCTCATCAATCGCCACAATCCGCTTGCGAAGCATGTCCTCCCAATCGTCTCCTTGACGCATTCGCAGGGTGCCCTCAGGCAGGGCCGTGTCGAGGTTGTTTTCGTTGGCTAGAGTGCCTGAGGGGTCATCGCGGTCGAGCGCCTGACGCATGGACGGGGGAAGCGGCACGGGTTTGCCAATAATCTTGACAATGCTGTCACTGAACTTTGCAGGCGTTGCGGTGGCCATGCACACGACGGGAATGGCCGGTGAGCTGCTACGCACCCGTCCCGCATGAACAGCATGGACGCCGATGGCCGTGTGCGGATCCAACACGTAGCTGCCATTCGTGCTGTCGTACACCTGTCGAATGGTGTCGGTCACATCGTTGTCATTGGCAGCGTGCGAGCTCAGACCAGCGCGAAGCGAGGCGAGCAGCGGTTCGGGAATGGTGGCCGAGCCTGTGTGCTCAAACTGCGTCCAGAACTTGGTCACCAACTCGTGGTCGCGATTGCTGGCGAGATAGAGAATGCGCTCAAGGTTGTACGGCACCTGAATATCCATCGAGGGAGCGAGCGACACGACCACATTTCCAGCCAGGGAAAACACGCCCGTGGTGAGCGCGCGGTGCACAATGTCGTTCTGGTTGACGGCAGCTACCATCTTGATGGGCAGACCCATTTGGCGCGCAAGCATGCCCGAGGCAATGTTTCCGCACGCGCCGGTTGGCACGACGACCGAAACCTCGGGCAACTGGGCAAGAGCTGACGCGGGCACGGCACGCAGATAGGCAAAGAAAAAGTGCACCACTTGCATCATAATGCGGGTCCAGTTGACAGAGTTGATCGAGCAGAGGCGGTGGCGGGCGCTGAATTCGCGATCGTTCAAAACGTTTCGAATCGGCACGTCCAGGTCATCCGATGAGCCATCCACTGCGTAGACATGCACGTTTGGCTCACGCACAAGTGCCATCTGCAGCATTTGCACGCGGCTGATTCGGCCTTCGGGGAAGAGCACGACAATGTCAACACTCGTGTTGCCCCGCACCGAGTCGATGGCGGCCGAGCCCGTGTCGCCGGACGTTCCAACAACAATCGTGCGATGCTCACCCGTACGTGACAGGTAATGCTCGAGCAATCGGCCAAGCAGCGACAAGGCCAAATCCTTGAACGCGCCCGTTGGTCCATGCCACATTTCGGCCACCAGCACTTGCTGTGGAGCTCCGCCCGTGCTCGCGTTCTGCGGCAACATCAACGGCACCACCGGCAAGACATTTTCCGGGTTGTCAAACTTTGCAAAGCACGCATCGAGGATGTCTGTCGTGAGTGAAACAAACGACAAAAACCAAAACAAAAAGCAAAAACAAAAAACAAAAAACCCGGGTGAGTCAAATAGCAACATATTGCAAACTCTATGCCTTAGCATGCCTAGTATTATTGGATGGAAGGGAGTTGGAATTGTGCTGAGAACGCAATGCGGAGCATTTCCATCCCAAAAAGCGAACAAGCAACAAAAATGCTCCGCTTTTGCTTTTTCCCAACATCTGCGGAGACAAAGGGGGGGAGCACAGGACGAGATTGAGGAATGAATGAACGGGGAGGGGGGGTTGGACTGGATGTACCGTGGAGGGCGGCGACGGGGAGCGCGGCTTGATCTGCTGGGTTTGTGAGGAAGAGCGGCAAAATCTGCTTGGCGAGTCCGACGTAGCTCAGCGACTGCCACGCGGCGAGGTCGCTCGCAGTGATGGTCGGGATGTGCTGCGGCATGAACAGACCGCCGTCGGACGCGTAGCCGGATAGCACGGTCGTCTCAAAGCTCGCGAGGCCAGACGCCGGGCGCACAGCGCTCGCTCGCGTCGATACAAAGGCCATTCTTCCTGTGGTTGACTATTTGCAAAAGAACAAGAGTGGATGATGAATAAGCAAGACTTAGACTGGAAGGATGTCCATATCATAAATGCTGAACACTGTTGTTGGTGATCTCAGTTGTTCACTGGCAGTCTTTTTTGTTTCAATTCCAGCCCTTCACAGTAGTGTGTAGTGGACACCATTCAGCCCCACACAGTTACCTGATTCATTTTCATTTTCATTCCTCCACCATCCGCAATCAATGTCTGCTGGAAATCTGGCTTGCCAGCGCGATTCGTACCTGCGCGAGCTCCACACGACCGTCGCGACGTGCACTCCAGCGGCCGACGGACTCTTCCACGTCACGTTTGAAGACACTGGTACGTCGACAATCCATTTCAGCATGTTCGCATTGGGGATGAAAGTGGTTTTGTGTTCTGAGCCAACAAAATCTCAGAATGGTAAACCAAATTTTGCCCACCATCCCTGTTCACCCAACTCACGGTGCTTGCATTTTGGGCGTTTGGGGCATTGTTGCAACAGTGCTGTTCCCTGAGGGCGGAGGCCAGCCGCACGACACTGGAAGCGTCAATGGCACGGTAGCAGTGGTCGCCGTGGTTCGCAAGGGCGCAGTCGCCGTCCACCACACGCAATCGCCGCTCGAGCCAGGCACGCCGGCGCACCAGACAGTGGACTGGAAGCGTCGCTGGGATCACATGCAGCAGCACTCGGCGCAGCACCTCATCACTGCGGTCGCGTCAGACCAGTTTGGCCTCAAAACCACTTCATGGTAAGCCAGCTGCCCCTCATTCACTCATTCACAGACATACGATCAAGCACCACTCGAGCAGCAGTCCAAATGTTGTTCATCTCGTTTTCTGATGGGTCATGATGGAACTCACAATGACCGAAACAAACCGAAAACACAACTTCACTTCCCAGGTCGCTCGGCGCTACAAAGTCGACAATCGATCTTGTCGGAGAACGGCCGCTTACCGACGAAGTCATGCAGCAGCTCGAAGACAAGGTCAATGAAATCATCGCGGAAGGTCGAGATGTGGTTGCAACCACGTATCAGCCAAACTCGCCCGAGCTGATGGCCGTGCGCTCGCGAGGACTGCCCGAAGACGTGCTGGCTAGCGGTGCGGCGATCCGTGTGGTCTCGATTGGTGGGCTGGACGTCAACACTTGTTGCGGCACGCATGTCAAGTCGACTGCTCATCTGCAGGTAAGAGAAGCGAGCAAGCAAAATGCAGAGTGTGTCCGACAAATTTGTCTCCCATCTTGTGTTTGTTGTTCGTTTGCCTCTCCAGACCGTCAAGCTGCTGCACACTGAAGCGTCTCGCGGTGGAAGCAGGCTGCACTTTGTTGCAGGCGAGCGAACGCGCGCACTGCTCGGCGCCATGTACTCGGACATGCGTACCCTGGGCAAATCCTTTACTTGCGGACTGGAGCTGGTGGTCGACCGAGCAGAGGGCGCGATCAAGACGAGCAAAATGCTTGGGCGTCAGGTCAAAGCCCTGCTCAAGGAGGCGGCAGAATCTGCAGCCAAACAGCTGGCAGAGGAAGCCCAGCAGCGAACGGAGGCAGCCTCTGGATCGGCTGTGGTCGTCGTCCACCATCATCGCGACGAGGCAGACCAGGACTATCTGCTCACCGTCGCGTCTCCGCTGGCCACGTTGCCGATCGTTGCGTTTCTCAGCATCACCCCTCCACAGGAAGGGTCGACGCCCAGCTACGAGGGCCAGTTCTTGCTTGTCGGCGCCAACGAGCAGCATGTCGCTGCTGCTGCTTCTGCCGTTTCTGTCATTGTTGACGGCAAGGGTGGCGGCAAGAAAGGGCGCTTCCAAGGCAAGGCTAAGCAGCTGACGCCTGCCAACCGTGCAGCTGCTGTTGCTGCGATTGACGCTGCCATCCGAGCACTTTGATGCGGGGGAGTGGGGAGATTTTTTTGCGTGCTGGATGATGATGATGATGGTGCTGCCATTCAAGTTCAATCAATACAGATGCCCGCTCTGATTTGCTTGAGGTGTTGGATCGGCGTTTCGAGTTTCGGTGCCATTTTTCAATGCTTCCTTTGGTTTGGTTGTCCATCTCATCTCAGACTCTCTTTTTCCTCCTTCTTTCCTTTTGTTATTTGTTTCTTTTCATTTCTTTCCTTTTCCATTTGTTTCTCATTTTTTTTTCCCGTCCTTTTCTTTCCATTTGGGTTGATTGTTTTTTCTCCTGAGCCAATTGCTCTGCACTGCACTGCACTGCCACGCCGCTCAGCTCCAAATCCGAGGCACACACCCAACTGCCCCCCCCCCGTGTTGACAAAGGTGCGCGTTTCCACAGCGATCCTGCAATTGGCAGCGCGCGCGAGCCATTCGTTTTTTTTTATCCCCTTATTATTATTTTTTTTTTTGTATTTTTTCTTACCTTTTCGCGCCTCCAACCGTCAACAGACAACTTTGTTCCCTCGACAAACTCAACGCCTCACGCACAGAGTCCACAAGCTCAAGACTCAAGAACCATCGACACGCAAAGACACACACGCAAAGAGCACACACCCCTCGCACGCACGCACGCACGGATCATGGAAGGAGGCTGCGCGAGTCGGATGCAAGTCGCGCGCAAGGCAGGCACCGCCCAGACTACTCTGCCGCCACCAGCCTGCTCCAGCCAAACCAGCGGCAGCGAGCACCGCCACTCGCCCAGCAGCATCACCAGCAGCAGCAGCAGCAGCAGCACTGGTATGAGCAGCAGCAGTGTGAGCAGTGGTGTGAACCAGCAAGCAGAAGCAGAAACAGCAATGTTCACTGCCAGCCCCATTGCCAATCAATGGCGCGCAACCGCCAGTCCGCTCGACATCCCCGACGGCCACGCCACCCACGACACTGTCATGGCTACTGCACCCAGCTTCGACGTAGGCTGGAGCGACAGCGACCGCGACGGACTGGCAGCCGCAGCGTCGCCGGTAGGACGGAGCGCGGGAAACACTGCTTCTCGTAAATTTGAATTTGGCGCGCAAAAAACCGTTTCTATTGCCTTTTCCGGTCCGAGTTTGTCGAGTGTCGCACGGTCGCCGCGGCTGCACTCCTGCGAGGCTGCGATGCCGGCCGTCCGTGGCGACGATGGCGATGACGACGAGGACAACGAGGACGAGGCTGGTGCTGCGACTGCTGCTCCCTGGAGGGCTGGTCTGGTGAACGGGTCTCGATCTTGTGATCCGCCTGTGACCCGCCTCGCAACAACCAGCGTTTCCCAACAGGAAGACGAAAATGCCAAATCAAGCAATTCGAGTAAATCACTCCACATTCTGCAAGACCCTAATCTGGCGTCCAACCAACAAGAAATCAACAACACGACCTCAAGACCAGCCGCGGCAGCCACTTTGCCGATGCCGACAAGCAGTCTCTCTGTTGCTGCTGCTGCTGCCAATGGTGGTATTCGAGCGCATGCAGTAGGAGTCATGTCGCCCGCGCGCAGCAACCACCGCAATCCGTCGACTCCGCAGAAACTGGCCTCGTCTGCGAACGCCCAGCGATTTGTCGCCAATCGTAACGCTGCATCGCACGCAGCTCGCTTGCTGTTTGACGTCTCCATTGACAGGGACGCGTCGAGTGTTGCTCTTCACTCGCCGAGTACCACCACCACCACCACCATCAGCATGAAGGGAATCACCAATTCGCAACGCAGTCAGGTATCAACGAGCCCCCGTTTGACCCACCCAGAGCAACAGCAGCAACAGCAACAACAACAGCAGCAACAACCGAGCTGCAACACCCCGCACCGATCGCCGCGGAATGCTCGGCGGCTCGAGTTTGCGGCATCGCCCTTCGCTGGCATTCCAGTCGCATCCACCATCTCAGAACGCCCAGCAGAGGCAACGCTGACGGCGCTATTCCGAGCGACGGGCGTACCCAGTATTGAGATTTCGTCACCGCTCGAGCCGAGCGCGGCCACTCCAACTCGACGAGCTAGCTACGAACACTTGCAGTCAAACTCGCTCGCTTCGCTGCGGCAATCGGGCTTGTCCCCACGGCAGCGAACCTGCTCGGAGGGCGACGCATCGCCAACCCTCATGCGATCCACCAATCTCTTTGCATTCCAAGACCTCTCACCGCCTGGCGGGCAGCTCTTTCGCCACAAGCGTGGCATTGCCGACCTGGATGATCCCGCCGATGACTCTGCTCCTTTGCACTCTGAGACACTGAAGCGTCCTCGCATGCTGCCTCACAGCAGCACCCCGAGCAGCCCCACCGCTACCCAGCCACTTCCCGACATCACCGTCTCCATGGACAGCGACGAGCCAGTCGTCGTCAACGGACTGCCCTCTCCCATCAGCCCGTTTATTCCGCCCTCGCCAATGCCAACGCGTCAACTGCGATCCAGCATCCATCCAGATGGAGGCTTTGTTCTGGCGGAGCCCTTAACGGACAGCACTGTCGACAGGCAGAGCTTTCGCAACCAGTCCTGGCTCGCCAGACCGTCTGGTGAGGCCCTTGCCTTGCTTGCTGCGTCAGGTTCGTCGACACTGGCGATTGGCGCATCTCCTCGGGTGCCCACGTTTGCCACCCAGAGCCGCTTTCCTCACTTGCGCCAAAACTCGGTCGAGCCCGGCGCAAGCCGTTCTCGCCTACAGGATGACTTTTCTCAGAAGGAATTGATCGGCTCCGGCGAGTTTGGCACAGTCTATCGTTGCGTCAACAACTTTGATGGCATGCCATACGCCATCAAGAAGCTCAACCACAACATAAGGTCTGTGGCGGACTCGCGCTCGCACCAAAAGGAGGTTTGGGCTCACTCGATTATGGGCACCAACCGCCACGTTGTGCGCTACTATGGCGCATGGCCAGAGAACAATTCCATTTACATCCAGAACGAGTATTGCGACCAGGGCAATCTTGAAAACGTCGAGCACGAGTTTTCAGAGCCTGAACTCCGCGACATGCTGCGTCAGCTCGTCAGTGGCCTTCGTCACATGCATCAGCACGGCCTTGCCCATCTAGACATCAAGCCGGCCAACATTTTCCTTTCAAACGAGAGCGTGATTGACGAGGAATGGGCCTTTAAAGAAGATGTGCCGTTTCTTGGCCGGTCTGGCAACCGCAGCAGGAGCAGCAGCAGCAGCCACGGCTACAACAATAACAACAACAATATCAACAACCTCACCAGCAACAGCAGCAATAACAACGGCACACAAACAAACCCTTACAACAGACCCATTATCAGTTTGCGTCGTGCTTCAACCACCATCCGTGAGCGTACCGTCTACAAGCTTGGCGATCTTGGTCACGTTGCCTCGATCCAGTCACCGGATGGGAGCGATGTCGAGGAGGGCGATCGTTGCTACATGGCGAAGGAGCTGCTCCATGAGCCGGTCGACGTGTCCCAGCTGCAAAAGGGCGACATTTTCTCCTTGGGGATTGTGTTATATGAATTGGTGAGTTGCGAATGGTTTGCGATCAGGTCGCGAGGGAGGGAGGGAGGAAGGGAGGGGGGGGATTACGGGAAATGGATTGTTTGTTCTAATCTTCTGTTGGTTTACGAAAAACCAAAAAAAAAAAAAAAAAAAAAAAAAAAAAAAAAAAAAACAGGGTACGGGCACCAAGCCTCCACCAAACGGCGACGATTGGCAGGCCCTGCGAACAGGCAAGGTTCCCGAGATTCCGCGTTTCAGCAAGACCATGAACGATTTGATGCGAGTAAGTTTCACTTTTTGTTTTTCGCCCTTCGCTTTGACAAGCTGCATCCAAGAAACTGGAGTGATGGAATTCTTACGTCTGGGCTGGGTGCTTGGTTCCCTCTGTGCAGCACATGCTCCATCCAGATCCTCGCCAGCGCCCATCGTGCACAGATCTTGTGAAACAGCTCGATCTCGCTCTTCCGGGGAAATCAACGTCTCTTGCCGTTTCTTTGAAGCAGACCCGCACACAGCTCGAACTGGAGCTTGAGCAAGAGCGCAACAAGGTGTCGCAAGGTCTGTTGGAGCTTGAGCAAGAACGCAACAAAGTGTCCGAGCTGAAGCGTCAGCTGGATGATGCTCAGCTTCAGCTCGAGCGCGATCATGAACAGCTTCAGTCTTTGACTGCACCGGCTTCTAATCCTCCCTCGTCGGGGACCCACGCTGCACCGGCGAGCGGGCCTGCTCCTATGAACGATGGGACCACCGGGACCACCAGTGAAAACCCTCAAACGATTCGCGCTGAAGCCGTCAAGCCGGTGGAGTTCGATTTTAGGCGACCTATTCTGTTGCCACCACTTGCACCCCGAGACATGAATGGGAACCAAGTGTCGCGTGCAACACTCAACAAGCGGGCTGCCTTTTTGCGCTCACAAAGCTTTGCCTGAGCCTTTCTTTTTTTTTCTCTCTCTTCGTTTGTCCAGGTTGTCTTGTATCATCATCATCATCCTCGTCACCATGCTGGCTAGTCCATCGAGATTCCAGCTGTTGAAGCGCAACGTTCGCGGCCGGTCTGCGAGTTGCTTGTATTGTTTTTCGTATTTCTTTCTTTTCTTTTCTTTTTTTCCCCCCTATGTAATCTGCTCGTCTCCTCGTTCTGCTTTTATCTTTCTTTCTCCCTTTTGGCTTTTTGGTTGACAAAGCCGGTGTTTATCTGTGTGTGTCTTTCTCTCGCTTCGATGGTTGTAACAAAGCTTATTGTATTGCTCCATAAAACAGTACAGCACTTGCGCATTACTCTCAATCTTTTCCCATGTGCATCTTTGTTCACGCCAATGTTTGACACTGTTTGTCTTCAGTCTCTCTTCTTTTCTCAGAACTTTTTGTTTTTTCACTCATGGATCAGTCCATTGACTGGGTGCTGAATGCACTGCTTCCGACGCCCGCCCACGTCGGCGAGATGGTCCTTTCTGGTCTTGGCACTGTCATCACGCAGCCCATGCTGGTCACCAAGACGCTCGTCATGCATCGCTACGAGCCCGTTGCCCCCGTCGCAGCGAGCGATCTGCTTGGCCGCCCCGTTCTCAAGCTGCCCAACGGCTTCACCTATGGTACAAACAAAATCTCTACCATAAGAACACTTTACAAGAAACCCTTTGCAACGAGTTTGCTTTGGGGTTTGATTGGAGTTTTCGCTTGTCTTGGCATTGCCGTTCACTTCACTCACTTCGTCTTCCCTCTGTATTTGACTGGACACTTTGGTATACGTCGGAAAAACCTCGTCGGTCGACTCGCACTCTGGAAACGTCTATATTTTGCCATGGTTTTTGTCATTCCATCTGAAACGCAGCGCGATGGATTTGGAAGACACACGGCGTGAAAACCTTGTTCACCGGTCTCGGAGCGACGTTTACGTCCAACTTGGCGGGAGAAGTCGCCGGACGCATGCTTGGTAAAGTGCTCGCGCCGTTCTTGGAGGTCAAGCCATTCCGCTCGACCGTGTCGCCTCTGGTGGCGGATGACTACCTGAAGCGTGTTCGCGCTGGCGAGCTCGAGCCCGTCTTCTCACCGCTGCCCACCACCTTCGGCGAGCATCTCGTTCGCTTTGGCAAGGCTTGGACGATGCGCATGGCTACCATGATGCTGCGTGTGGCGATCAGCTATCCGGCTGCCGTCGTGCGCGCCCGTATGATTGCCCAGATTGCTGGCGGCGAGACCATCTACACTGGCACCGTGCAGTCGCTCGTGCACATTGCTCGCCGCGAGGGATTCTGTGGCCTGTTTGCTGGCTTGCAGCCATCGCTGCTGTCGAACGCGTATCTGGTCACGGCGGGTCTGATTGTTCCGTACGTCTTGGAGTGCATCGCCGAACGTCGTGACATTGCCGCACGTCAGCAGCGTCGTGACCAAGCGCGTCATCATCACGGCGGCGACGGCGACGAGGACGAAGAGGTCGAATTGAACGAGCACGATGGTGACCTGGACGAAGACGACGACCACCTTTCTCAGGAAGAGCTCCAGGAATTGCACTTCCAGTTCCTGGCCGGCGAGCAAACCCGTCGTTTGTACTTTGTGGCCATCGAGTACCTCACACAGCCACTCGGCTTTGCGCTCAGCCTTGTTTCCAGCACAATGAAGCTTGCAGGCAGCGAGCTCGCCCTCGCGCCCAAGCCTCGTCCTGCCACATGGCAAGAGTGCTGGCGCAGCTTGAGCGCCGAAGGCTGGACTGCTGCTGGTCTTTTGCGCGGCAACAACTTGGTATGGCGCACCATTCCTGTGGCTCCAAGCACAGCCACCTTCTGACAGCGGACATACCCGAGGTGTTTGTTTGATTGAACGACTTTCATTTCTTGAATTGAAACAAAAACACAAGAAAAAAAACAAAAATCGCTGTTCGGCCAGTTTGCGTTTGTTTGTTGTTTTGCAATGTCTGAAAACCAAAACAAGCCGAGGTCACAGCCGCCCAGTAAAAGTTGACTTGAACATCACAAAGTAGTAAAGTTTATGAAAGCACAAACAGATGCAAAAAAAAAAAAACAACAAAGCAATCAATCCAATGCTTCATTCACAGGCGAACGAAGTGCCAACAACGATAAACAGCTGGAGCACTGAAAGAGTCCAAGCCCAACCAGGGGGTAATGGTGGTGGTGGTGGTGGCGGCGACAAAACAAAACAAAAGACGAGCAAGGACAAAAAACCCAAAGAAAGAAAAGAGGTACATGAGATGACGAGGTTGAACGTCGAAAATAAGTGACAAAAAGGAGAACAAGGACACAATACATGCTCTGGAAAATAATTCACACAGGCATGGCAAACACAAAAAACCCACACAAACAAAATATGACAAGCACAACCACACAAACAGGAAAAGACGAAGACAAATAGGAAAGAGAGAGAGAGAAAGAGAGGAGACAAAACGGAGGGATTAGCTTTTGAAGAAATTGGGAAAAGAAGTGAGCTCGAACAGCAGTTCCAGCGGGCTAAGAAAGATACGGAAAAAAAAAGAAGGGCGAATAAAAGCAAAAATCTAGGAGAAACCCATCCTGCTCGAACGCGCAGGCCAAGTACAATGAAGAATATTATTAGCACTCGGACGTGGTGGGTTCGTCCTCCTCGTCCGCGTTGGAAGCAGCAGCTCCGTTAACCTGAACAAACAAACAAAAGAGAGAGAGAGAAACAAACGCGAGTCAGCAACAGAGGTTCACCACACAATCCACGACACACAAGCCAAAATGAATGCTTACGGGCTCGGAAGCGAGCTCTTGAGGCTGCTTAACAACATCAGCCCACGACTTTTGCTCAGCCACAGGCTCGGATTCGGCAGAGACAGGAGCTTCTTGAGCTTCAACAACAGCCTCCTCGGCGTGCTTCTCCTCAGCGTGTTCTTCCTCGGCGTGCTCCTCCTCAGCGGGCTCCTCCTCAGCAGAGGTAGCGGCGGCGGCAGCAAGAACAATGTGCGAAGGCAAAGTCTCGATGCCGACATCGAGCGATGCACCCTCGCTTTCGGGGACAGTTTCTTGTACGTGCGTGTCGTCCGACTCGTCCTCAGCTGGAGTTGTGTCCAACAGCAGGACTTGGGACGGAGCAGGCGCCTCAGTTGCCGCCGCCGGCTCCGGCTTGAACTGCTCAAAACCGCTCCACTCCTCGCCAGACGAAATGGCGTGGACATTCTCTGACGAAAAAGCACGTGCGCGCTCACGCATCTTTGGCTCGGCTTCGTCATTCTCTGCAGGCGAAAGCGGAGGCATGATGCGAATGCTCTCGTCCTCGTCGCCAGAGCTCTTGCCCTCAGAGTCATCGTCTTCCTCATCTTCCTCATCGTGCTCGTCCTCCTCCTCATCGTCGTCGTCGTCATCGTCGTCATCATCGCCAAACGACGGCCGTGCTCGGTTGAACGCAAGCGAGCCAGGTTCGCGGTCGTCGGGGTCGTATTGGGTGACGTTTCCGAAGGGATCTTGCATGCCATACACTTGACTGCGGAGGGTGAAAGTATTTAAAAGAAAGATTGAAGGGTAAGCAAGAGAAGGCATGACAACATCAAAGTCAAGAGGGAAAAAAAGGAGAAAAAAAAAAACAAAAAAAAAAAAAAAAACAGATAACGTACTGCTCGTCATCATCGTCATCGTCGCCGTTGAACTGCGCGCTGTGATGCTGCTGCTCAATTGATTGTTGATCAATGAGGTAGTGTGAGAAGGCCTAACGCGAGAAGAGCGAAAAAAAAACCCAAGTCAGCATGACAAAGCAAAACAAACCAAACAAACAAAACGGCGTGCGCTCGTCAACATACCGATTGGGTGTTGTCGTCATCGCCCATGTGTTGCTCGAGGAAATCGTCCTCATCGCTGTCGTCCAGAGCGGAGGGCCGCGGGCCACCAAGCTCTCGGCTATTGAGATGGTTGAGCTGGGCCAGTGGGCCTTCGGTAAAGGCATTCCAAGCAGCCAGGGTTTCGGCAGTAATGACGTCTACAATGAGGACAACGCAAGCAAGAAAAAGTCCAACATAGCAAAGGAAAAAAAAAAAAAAAGGTGAGTGCATGAAAATGAAGTAGAGTCGGCGGCGACATCAGCACATGGCGCGAATCGTTACCAGGAATGCTGCTACGATCTTCTTTCAAGGACTCGGAGACAATGTTGGCAATGCTGGTCAAGTGACCCATAAAGCCTTGTCGGTTGTGCTTCAGAACACTGCCGTTATCGAGCAGGTTGGCCGAGAAACCATCGATAATGCGTTGGAGGACGCGGCCTTGGTCGAGCGCGGCAACAAGCAGCTGCTCAAACTCGTTTCGCTCAGTCGAGGACGGTTGCGGAGTGAAAATGGCACGGATAATGTCCTCAACAAGTGCGTGCAGGAAGTTGTTCCATTGGAATTCAAAGAAAAGGTCCTGCAAAACAGAAAAAAAAAGTGTAAGTCTGCAGTCGCTCCAACACCAAAATCGATCATCCCACCAGCAACAGTACACTCTCTCACCAAGACAGTGTCAAGGGCTTTGCATTCGGCAAGAGCCTTGTATGCATCAGCATTGCTGGAGCGGAAGAGCATCGCCAGGAAGCGGACAATCTTCAGGCGAGTGGCGCCAAAGGGACGCTGAAGCACGCCCGACGTGAGCTTGAGGGGCTGTGCGTCGGCCAAAGAAGCCTGATCGAGGAGCATGGCATGCAAGTCCTTGATGCGAGGAATAACGTATGACAGAACGCGCGCGGGTTCCAAGGCCTGCCGTCCTTCAGCAGCCTCAGCCTCCATGGACGTGGGTGAGCCTGATCGGGGCTCTTCAACAGATTGGGGCCTGAAAGCATGGCGAAAAATGGGGAGAGGGGAGAGGGGAAAGGGCGGTGAGCAATGATGAAGTTCCAATAAAAGAAAAAAAAACTGTGCAAAAGACATACGTTTCACGGTCGTGGTCGACAATGTTGAGAATAACGGTAAGGCCATGAATCAGCGACGACGAGCTGGTCATCATGACATCCAACAGCAGATGGATGTTGGCTTCCTCTTGCAACATGCCAATGAGCTCGACTGGTGGGGCCGAGAAGTTCGGATCGTGGCAAGCTTGAATCATCTCGACAATCACACCAGAAGCGTTGGTGTGGACCTACAAGCAAGCAAAAAAAAGTACAAGCACAGGCACAAAGAAAAATGAGATGTGCTGCACGATCGCCAAAGCCCAAAATCCCTGCAGAGACTCACGTCGTCGGAATACTTGGCGTCCAAAAGCTCAATCAACCGCTCAATAAAACGCTCCTCCTGCAGCCAGTGCAAAGACGTCTCCTTCTCGGGCTGGTCCTGGGCGACGGCAATCAGGATCAACAAATCCTTGATGGCGGACGTGCCGATGTGCGAGAGCAGCTTGTCGAGCATCTTGGGCTGCTTTTGAACAAACTCGAGGGTTTCGGCAGGCTTCTTCAAGAGCAGAGTGGAGGCAACCTTGACAAAGAACGAGGCGAGAAGCGGGTTGAGGGGCGCGGGTTGGTCCAAAAAGTTCCACAACGTCTCAAGCAGGCTTTGCTGTTGCGTAATGCCATCGCAGATGGCCCAGACTTCTGCCGAGATGATTTCGGCCGCAAGGCTCGGGTATCTATCAAGAGGGAGGAGATAAAAGCAAAAGAGGAGAGCAAAGAAAATAAAATAATCAGAAACTGTCAAAGATTGATGCAGAGCACACGCAATTATCGCCTCAGACATACTTGTACTGTTCACGCTCGTCCAGAGCCTCGTCAGGCTGGTTCACGGTGTACTTGATGAGCTGCTCAAGAACTTCGGGCGTGGCAAAGCTGGATAAAACAAAGACAATCGGAAACAGTTGGCAATCAACATTTGCTGAAGCATTTGCAGCCCACGAGCTCGACAAGCAAAGCGTTTGGTTACTATTCAATGAGACGCTTGTTGTTGGACTTGGTCTCTTGCAAGACGTCCTCCTCGTCAAGCAGGTTCTCCAGCGTGAAGACATGGCGGTCGAGGATTTTCTCGACGGCCGACTGTGCGTGGAAACCAAACTTCCAGAACATGGCTGATCAGAAGCGCTGGCGTCTGTGTTTGGGCGGGGGGTTTTCTGCGATGGGAGAAAGGATGGAGACAGAAAGGGTCCATTCAAAACGAGGAGAGTTGAGGTGAGTGACATGACTTGCACAGTGTGTCAACGAAAGCAAGAGCAAGAGCGAAAAAGAAGGGTGTAATGAGCGTGCGTGGTGAGTGTCCAAAAGTGCCAGCATGCGGGAACAGCTGGGAGGTGCGGGGTTGAATTTGCGAGGGGCATTTAGTGAGGCGTTGGACCTAGCAATCTCTAGGGTGGCTGGGATTGAAATTGTTAGAATAAATTGATTTAAAAGGGCTCGTTGTTGGCAATAAAACCGCTCTCTTTGTTGGCTTTTGGTCTCCACAGAGCACAGAGCACAGGGCGTCCGTTTGTTGCGATTGCCGCTGCAGCCACAGGCGGTGATGCAAGCCTTGCCCAGCAATGCCATTACGAGCGGAGAGGTCGACTTTGGACCGCACAACGGAAAGCAACAGACGAGAGAACCAAAAAGGAGAGGAAAAAAAAAAAAAAAAAAAGGGAAAATTCAAAAAAAGAAAAGAAAAGAGGCAAAGGGACGGAGAGCAGACCACGGAAAGCGGGGAGCAGGTGGCGTGGACAGACAACACTACGCAAAAGCACACGGGCACGAGCGTGGTGGTGCGCGCAAAGGCAAGGGACTGCAACAGGACGACACATCAGAGCGCTTTTCGACCTTGAATAAAATATTAAAAAAAAAGAAAAAAGAAAAAAAAAGAAAAAAAAACCGTCGTGGGCCGTTTGGCTGTCTTTGCGTTGTGGCTCGCTGCACAGATGCTCCCCCCACGCACGCAGCGACGAGTGAAGGGCCGTTGTGCATCAAGCGAGCAGCCACCGCTGCCCACCCGCTGTGCGCTCACAACAACAAGAAAACAAAAAGAACAAAAATAATAAAAAGAGGGCGCTGAACTCGATTGTTGACTTTCGGGAAGTAAAGGCACGGTTGTGCGCTGGTCCCAATGCACGCTCAAACCACCCACCCACACACACACACACACACACACACTCAAGCTGCAGCTGAACATTGCCACGCCACACAAAGGCAGGCCAGATCCAGCAAACACAGCACAAGAACAAGAACAAGAACAGACGAAAAACCAAAAAAAAAAAAAAAAAATCAAACCACGCGCGTCTTTTTTTTTTTTTTTTTTTTTCATTGGGTTTTTTTTTCTATGTTCCTCGATTGCTGTTGCTTGCTTGTTGCTGTTGCTGTTGCTGCTGTTCGTGCGTGTCGTCGAAAAGGAGGGTGCTCGGGATGCTGACATGACATAGAGCAGAGTCTCAATGTCCACCCAGCTGCAAGAAGGCAGGCTGTTGTCTTCCACAAAAAATCACGCTCTGAGATTGGGAAACACATTAGATGAAAAAAAGAAAAAAAAATCAAACAAAAGGCAACAAACCAAAGAGCAATGGCGCCGTTCTGCATTCGACCAAGTGGCAAAGGTGACGAACAAAAATTCAGTCCTTTGGAACAAAGATCAGAGGAAGGGGAATAAATTGTGAGGGCATTTGACGAGAAAGGCAGCGGGCAAGAGGAGCAGAAACGAATCACTAAGCAACAAAAAGGCAACAACAATCTCAGAAACGCACGGCAGCAGCAAAAAAGAAGATCAGAGCTGAACGACAATCAGAATAGCTTGGTTTGATGCAGGTATTACATACACGTCCATCCAGGTGCTGGAGACAATCCATCCGATCCCCGTTTCATTGATCACTCGTTTCACAGCAGAAATTCCTCCTCTTTCACCATTCATTCCTTTCCTCCTCCTCCTCCTTTGTTCCTTGCTTCTTTTAATTCTTCTCCTCTCACTACATTTGCCATCGTCCCGCATTTTCCCCATAAGTGCTCGGGTTCACTCTGGTTCTGGTTTGTGCTTTCGTTTTTTTTTTCTTTTTTCTTTGTGTGGTTTTCCATTGCTTTTCTGCTGCTTCTCTTCCAATCTGCTTTTGTGCCTCTCTCTCTCTCTCGATTCCGCTCCTGCCCTCGCTCCCCTTTCTTCTCCTTGTTCCTTACACTCTTTTCCTATCTTTGTCCTCTCTTTGTCCTGTCGTCCTCTTCTTCTGCGTTTCAATCAATCGAGAGCGCGAATTTTCTGCGATCGCTCTTTTTTTTTTTTTTTTTTTTTTTTTTTTATTTCCTTTGGCTTTTCCGTTTCGTTTCCTTTTTTTTTTTTTTTTTTTTTTGTGATTTTTTTTTTGTTGTCTTCCCCAAACTGACTGTTGTTCTTTCTCCAATTGTCGCTCCTCCTCCTTCCTTCCAGACGCAGATTCAACCCCAAACGACAACAAACCCCAAATGCTGCGTCTTGCGTCTGCTGTGCCCACGATGATGCGGCTCGCTCAGCCAGGCAAGTCCTCAACAGCAGCAAATCGTGTGCTCTTTTTTTTTTTTTTTTTTTTTTTCCTTTCTTTCTTCATGCTGATCGCTCATCAACCTCAACCCCCGCTTCCCCCACCCCCACCTCACCGTTTGGTTCTTTGCATGGATTGCTTGATGGCGCTCTTGTGTGCAGTCCGCGGGCTGGGCACGACGGCCACTGGCGCGACGGCCAACGCTGCGGCTGCTGCTGCTGCCACGCCGGCCCCTGCTGCTCCTGCTGCTGCTGCCCCTGCGCCGCCGCCGGCCCCTGCGGCCGTGGAGGTCTTTGTAAACGGCACTCCGGTCAAGGTCGCCCCGGGCACCACCATCATCCAGGCGTGCGAGGCCGTCGGCATCGAAATCCCGCGCTTCTGCTACCACGAGCGCCTCTCGATCGCCGGCAACTGCCGCATGTGCCTCGTCGAGGTCGAGAAGACCCCCAAGCCCGTCGCCTCCTGCGCCATGCCCATCATGCCCGGCATGCGCATCAAGACCGATTCCCCCATGGTCAAGAAGGCTCGCGAGGGTGTCATGGAGTTTTTGCTTGTCAACCATCCTCTTGATGTGAGTTTTTTTTTTTGTTTCGATTTGTTCGCAGCCATAGGGACTGGTGGATGATGTGATTTATGTCCCGGGGGGGGGGGAAAGACAGTGCTCCACTTTGGCTGAGGCGGACACTGATTTTTTTTTGTTTTACTCACTTTTTCTCTGCTTGTGTTTCCGTCCTGCTTTCTCCCTCTGCTACAGTGCCCCGTCTGCGACCAAGCTGGCGAGTGCGATCTGCAAGACCAATCGATGGTGTTTGGCTCGGACAAGAGGTGAGAGCTCATTTCATCCAGGATTTCTGCGGTCGTTTTCTCCAACTCACCCTCAATTTTCCCCACCTCACCCCCCCCCCAAATCAAATCCACACAGCCGCTTCACTGACATCAGGTTCACGGGAAAGCGCGCAGTCGAGGACAAAAACCTCGGCCCGCTGGTCAAGACCTCGATGAACCGCTGTATTCTGTGCACGCGTTGCGTGCGCTTTGGCTCTGAGATTGCCGGCGTGGACGAGCTCGGCACCACTGGCCGTGGCAACGACATTCAAATCGGCACCTATGTCGAGAAAATGTTCCGCTCGGAACTCTCGGGCAACATTATCGACCTCTGCCCCGTCGGCGCGCTCACCTCCAAGCCCTACGCCTTCACCGCTCGTCAGTGGGAGCTCCGCTGCACAGAGTCTATCGACGTCATGGACGCCATTGGCAGCAACATTCGCGTTGACGCCCGCGGTGGCGAGGTCATGCGCATCCTGCCTCGCATGAACGACGAGGTCAACGAGGAGTGGCTGTCCGACCGCAGCCGCTTTGCCTACGACGGCCTCAAGCGCCAGCGCCTTGTCTCGCCCATGGTTCGCCAAGCCAACGCCGACGGCTCCTCTTCGTTCGTTGCCACCAACTGGGAGGACACCCTCGCGCTCCTCGCCCTCCGTCTGCAGAAGGTCTCTGGCGCCAACATGAGCGCGATTGCCGGTCCGTTTGCCGATGCCGAGTCGCTTGTGGCGCTGCGCGACCTCTTCCACCGCCTGAACGCGAACGATCTGCGAACGGAGCAGGCCTTTGCCGGTAACACTGATATTCGCTCCAACTACCTGCTCAACACCCGGCTACAAGGTGCCGAGGACGCCGATCTCGTCCTGGTGATTGGCGCCAACCCCCGGTACGAGGCGCCCCTCTTCAACGCTCGTCTCCGCAAGGGCTTTGTCCAGAACGAGCTGCGCGTCGCCGTGGTCGGCGAGAAGCTCGACCTCAACTACGAGTACGAGCACCTCGGCAACACGATCGAGACGCTCGAGCAGATTGCCTCGGGTCGCCACGCCTTCTCGGCTCGCCTCGCCGCGGCCAAGAAGCCCATGATTGTCCTCGGCAGCTCGTCGCTCCAGGCCGACCAGGCCACCGCTGCCCAGCTCATCGGCGCTGCCAGCCGCGTTGCTGGCCTTGCCAAGAGCGCCGCTGCTGACTGGAAGGTGTTTAACGTGCTGCACACGGCCGCCAGCCAGGGCGCTGCTCTCGACCTCGGCTACTCGCCAGTACCGCACACTGCCGCCTCGCTTCGCGACGTCAAGCTCCTCTACCTGCTCGGCGCTGACGACCACAACATTACTCGCGACAAGCTCCCTGCGGACTGCATTGTCGTCTATCAGGGCCACCACGGCGACCGCGGCGCTCACCTCGCCGACATTATCCTGCCCGGCGCCGCCTACACGGAAAAGAACGGCACCTACGTCAACACGGAGGGCCGCGCACAGCTTGCCAAGCGCGCCGTCACCCCACCAGGCCTGGCGCGCGAGGACTGGAAGATTATCCGCGCCCTGTCCGAGGTTGCCGGCTACGAGCTCCCGTACGACTCGCTGTACGACGTTCGCCGAAGACTCGAGCAAGTGTCGCCCACCCTGACCCGATACAACGTGGTCGAGCCCAGCGCCTTCTACGCCCTCGGCCAGCAGCAGCTTGCCGCCCTCAAGCCCGCGGCCGCCGCCGCATCCTCCCGTCTTAGCCCCGGTATCAGCTCTCTGCGCGACTTTTACATGACTGATGCCATTTCACGAGCGTCCAAGACGATGGCCAAGTGCGTCAAGTCTGTCGACACGATGCCATAAAGCTTTTGGTGTGTGTCTTGGTTTCTCGCCCACTTTTACGGATTTTCTTGGTGTGGTGTTGTAGTGTGGTTTTTTTTTTAAAACTGTAGCTGTCGAATTTGGATGTATGTGTTTGTTGATCATTTCTTGTATCTGTCTGCGTATGTGTGTGTGTCTGTGTCTGTGTGTGTTTTTGTGTTTTTGTGCCATTCAACACAAAATCAAAAGCCTTTTTTCTGACTCACTTCCTCCATCGTTGTCGATGCAATACCCCGTTCCACAATTTGACTCGATTTACTCGTTTGGGAGAGCTCTCTTTGTTTCTTCCACTCTTCCATTTTCATTCTCCCATTCACAACGATGGCCTTTGTGACTGCGACTGCTGCGCTGCACTGGATGTGGTCGCGCGTCAATGCGTTGATAGCCCCTGCGACCTACCGCGCCGCCTCCTCCAAAGCGACTGCTTCTGGTGCCGAGAAGCCGCACGTCGTCTTTGTGCTCGGCGGCCCTGGCTCTGGCAAGGGCACCCAGTGCGAGCGCATCGTCCAAGTGAGCTTCAGCCTCTGTCTCTCTCTGCTCTCTGTGCTCTCTGCTCTCTCTTCGTCCCACCTTCCATCACTCTGAGCTCCCGTTCAATAAAGTGGTGGCTTGGATCGGTTTGGATTCGATCGTGTGTCTGTCGCCGTTCGCATCGAAGGCGGTGCTCCTCAATGCAAGTCCAATGCAAAAAGCAAAAGAACAGAGCCAAGAAAAAGATGAAAAAACCAAAAAAAAAAAAAAAAAAAAAAAAAGCACCGTTTCTCAGTTTCTCAGTTTCTCAGTTTTTCTCTTTTTCTCGAACAAACAAAAGTCGAGCCAAAAAAAAAAGGCGATCGACGATTATCACGTTTGTTCGCTGTTCACTCGATGTACAATTTCATGGAAAGCTTCAACACCTCACAGCTTCTTAGAAAGGTCGATCAACTCTCTGCCTCTGAGAAATGTCGATCAAGAGCGCCTAAAAAACCTTGAACAACGTACTAACACTGAACTGCAACTCACACACCCCTTTGTTTGGACAGGAGTTTGGATTCGTCCACCTCTCGGCAGGCGACCTGCTGCGCGCCGAACGCGCCAAGCCGGCGTCCAAGAACGGCGAGCTGATTGACAAGTACATTCGCGAGGGCAAGATTGTCCCCGTCCAAATCACCTGCACGCTGCTCGCCGAGGCCATGGCCCTCAACCCGACCAAGTCCTTCTTGATTGACGGCTTCCCGCGCAACCAGGACAACGTTGCCGGCTGGGACGCCGTCGTCGGCCCGAGCGTCAACCTCGACTTTGTCCTCTTCTTTGACTGCCCCGAGGCCACCTGCGTCCAGCGTGCCCTCCAGCGCGGCCTGACCTCTGGCCGTACCGACGACAACAAGGAGTCGCTCACCAAGCGCTTCCACACCTACGAGAGCGAGACCATGCCCATCGTCAACTACTTTGACCGCAAGGGCCTTGTTCGCAAGATTGACTCGACGCGCTCGGTCGACGAGGTCTTTGCCGACGTCAAGAAGGTCTTTGCCGCTCGCAAGTAAAACGTAGTTTTGTAGCATTTTGGGAAGCAGATGTTTTGCTGCTCAGTGCTGTGTTGGGTTTTTGTGACTTGTCTGTTTATACATTCACAAGAAAACAAAATTGTTACAACCCGTTGATGCTTTATCAAAGGCAGCGTTCGATTGCCAGCCTACATTCAAAGGCGTATTTTACATGAAAAAAAAAAAAAAAAAAAAGCGCGCACCTTTCGAAAAACCGCAACCAATAGTTTAATGGATTCTGCAACACACAACACAGACCTACAACACACTCGTGAGCTGTCGACTCTCCATCCCAAGTTGGGTGGTCAGCAGCAAAGGACTAAGATGCGTCGAAATCGCTTGCGGCGACATCAGGGACATGCGCGAGCAGCGCATGGATACCTTGACAGCATCATCGAGGGGCAGCCCGCGAAGCAGTGCCGAAATGGTGCCTGCAACACCGCTATCCCCTGCACCAGTCACGTTCACAACTGGCAGCTGCATCGCTGGCACCGAGGTGGCTGCGCTGGACTTTGCTGTGGTGAAAGCGCCGGCGGATTTCCCGGCTTGAACAGCCTGCGCCAACTCGTGCTCGACGCTGCACCAGCCTGAATCGGAGGGATAGTGCTTGATGTGCACCTCAGCTCCGTCTCGCACAAACACCACTTTGCCACGGCTGCCGACAGACACGACGACCACCGGGATCCATGCCGTCACGCGCACGCCACGATGCACAAAGTCGAGCGGCAGCTCAGACCAAATGTTCAGCTTGACCTTTGCTGACTCGGACGGAGGCGTCGTCGCTGGTGGAAAGTGCCGCGTTTTGGGGTTGCGCTTGGGGTGCTCGCAGAGGTAGCGCTCGTGCAGGATGCGATCCAGCTCCTCGAGCTCCAGCTCGTTGGGCGAGATGAACGAGAGGTGCTCGAGCAGCGCATCGACCTTGGCAAGCTTTGTCACAGAAGTGGGCTCAAACCACAGGTGCACTCGACGCTGTTCGGCCCGTGCTCGGTTGACCACTTGCACAACGGCGCGCATCTGTGCCCGACTGAGGTTTCCATCGACACAAACGATGCGCTGGTCCCACGAATTGGGGGAGGCTGCCAGTGTGGTTTGGTCGAACTTGAAGGGAGTGCCAAAAGGCGACTGCGGCTCTGCATGCTCCGGCTTGAGACTGTCCGACGACGAGGTCGTGGGGACATTGAGCAGCTGAGAAAGCGAGAGGGCAATCTGGGCCTCGGGCAATGCTTCCAACGCTGCTGAATCGGTGGCACCCACCACCAGATCGCCCTTGGCATCGAAAATGGCGCTGTACACGGACGCCGAATGGTCTTCCATGCGCGCTACATGGCTCGTGTCGATGCCGCTGGCTTCGCAGTGAGCCAAGAGTCCGCTGGAAAGCATGTCAGAGGCGCCGACAGCGCTGATGAGATGGGTTGGCAGACCAAGACGCGCCGCGCCCTCGGCAATGTTGCGGCCAACACCGCCAAAGGACTGCGTTACGCGAGCGACGTTTGAGCTGGCCATGGTCACGCGGGGCGAAGTCACGTTGGACAGGACATCCACCATGCTGCCTCCAACCACAATCAGGCCAGCCGAGCCGCGGTTGAGATGGTGTTCCGAGGCGGCGTGCGAAGGAGGAGGAGGAAGGGTGATGCCGCGATGGTGCTGCGGTTTGCTCGCTGCTGGAGCATTCCTGAGCTTGGCTAGCTCTGTCGCAATGCCAGCACCCTTTGCCGCATTGTTCTTGACCAGGGCAATGTTGGCCGTCAGCGAGACACCCTTGGTCAATTCGTTGACACGCGCAAGCAAGAAGGGCGTCGTCTCTTTCCCCGTAATCCCGCGTGCAGACACTTCGCCCAACGCTTGATCGATGGCACTTTGGATGAACGAGGACTGCGACGAAAACGCAGTCGGAATGGGCACGCCGACAACAAGGCCGGAGGTCAGGCCAGCGCGGAGATGCGCATGGATGATTTCAGCGCAAGCCTGTTCTGTTTCAACGTGCGTCATGGCTGGAATGCCCGAGCTCGGCGTGAAGAATGCCGGAAAGTCTGGCGAGTTGTGTCCGAGGGTGATGGTTGGAACGCCCTGTCATATGGCAGACATCAAAAGAGAGAGAATCCAGTGAGCACAAACCGTTCCAGTACACCTGCCCCCTTCCACCAACCATGCGCTCGCGCTCTCCTACCTCCGTCTCGAGATACTCGAGGGTGCGCGGAATGTCGAGAATGCTCTTTGCACCGGCGCAAACGACGGCAACGGGCGTGCGACCGAGTTCGGTCAGATCGGCGCTGACATCGTACGTCTCGAGCACGCCTCGATGGACGCCGCCAATGCCACCCGTTACAAACAAGGGAATGCCTGCCATATGCGCAGCAATCATGGTGCCAGACACGGTCGTGGCGCCGATCGCGCTCTTGGACGCGAGAACCTGGCCAAAGTCCCTCCGGCTTGTCTTGACGGCCTTGTGCCCGGCCTGCCCGAGCCGCTCGAGCTGTTCCTGCGAGAGTCCGACCTGGATCTTGCCGTCAATGATGGCGACGGTGGCGGGGACGACGGGAGCGGCGGGATGGGCGCGCAGGATGGCCTCGACCTCGAGCGCCGTGCGGACGTTCTCTGGATAGGGCATGCCATGCGACACAATGGTCGACTCGAGCGCAACGACGGGGCGGCCGGCAGCGAGCGCGGCGCGGACTTCCTCAGAGACGGACAGCAGCGGCGAGTTCGCCAACGCCGAGACGCACCGTCGCGAAGCAGCGACGAGACAAGGCGAGGAAGATGAAGAGGAAGCGGACGACGGGTGAGACGATGGGAGGGAAGGAGGACGGCGGGTGGTCGCAGTGAAGCCAGAGAAAGCGCGCCAAGTGTGGGATTTTGGCGCCAATCCCAGCGCAGCAGCAGTGAGCATTGGAGATTTTGGATGAGAGAAATGTAAGAGTGGGATGGAGTGAGTAGGTGGTGGGAATAGGAAATAGGAAAGTGGTGGAGCTCGAGAATAACGAGAGGGAGAAGAAGAAGCTGAGAAATAACGAAAACAATAGATTTGTCTCAGAACGGAGGATTTTGGCGGATGTGAACATAAAGTATCGTGACCAGGAACTGGAAAGTGTACTAGAGGCAGGGGAACGAACAAGACACAAAGCAACAGAATGAACGAATAGTGAAAGTATCAGAAAAACAAAGACAGGTACAGAAAACAAGCCTCGCTACAGAGTACTGTGAGCTTCAAAACAACAACATCTTCCGCTTGTCATCACGGATCCAACGAAACAAGGATGCTACCAAAGGACGGGCGATCGTCTGCAGCTTCTTCAAGACACTCGAGTGCAAGAGTGACGAACTCACCGACACTCTGCTGGTCGGTTTCGGTTGGTTTGAGGGCCGAGTCCAGCATCGCCATGAATTTCTGGTTTTTAACCGCCTTCCGCGTATCAGTTTTCAGGCGAGCGCCGGGTTTGGTTGCAGTCAGCAGTTCCAGCAGAATCATGCCAAAGGCGTAGACATCCGTCTTGATGGTCATGCGGCCTTCGTCAAAGAACTCGGGGCACATGTAAGCAGCAGTGCCTTGCACGTTCTGGGTGCGGAAGTAGCTCTTATCATCGAGATGTTGGGCAGCACGGACCAAGCCAAAATCAGACACTTTTGCGTTAAAGTGTGCGTCCAACAGAACATTGTCCGTCTTGAGGTCGAGGTGAAACAGTGCATGATCAGGGAATGCTGTCTGGACGTAGTGCATGCCACGGGCAACATCAGCCGCGATGCGATGGCGCTGAGACCAGGTCAACGCGGGAGTGTTGTTCTTGCGACTGAGACGGTCGCGAACCGAACCATTCGGCATGAATTCGTAGACCAGGCATCGCTCGTCGCCTTCTTCTGCATACGACAGAATGGCAATGATGTTTGCGTGACGGAATTTGGACAAAGAGTCCAGTTCCGACTTGAACTCAACCGTGCCTTGCTTGGATTCGGCGGACAGCTTTTTGATGGCAACGCGAGGGCCAGGCAGACTAGCGCCGTACACACGACCAAATGCTCCCTCGCCGAGCAGAGAATCAGCAGCAAAGTTGTTCGTGGCGGCGACGAGCGTTGCGAGAGGCACTTGTGGGATGGGTTGATCAAAGTTCGATGCAGATCCACTGGCGTCTTGGTTGCGCTCAAGTACGTCGATCCGATCAAGAGCTGACTGCAGTTCAAGATCCTTGGCAGCAAGCTCCTGATCCTTGGCAGCGAGCTCTTGGTCTTTGGCGGCGAGCTCCTGGACTTTGTTAGCAAGCTGTTGTTCTTTCGCAACGAGCTCCAGCTCTGTTGTTGCGAACTTCTGGTCCTTGGCAGCGAGATCGAAGCGAAGTTGTTGCAGCTCCTGGTCTTTCGTTGCGAGCTCTTGGTCTTTGGTAGCGAGGACTTGCTCTTTGGCAGCGAGTTCGGAGCGCAATTGCTGATTCTCAGCTGCAAGATTGACAGACGGTTGGAGCTGAGCGTTTACTGCACGAGCTACAATCTGTGCCAGTTCGGAAGGCGACGGAACACGCTGGTCGTCAAGGCCTCTGTTCGGAAACCCAAGTTCGTCAAAACAGCTGAGTGGCTTGTTGTTCATGCTGTAATCCAACAAACAAGCAGTCTTACTCCAATTTACAAATGGTATTGCCTGTTTGCCTGAGTGTAGTGATTGCAGTGCTGGTCAGGAAATTCTTGTTCAAACTGTTGTTGTTGTCAATTACATCGTCAGATTGGAGCATGAGTCTAACGGCTGTCAGAGCATCTTGTAGCGATCAATATTTACTATAGCATTGTCAATGTCTTGTTCACTTTGAGTGCCTCAGCAAGCGCCTGTGCTCCAGCATCGCCAATCTGATTCTGCCACAGACTGTCCATCCCCTCCATCAATGAGCACTCTTCTGAATCGCCCACTCTCACGCACCAACAAGAGTGAGATGCCTTACTAGAGCTCAGTCAACGTCGTGTTAACTTTGAGTGCCTCAGCAATCGCTTGCGCTCCAACATCGCCAATCTGATTCTCACCCAGACTGTTTATCCCCTCCATCTGTGAGCACTCTTCTGAATCGCCACTTTCATGCATCAGTTAAAGTGAAGTGGCTTACCCGAGCCCAGCCAGCGTCGTGTTCACTTTGAGTGCCTCACCAATCGCCTGAGCTCCAGCATCGCCAAGCCGATTCGCACTCAAACTGTCCATCCCCTCCATCAGTGAGCACTCTTCTGAATCACCCACTTTCATGCATCAGTCAAAGTGAGATGCCTTACTTGAGCAGAGTCAGCGTCTTGTTCACTTGGAGTGCTTCAGCAATCGCTTGCGCTCCAGCATCGCCAATCTGATTCACATTCAGACTGTCCACATCCCCTCCATCGGTGAGCACTCTTCTGAATCACCCACCCACAGGCATCAACAAGAGTGAGATGCCTTACTAGAGCAGAGTCAGCGTCTTGTTCACTTTGAGTGCTTCAGCGATTGCCTGCGCTCCAACATCGCCAATCTGATTCCTATCCAAACTGACCATGCCCTTCATCACTCTTCTGAATCGCCCACTCTCATGCATCAGTCAAAGTGAGATGCCTTACCCGAGCTGAGTCAGTGTCGTGTTCACTTTGAGTGCCTCAGCGATCGCCTTCGCTTCTTCATCACCAATCTGCTTCGCACTCAGACTGTTCCCCTCCATTCTCGTCAGCACACACACACTCGCGCTGTCAACAACTGTGTTCCAAACCAACTCGGGCTTTTCTCTTACAAGAGCGTTCCACTCTTGTTCTTGACTCTGTCATACAACTGGCGCTGGTTCTGATTCATATTCTGAAACGACAGCATTTTGGACGATCTTCGAACAAGAAGACTGTCCCTCAAATCGATTCCATCCCAATGCAACCCATTATTCTCCTCGGTTCTTTCCAGATTCGTGCTCAATATTCATGTCCATAGTCGTGGAGCAAAAAAATGGCGGGAGAAACGGGCATGCATTGGAGTTTTGTGTGGAAAGCCGAAAACTTTGTCCCCGTTCTTGTACGACATCGGCCAAAGCATCAAACTGAACTACTTCTGAAAAGCATGCAATAGGAACATGCGAAAAGGATGTGTGCAACGGAGCTCGTCAGGAGTAAAGGTTTGAACGTTGAGCGATTTTTCACGTTTGAGCCTCGCTTTTTTTCACTGCTCGCCATGCCGTCGTACTCTTGCGACGTTGAAGGAGAGGAAGAATGTTGGGTTGTTATTGAACTCAATACTCTGAATCCCCAACACTCTTTCAGCACTCAAACGATTTCAATTCAAACAATCCACATAATAATGTACCAATCACGTCGGAAACGAGCCTTTCACCAACAGTCGGTTGGGGTTTTTGCGCGGTCACCGATTTTCAAATGCTGCTTAATGCACTGCGACTGGAGCGGGCGCGTTCGGTGGCGCAGTGCTTGCGTCTGAGTCGTCGAGCGGCGGCAAGTTGTCCTAAAAACAATCCAACCCAAACCCCAACGAGCCAAACAATCACAATAACAACCACAACACAGTACAATGCAATACAAAAGTGAGCAACACCTCATGACTCGAATGCAACGGTCGTGAATGAGTTTGTGGGTGAAAGTCGCACATGGGCAGCGCATTGAAGCTCCGACACTCTCCACGGAGCACAGAGCCACGCAGCGCAATGTGTGCTGTGACTGCGGCCAAGACCAAACCCAAACTCAACCCCGGCATTGGGGGGAAAACAGGAGACTGCAGCAGCGAGACTTACGGGGTTGAAAATGACCTTGACGAGCAGCGAGCAGCTCGGACACCGCGCCACGTCCTCACCGTCATGCAGCTCCTCCTATTGTATGAGCGAAATAGCGAAGCAGCAAGGAATAGAGCCAAAGCAACATGTCGTTGTGCGGGGGAAGGTGCATCAGCACAAGTGCTTTTGACGTCATTCTGCGAACTCTGACTTCTCCGACACTCAGCCTGTTGGTTACCAGTGTGATTTGGAACTTGTCGCCGCATGGGCACGGGTAAATGTAAATGCGGCTCTCGGCGTCGTACTCAAAGTCCTCAATCTCGACCTCGTCGTGGAAGACGCTCATTGTTGCAACTGCTCAAAAGAAACAGAAAAAAAGTGAACTGAGCAAGCGAACGAAACTCAGAATGGAAACAAAACGTCAAAAGTGATTTACTCTAAACATCTAAGAAAGCAAACGAAACATCACAGGCTCGACGCCAGAGCTGGTTTAACCGGCGCTGTCAGGAACTTGAGCGAAGGACAGCTCGGCCAGTATTCGAGCGCCGTCCGGCCTGTGCGATCAGCATGGGTGGCTGCTGCACCGGCTTTCAAGAGCACTTGAATCGATTCATTGTCTCGTCGAATGGCTTGTCGGATCAATGCAGTCGCACCGTCTGCGGCAACAGCATGAATGTTTGCCCCTGCATCAATGAGCAACTGGACTAACACGGCGACAGTCGCACCTGGCCTGTTAGAAGTGGCAGCAAGCAACGCCGTATCACCCGAATTGTCACACAAATCAACGCGCGCTCCAACATGACACAGTGTGGACACTGCAGCTGCAAAACCGCGACTGGCAGCAATCATCAAAGCTGTTTTGCCATCCAACGCGGCCGAATTCACCTCAGCGCCGGCCTCGATGAGCATGGAAATGCGCTCACTGTCATTCGAGGCTGCCGCGTACGCCAGCGCAGTCCACCCACGCGCGTCAGCCGTATGAACGCTGGCGCCCGCTTGGAGCAGCAGCCACGTCAAGTCCGTGTTGGCTGCAAACATTAACGCCGTGCGACCGAGCATGCTCTTCGTGTCTGCCAGGTCCTGACTTGGATGCTTGAGCAGCAGCTCAACGACTTTCGTGGCGCCTGCCATGGCTGCCCGACCGAGCAGCGTCTCTTGCCGGCCAAATCGAGTGGAAGGGTCGGCTCCAGCCCGAAGCAGGTTGCCCAAAGTTATCGCGTCGTCTGCGTCAATCACACGGCGCAGCGCGAATGCTTGTGCGTCGACAGCTGCCGCTTGCCGGGACAAGAGAAAGCGCACCATGCCGACATGTCCGCTCTGAACGGCAATGTGTAGACAACTGGAGCCGTCGTCAGCGCGAATGTGCGGGTCGGCTCCTGCATCCAGCAATACCCCGGCCTGCGCTACATTGCCGCTCTGTGCAGCGTGCATTAAAGCAGACCACCCATTGGATCCCGTGCGATTCGGATCTGCTCCAGCTGCGAGCATGGCTCGGGTAATGTCCACCATGTCAGGACCAGTCGAGATGGCCAACGGCGGGCGTCGCATGGCAGACCAGTGGTTTGGATTTGCACCGGCAGCCAGCAGTAGTTGAACGCATTCGAGAGCTACGTGGGCATGGATGAGCCCGACTTCGAGGACTGCGCGCGATTGGCCGGTCTCGGTCGGATTGGGGTTGGCACCAGCGGCCAGCAGCACTTCCAGCATTTGCTTGTCATTTGTGCTCACCGCGGCAATCAGGCCGGGCATGGGGTCTACCCCAGCCTTGACCAAGTACTGGGCGATCGCACTGCGTTGTAATCTCACGGCGAGAATTGTGGCAGCATGGTCGAATCCGTTTTGGAGCTCAAGTTGCACGGCTGCCAAATCGTTGCTGCGGATGGCTTCTTGCAGTCGGGTATTGGGAGTCAAAGCAAGAGCGGTCATGTTTCAATCAATGTGCTTGAGGAATTTCTAATGCAAGGGGATGAGTTTGTTTTGGAGGCTGACGCGAAGGCTGACACATCTCATTCCCTCAGCGATCGCCAAAGCAGCTCAAGAGCTAAAAACCAAACAAACCTTAGCAAGGCGATCAAGAAAGTAGACTGAAACAGGGGCTTCCATTGACTGGACATGCACAGCAAGATTGACTGTCGAGTATTAAAGAGCGACGACCAAAAATTGGCAAAACTGAACTTTTTCCTCGACGCCGCTTCAGTCGTGAGTCTTCCCGCAGCTTGTAGATTGTGATCATGATAAACTGCTAGTCACTCCCAAATCAAAGCCGATCGGATGCGAGTCTCGAGTTTAACGAAAATACAGTATTGTGCGTCCGAAGATGAAAACTGCAATATGAGTTTGGAAATAGAAACGGACGATTTGGTTTTTAAACATTTGAAATGGTACAAATTTGTAGTGCGATTTTGGACAAAATGCTATCGATTTGGTTTTTAAAAACACGAAACTGTCCAAACTGCGCCCGAGTTGGTTTTTGCCAAGATAAGGTCTGGTTTTTTTGGCGCGAACAATTTGGAATAAAAGCTTGAAACTGAAAATTCGCACTCTTGGTTGGGAAATTGCCACTTCATGTTTGGGATTTGCAAACACCCCCAGACGAACCTGCTCTGTAGTCATGCCCAAACGTCAAAACGAGGCGCAGGCCACCGAATCACGCGCGCCGCGGAAGTGTGTCCATCTAGAAGACCCCGAACGGAAGCGGATCATCGACTTGGCTGTTGATCGCGCCTTGCCTCTCGTCACGGTCGCCAGCATGCTCCATCACCCCATCAGCACTGTGTCCAACGTAGTGCAACGTTTCAAGGAGCGCGGAGAGTGGACGTCACATCACGTCAATCCCAAGGGATGCCGTGTGCTCACAGCGGAGCATCTCCATTTTCTCGAGATGGAGCTCGACAAGAACGTCAATGTGACCAATCAAGAGCTCCAGGACCTCCTCCTGACGACATTTGGCATTCAAGTGCATCAAGCAACCATCGGGCGTGCCATGTTACGACGGGGCTTCACGTTCAAGCGCGTGTACGAGCAGGTCAAGGTGAAAAATTCGCCTGAAATCAAAGCCCAACGCAAGAAATGGGCTGAGCTCTTCGAGGCTTTTCAGACACCTGTGGATCGCTTGTTCTACGTGGACGAGAGTGGATTTAATGCGAATCAGCATCGAACGCGAGGTCGATCTCGCAAGGGCGCGCGCGCAATCGTTCAAGTTGGCAGTATTCGTGCAGCGAATTTCACGCTCATTGCAGCGATCGGAATGAGCGGCGTTGTGTTGAGTGAGATCCAGCTCGGAGGCGTGACTGGCCATGTCTTTGCGGAGGCGATGACGAAGCTGTTTGACACGCTCGAGGCAAAAAAAGCCGTCGACACCGCCGCGTCTGGCATCGCTGTGGATGAGCTCCCAGTGCAACAGCTTGAGCCCGACCTCCCCCTTACAAACGTGGTTGAGGACAGTGTGTCGACCAGTAATGCAGTTCACGTGCCACTGCTGACGTCCGGTGCAGCGTCCTCGTCCCAACCACCTGCCCCTCCCGCTGCAGTTGTGTCGTCTGCTGCGTCTGCAGCTGGCGGGTCAGCTCCTGCTTCCACCTCTGCTTCCACCTCTGCTTCCACCTCTGCTTCCACCTCTGCTTCCACCTCTGCTTCCACCTCTGCTTCGACGACCAGAAAGAAGCGCCGTTCTCGTCGCAGGATTCTCGACGATGATGACAACGATGATGGCGGCGTCTACGTTCCACCACACGAAGAACTCATTCAAGACGAGATTGATGAGCACAATGACAATACTTCCTATTTCGTACCGAGCGAAGAGCACCCAGGTGTCAGCTTTCCGGGACATCATCGCTACAAAGCCTGGATCGTGGACAACGCGCGCATTCACAAGACACCCGAAGTGCGCGAGCTTTTTGCACGCCGCGGGTATGGGATGCTCTTTCTGCCTCCGTACTCATCGTTCTTGAACCCGATCGAGTATGTCTTCAACCAAGTGAAGGCTGCGTTCAAGCGCTCCCGGCTGGAACCGAACGAAACAATCTCAAGTCGCATTACCGCTGCTGTTGGTACCGTGACGGCAACGCATTGCCAAAACACTATCACGCATGTTCAGCTCAAGTACTTTAATGCTTGTCACGAGATGCACGATGTGCTAGATTAGTTGGCGTGCTCTCCTTCGAAAGCTCCCTCAATGGCGTCCGCTCGCCTGTTTTGGGTGGTCGTTTGATGTGATCGTCTGTGTCATGTTACATGTATAAATACTGTATTGTTATTCATCCATTTCAAATCATGTTTATTCTGCAACAAGCATCTGCCAAAGACTAGTCGATGGCTTTCAGGAGAAAACCCCACAGTCCGGTCGGCCTTGCGTCCTTTCTTCACTCTACCCGTAAACCTTCATAAAACAAACATAGTTGAGCCTATTTATACATGTATGTGCATGTATTGAGCGTATGCAAGCCGGAGCGCTCCACTGTGGAGTGCACATTGCGTTGTCATTGGTGCTGCAACTGGCTGGCCGTTAGGAATGATCGGAACAATCCACTCGGCATACGATTGCCACCAATTTAATGACATTATGATAAACTATGCAAATGCTAATGCTTACACCGAAATAGCTCGTGAGTACGAGCCCTGGGTGGTAAAGACGTCGCTGTGGAAGTAATCCATCAAAACTGTAGTTCGAGCTCTTCCCGAGCCCTAGCTTTCCCGCTACTCACCCCAGCATCTAATGACCTTCCAAGATACATGATTCAATTCAAATACTTCCTGAAGTTGTTGGTAATTCTAACATCTCAAGTGGGTTAATTCGAAATACAAGCTTGCAAAAACCAACTCGTTGAAAACCAAATCGAACGCACAAAAACCAATTACGGAAAAAACCATTTTTCTCGCACTTTCAACCAAGCTACTTTTTCCCAATCCGATTTTCCTCACTTCGTCCGCTCTAATTTCCAACCTCGCCTGCTGTGATTTCGACCTCGACTGCATAATACTGTATCAAAGCAAAACAGAACGCTGATCATTTTCTCTCAATGCCGCTCCACCCAGCTCGTCCATCGTGCCTCTCGTTCTAAACAAGTTCCTGATATCATGCACTACTTCCCTAATCAAGTCCAATGCATTGCATTTCAGTCCACTTTTTTTTTTGTCATAGTTCACAATGCGCATCACAGTCAAAACGCTGCAGCAAACGCAGTTCGCCATCGACGTTGCCGAGACTGACTCTGTGCGGCCTCAAACCACAGCGCTTCCCCCTCACTTGAACAACCCCCTCCCCCTCTTCCTTCTCCCATGTTGTGTTTCATAGAGTCAGAGTGAGAGTCAGAGTGTAGAGTGAGTTGAGATTGAGACTGGTCTTCGTCTTCTCTTTTCCGTTTCTCTCTCTCTCTCTCTCTCTCTCTGTTTCGGTCACGTGGTTGAGTCTGAGCATGTGCTTTCTCAGTTTGTTTTTTGAGTCACAGTGTGTCTTTCCCCCCAAACTCACTGACTGTTACGTAACGCTGGTCCTCGTGTCATTGACTATGAACTGTGGCGGCTCTTGTCTTTGCTCTCCTCACTCTCTCTTCACTCTCTCTCCACCACGAGCGTTTTGTCTCTGTCTCGGTCTCTATGTTTCTATCCTCGTCCCTCTCTGTCTCTGTCTTCGTGTCTCTGTCTCTGTCTCTCTGTCTCTCGTTCCATTGTCTTTGTCATTGTCTTTGCTTTTTTTTCTTTCTTCTTCTTCTTCTTCTCCAAACGGCTTTTCCCGCTTCTTCTTCTCTTCCTCTCTTCGCTTCTCCTCGCTTCGTCCGTCTTTCGTTCTTCTTTCGTTCTTCTTCTTTCAAACGCACTTTACAACAATGCAACGAAAAAACGCGCTCAAAAAGCAACGACTTTTCACTACAAAAAACCAAAAAAAAAAAAAAAAAAAAAAAAAAGGTTTCGCGATTTCCAACTTTTTTTTTTTCTTTGCTTTTCTTTTCTTTGTTGATTTTCCAGTTTTTTGCTGTTTTTCTGCCAACTTTTCTTTCTTTTTGATGTTCAAGTTTTGAGTTTTGTTCTCGTTTTGAGTTTTGTTTCCGTTTGCAAAACAAACGACTCGAAAAAGTTGAAGCAAAAGCGCGTTGAATTCAAAAACGCAAACTCACTGAACTTTTGTCTTCAATTGCATTTGGAACGACAGGTCGTCGATTTCAAGACCAAGATTGAGGCCGCACAGGGCGCTGGTTACCCCGTCGCAGGCCAGAAGCTCATTCACTCTGGTAAACGAGAGAGAAAGAGAGCGAAAGAGAGAGAAAGCAACGACATCAGCCTCAGAGTTGTGCTCGGTTGGAGGCAAAGAGAACGAGCATTGCTGACTCGGTCTAAAACGATTTTCTTGACACAGGCCATGTTCTCGCTGATGACAAGTCCATTGCCGACTACAACATGAAGGAAAACGACTTTGTCGTCGTCATGGTCACAAAGGTGAGTGGAAATTCGCCTCGCAAGTGTGCGAGAATGGTTTTGAGGCGCTCACACATTTCGTCTGCTTCTTCTTCTGTTCAGCCAAAGGCCGCTCCCGCCGCCGCCCCTGCCCCTGCCCCTGTGGCCGCTGCACCTGCTCCTGCCCCCGTGGCCGCACCTGCTCCTGCCCCAGTCGCCGCACCCGCACCCGCACCCGCTCCCGTCGCCGCCCCTGCTCCCGCCACTGAAGCCCCCGCCGCCGCCGCCGCCGCCCAAGAAGCCGCTGTCGGCGCAAACGCCCTGGTGGTCGACGAAGACCAGGAGCGCGTCATTCTCCAGCTGATGGAGTTTGGCTTTGAGCGCGACCAGGTCGTCCGTGCGCTGCGTGCCGCCTTCAACAACCCCGACCGCGCTGCCGAGTACCTGTTCAACGGCATCCCGCGCCACGTCGAGCAAGCCCTTGCCCAACAGATTGGCGGTGGTGCTCACCAGCAACAACAGCCACAACAGCCCCAAGCGCAGCAACAGCAACAGGGCCAACCCACTCAAACCCAGGCCCCTGCGCCTGCTCAGCTCGGTGGCGATCTCTTCGCAGGAGACTACGAAGACGAAGGCGACGAGGGTGAGGATGAGGATGCTGACGGCCCCAACCCGCTCGAGTTCCTCCGCTCCCAGCCCCAGTTTGACCAGCTCCGCCAGCTCGTCCAGCAAAACCCCAACTTGCTTCCCCCGCTTCTCGCCCAGATCGGCCAAGCCAACCCACAGCTTCTCCAAGCGATTGATCAGCACCCCCAGGCCTTCCTGCGGCTATTGCAAGAGCCTGCAGGCGGTGCTCCCGGTGCCGGCCAGAACGTGATTCGCGTCACGCAAGAAGAGCACGAAGCCATTGCACGCGTGAGTATCACTGAGCGTGTCGTTGTACGTGTTTTTGATTAGGTTTGTTCTTGTTACTGATAATGTGATTTCCTCCTTGGTAGCTTGAGGCTCTGGGCTTCTCGCACCACCGCGTGATTGAGGCATACTTTGCCTGCGACAAGAACGAGAACCTGGCCGCCAACCTTCTGTTCGAGCAGCCGCCGGAAGAAGAGGAGGACCAGCAGCAGCAACCCCAACAATAGCTCGGTGCTGTGCATTCGTTTTGATAAAACCCTGCCTTGAAAAAACAACAAAACAAAAAAATGTTTGCTGGTTTTCTTTGTTTTTAAAAACAAGAATGGCTTCGTCCTCGTTTTGTTTTGTCGTTTTCAATGGTCGTTGCTGTTTGTTGCGTTGTATTTGAAAACAATTCTACCTCCTTCATGTTGTATCGCATCAATCCTGTAAATCAAGCACAACCAACTCGTACAATCGCAATCACACTACCCGCACTAGCGCATTCCAGCGGCCCAGCGCCGAGACTCCTCCTCGGATGCAATTTGGCTGCATTTCGTGTAGAGCGGGAGGAGCTGCTGCTGTCGTCGGGGCGCGATGGAATCGGGAAGAAAGTCCTTGATGAGGTCGGAAATGTCTTCCAGCAAGGCCATTGCTCTTCGGGCATGGTACAGGTTGTGACGCTGGGGAGTTGCAATGAAGGGTGCCTGCTCCAGGGGAGACGCCGGCTTCTTTGGCTGCCCTCCAGCGGCCGCCGTCGCCGCCGCATTCATCGCCGTTGATGCCAAGGCCGATTCCATCGCATCGGCGCCAGCCGTACCATTCGCAGAGACTTCCTGCATCTGGCGATGCTCCAGCACATCCTTCAAGCGCATTTCGGCCTCCGAGGTCGACAGCGGAATCCGCTGCACATGAATCAGCGCGCGCTCGTGTTTGAGGAAGCGGATGATGCTGATAACGCCGAGAATCTTCTTCAACGACGAGTACGGTGGCAGCAAGTTCAGCCCTTCTGCGGACAAATCAGATCCAGCGAGCGAATCCACGCCTGCGGTCGCAGTCATGGCGTTGGCTGAGGGTTGCCAGGGCTCGACCGGAGCCGCAACAGCAGCAGCAGCAGTAGCGACAGTCGCACCATTGCTTTGACGATTGGCGGAGGAGACGGTGTGCACCACAACGCCGCCCAGCATGGACTTGTTGGTGCGCTGCAAAAAGGACCAGCCACCGGCATCTTGAACGTACTGCCCGTGGATGGTGAGCAGCGCATCAATAATTCGACCGCGCCAGCGCGTTCGGCTCTGCTCGATACAGCGGTAAATGTTGAGGAGAATTCGGTCATACACGGCGAGGAGTGGGCGAAGCTGCTTGGCATCTCCCGAGGCGGCGACATCCAAATCAATGGCATCCTTCATTTCGGCAACCGAGCGAATCTCGCCACGGAAGGCGTCGACAATCCAGTGGAAATCGCCAGGCGGAGTGATTCCACCATCGGGCGAGCGATTGGCAGAGCACGCCACCATCAAATCGGGACGAAGGGCAAACCCGTACGACTCGAAACCCAGTCGTTGCATCACCGCCATGAAAATGGTGCTGAGCAGGACTGGCGCGCCTCGGCGCGTGCGCAAAACGACGTCAATCATGCTGCGGATTGAGAGGAAAAGGGAAGGGGGAAGGGGTGAGAACACACAATAGCAACAGAACAAAAGCACTATCTTGTCGAAAGAGAAAAGCAACATACAAACAATTGTAATCGGAAAAGACCTCCGTCGACCCGTTCTTGACATAATTCTGCTCAGCCATGGCTTTCAACACGGCCTGAGCGGCAATTGCGACGTCGCGCTGCTGTCCAGAAAAGTTTCGCGGCAAGTGTGCGCGCGCATCCTCGACCAACTCTGCGAGGCGGTATTCCGTCTCTGCAATCACAGCCAGTGGATTGGGGCTTCTCGCTCGGGCAATGAGCACTGCTCCGCGCTCTGCAAAATGGTATCAGCAACCAACACACATTCAATAGGGTTAGCACGTAAGCAGGTAGCCGAAACCAAGCAGTTGTCGCTCTAACTTACCGATGGGGAACGTGGATGTTCCCGTCGCCTGGCAGAGTCTCGGCCATGACGCACAGAACGCCGGAGCACCTCCTGAAGCATGTTGACTGGCGTCCTTGACGAGCGACCGCCACTCGTGCATGAGCTGAGCGTCTTCGCGCTCGTCAAAGCGCTCTGCCTCGAGCCCGGACGCGCGGTCGATCAGCTGGCCAGGGCTCGATGCGACGAACGCCATGCTGTTACTAGGACTAGTAGCATGACTGTTGATACTCGTGCGGGACGGAACGAAGGGCAGCCGCTCACCAGAGGCAGGAGCAGCGGTTTCGGCGACCGAACCAGCCATCGAAGAGGGTCCGGCAATGACACTGCCGCCGACGCCGCCAGTGGGCCGGTCGTGGTAGCAGCGCACGGTGACTGGCATTGAACCTGAGGCGGAGCGCGGCGGGCAGAGTGCAGACAGCGCGGAGGAGGATGGCCGCCGAGCCATCGCTGCGGTTTGAGGCAGCGAACCACCGCGAGCCACAGCCAGAGCCGAGCAGCCAGCCACAGCAGCAATAGAAGCAGCAGCAGCAGCAGCAGCAGTAATAGATGCAGCATTATTCAGGGTGGAGGGCGAGACGGCCGACGAGAGCGCGCGGGTCGGTTGTGGTGAAGCAGTCATCAGTCTGACCGCCGCGTTGATCACGAACGGCGACGACGAGGTGAGTGAATTGCAGCGAATGGACATCATGGCTGAATGGGATTTGACTTGGGACAGGAATGAACGACGGAGTTGGGAAGGAACAAAGGCAAAGAGAACGGAGCAACAAAGACTGAGAATCTGAGACTGAACAAATAAAGATAGTGCAATCATAAAAATCAATCCACAAACGGGGGATTGGATTGACAGAGTAAAAGGGGAAGAGTCTATTGTACAATAATCAAACTGGGAGAGGCAAGATCAGCATCCCGCAACGAAACACAGGCCAAACCAAAACGTCTAGCCGAAGATGGAGCGCGGCACGACAAAGTCCATAAAGGCGCTCTACAAACAACCAAAAAGTGAGAAACAATTGAGAAACGGAAACGAACAAAGCGATGCAGGCACATAAAACCAAAACTCACGCTCGATCGAGGCTCGGATTCTTGTCGGTTGACAAACTCCAGGCTGTAGAGAACCTGTAGCAGCGCAAGGACCAAAAGTGAATGAATGGATAAACATACTGCATACAGTAGCCAAGGCAAAAAAAGAGCATCCCCTCACCATCAGCAGGCCGTTGCCAAAGAAGAGCATGAGCCACATGAAAAAGTTCCAAAAGCCGGCGCGCACATTCCGAGTGAGGAAGATGAAGAAGACTGCATTAAAGGAAGACAACAAGCAGACGAAATGTGAGAAATCTGTGGATGACGAAACGCGAAAGTCCACCAAGACTTGGGCTCGAGCAACATACCTCCAACGCCGCCAAACATGACGAGGAGAACGGGGTAGAAAAAGCCCAACGCAAGCGCAAGGATGTGCTCGTGCACAATGGCAGAGATGATAAACACGGTAAACATTGAGGCAAGTTTGGCAGACTTTCCCAAACGGTGTTGCGTCAAGCTGGCGTCAAAAGCAAAGACGACAACGAGAACAAGTGAGACGTCAAAATCGTCCAGCGCATCTCACTAACGCCCCCTTCTCCCTCACACGTACCGATAGGTATCCACGTAAATGTACTGGAACAACCAATCGTGAACGACCATGTTCCACTTGCGATAGTACGCCGCCCAGTTCTTGGCATTCCACCAGTCAGTGTAAAACTACGTCCAGAGAAGCATAGTGAGCAACCAACATGTGCTGCAAGCACCGAACGACCACAACTGCTTGAAAAAGCGTTTTACCTGGCGATCAGCAAATCGCAGCATTTCGGCCCAGGCGTTCAGCCAGGAATGCAACACGGCAAAGAAGGCCAGCAAGAACATCATGGTAGCCGGGAGCATGGACTGGAAGGTGGCAATCACGATCGCCTGCCATGTCGAGTTGGCGTTGAGCGCGCGGAAGTGTGGCGCGCAGAAACGCTCAAAGATAAAGTTCGTGTAGAGCAAGCAGGCAGCAACTTGGGCAAAGTTGGCAAAGACAAAGCGCCAGTGCACAACAGGGGTGCGGGGATAGTTGGGACGGTAGATGAGCGTCGGCGCGAACAAAAAGTACAAAAAGTTGGAAAACAGGGGGAAGACGAGCTCCATTTCTTGCGGGCGCCAATTCTGGCGATCGCGAACGAAGAGCACTGGTGGGACGTTCTCTCGAATGAACGAGTGCAGCTGTGGTTGAGGGGGCAAAGACAAACAATACGAGTCAGCCACAAATATTGAGCACCAGCGCCATCGCGATCATGTCTGGCAATGCTCAAGGATCCTCACCTTCATCATAAGACGAACTTGCTCGCACAGCACGACCATGGCCGATCCCGGAGGAAGCGCATTGGCCAAGACTTGGTAGGAGGGAACAATGGCCATGATGGTTTGGAAAGCGACATAGAGCGTCAAGCCGAGCCACTTTGGCATGTGGCTGTACGACCAGATGCGGAAGGCAGTGTACGCAAGGCCGAGGTTGATCATCATGCCAACCCAGGTGGACGCGACAATGCCAAACTTGCCAAACGTCCACGTCATGAGCGAAAGCTGGACGTGGCCTCGCGTAAAAATGTCGGACACGAACGCGTTGAGCGCAAAGATGATGAGGATGGCCACGAAAATGTTGTAGATGGTTTTGAAGTGTTCGACGCGAAGCAGTTCCCTGCAAAGCAACAACGTGAACAAGTGAGCTTGGTCGTGTTTTGATGGCGACGAACGGCACAATCAAAACTTACGTCAAGAAAGAATCGCGAGCGACGAACGTCTTTCCGGGATGCTCGCTCAAGGAAGTGCTGGTTGTGGAACAAAAGCGCAAAAACAAGAACGGACAACGTCAGTTCTAATTCACCCTCGAGGACAAGACCCACGCAATCGACTAACTACATACTGTGTGCGAGGCTTGTGCTCGTGTTGCTTGTGTGTAGACTCGATGCTGCGAGTGTCCTTGCGGAATGCCTTGCGTGCGCGACCCACGAGCTCCTTGAGACGAATCTCGAGGTGTTGGTTGACCTCGGCCCGAAGAACCTCGACGTGCTGCATGAACAAATGGTGCTCGATGCGCGTTTCCTCGTCGTCGAGGTCGCTTGTGGTGCTGCTCGAGTTGGATGCAACTTGGTTTGGTGCATCGAAGGTTTGGTCTTGGCTGCTCTCTTTCTTGGTGTCGTTTTGGACGAGACTGGCCTTGGTTGAAGAATCCTCTGCTTGCACGCCTTCGTGGCTTTTAGAGCGGGTTGAGCGGCGCGTGCGTCGCTGCTTGAACGCGTTGGCGTTGTACTCTGCCTCGATTCCCAGCGTGTCGCCGACGACGACTGGTCTCGGCATAACCTCTGTGCAAAAAAAAGTAGATGCGTGCATCAACAATTGTGAGTGTCTGGCATGGAAGTGCACGTCAACGTGTGGAGGTGTGAGAGTATTTTGTCAGATTCGGTTTTCGTTGCGCTCTCAGACTCTCAGAGATTGGCTTTTTTTTCTTCCTTTTTATGCGATCTGTGTCTTTTGATAACTGCCGTCTGCTTCCGATTGCAGATTGTATGGGGGAAAACCTTAACAATAAAAAAAAGCGCCGGAATACAAAGAACGGCGATTTTCAGACATTTTCCCACTCTTTTGGGTTCGGCATCGGCTCGGCTGTTCAACGAAGGAGGAGCAAACCCAGGCATTCATTCTATGGAGTGATGGGATGAAGAGTGTCGGATGGAAGCGGTACGTCGGTGGTTGGTCGTTCGGTTGAGATTGAAAACCAAAAGGAGCAAAGCGCGGAAGTGGGGGAAGAAAACGCGGGAAAATGAAACGCGGGAAGGCGAAATGTCGCGCACCACTCAGTGGACGAGGAGAACGAGGACGAGGACGAGTGAGTGGGATGGATGTGCCATTGGAGCACAATGGGGAATAGTAAGGGAAGGGATGTGAAGCTTGCAAGTGGGAGGGGGGAGTGAGTGAGTGAGTGAGTGAGTGAGTGAAGCCCGAATAAGGGTGGAGGGGCATATGTCGGAGGACCCAACCTGCACAGCTCATTGGGTGTCAGTCTGGGAACGAATGACGCTTGGGGAAAAGTCAAAGACGGAGGGAGGATGAAGGATGAAGTAAGAGAATAAGAGAGTGGAAGAGAGCGGAACAATGAGAGAGAGTCAGAATGACAGAGTGAACGAGATGAGGAAAAAAAGCGAAAAATGAGCAAAAGTGTCAAAAATGAAGAAAAACGAAAAAGTGAACTGCAATTCGAAATCAGAATTAAAAATCAGATGGAAGTGGATCTGAATGTAAAAGTGATGGATTTAACAAAGTCAGAGAATGATGCGCCAACGGAAGAAAAGTGAAGAGAAAAGAGAAGAGTGGGAAGAAAAGCAGCAGAAGAAAAAGAGCTGCTGTCAAATGCTCACACGTGGAAGAGCAGCAACCCCCACACACTTTGCTGTTTGCCAAACCAGAATGAACACAAGGAGTGGAGATCAACGGGGGTGATGTGTGACCCAGAACGCAGTCGAAGAAGCCGAGAGAGATTGGAAAGAGAAAGAGAGATTGGAAAGAAGAGAATCCGCCGATGAGTTGGATCGAGCTGTTGTCATCATCACACCATCGGAACGAGCCGAGAATGAGGGGCACAGAAGCAAAAGGCGATCGTGGGGAAGCTATTCTGGAGAACGGGAGCAAATGGACAGTACTTCAGCGACAGCTCTCGTTCGGTTTTCTCGCTCCAATCGTTGTCAGTTTCAAAGGACCACTTCCAAATCCCCCAATATCCCAAATCCTGCACTTGTCACTTAAGCTAATTCACTCTATTATTTCTTGCTCTAATAAAAAACCACCACCCACCCACTTTTCTGAGACCATGGCTGAGCGCAAGGTGCTGAACAAGTACTACCCGCCGGACTTTGACCCGAGCAAGCTGCCTCGGCAGCAAAAGAAGGCGCAGTGCAAGGTGCGGCTGATGGCGCCGTGCAACATGTGGTGCAACGTGTGCGGCAACTACATTTACAAGGGGCTCAAGTTCAACGCGCGCAAGGAGACGGTCGCGGGCGAGTCGTACCTGGGCATCAAGGTGTTTCGCTTTTACATTCGCTGCCCGCGGTGCGCGTCCGAGTGCACGTTCAAGACCGACCCGGAGCACTCGGACTATGTGGCCGAGATCAACCTCACGCGCAACCTGGAGCCGTGGCGCGAGAAGCTCGCTCGCGAGGACGAGGAGCGCAAGAAACGTCTCGCCGACGAAGAGGACAACCCCATGAAGGCCCTCGAGAACCGCACGCTCGACTCGCGCAGGGAAATGGAGCTCATTGAAGCGCTCGAGGACATCCGGGACACGAATGCAAGGCACGGGCGCGTCGACCACAACGCAATGCTCGACCACTACGCAAAGCTCCAGCAGCAAGACCTCGAACGCCAGGAGCTCGAGGACGAGACGCTGGTCCAGAACGTCTTTCGGAAAGGAGCAGGTGCTGCTGGCTCGTTGAACAGTGGGCCGGGCGGCGTCAAGCGGCGGCTCGCAGAGCTGCAAAACAGCAATGGTGGCGCGGCAAAGTCAGCGCTCGACGGCCTCGACAGCGAAGGATACTTGAACTTTTCAGACGACGACGATGATGATGAGGACGATGATGCTGATAGTGGCATTGTCGTCGAGGATGGTCTTGCCAATGTTTTCTCCCGCGCAGCAGCCGGAGCGCAGGTAAGAGGCCAGCAGCGTCTCTTGCAACAGCGTCGAAAATGCGTGAACGTTTTTGTTAGAGTATGCTGACCCAGTGTCTTTCTTTTTGCTCTGGTCTGTTTTGGTTTTGGTTTGTTGTTTTCAGCCCGCCTCCAACGTATTGACAGGAGAGACTTCAGCAGCAGCAACCCACGATGCCAAGCGGCCGAAAATCGAAGGGTTTGATGCAGGTCCAGACAAGCTGATTGCCACGGGAGTCACCAAACTCGTCGGATTGGTCAAGAAGAAGACCGCAACAACAGAGACCGCTGCCAAGCCTGCCGCGCCAGTAGCAGGAGGCGCTGCTTCTGTGTCGGCGCCATTACTAGCAACCTCAAGTGCCAAGCCAGCACCTGGAGGGTTGTCATTGCTTGGAGGCTATGCGAGCGACGATGATGAGTAATACATGAACCATTCTGAACGACGAGAAAACGACCAGCGCAGAAATTGAAAGCGGAGGCCGGTGAACAACGATTGCTCACTGACACACCTGCTACAGATTGTGAAGATTATTTAATGAAAACAAACAAAGATTACACGGCCTATCATGCGAAAAATTTTCTAGATGTTGAGATGAAAACAAAAATCAAACATCGGATGGTCGGTCATACACCGCACTACCACTAGTGTCGAAAGGAGCCGCTATTTGATCATTCGGAGAGCTGTAGAGCGGCTCAGGTGGGCTTGAGCTTGCCCCTCGGAGTGGTCGAGAGTAAACATCGCCGGCCGGGCCAATGATGGTCGCGCTAGGGGCGGCACTGAGCTCCTCGTAGTCCGAAGACGTGACCACAGACACGGACGACTTGCTAGTTTTGTTCACGACCGCGTATTGATCACCTCGCGGACCAATGTTGACCAGATGAGCAGAACTTGATTTCTTGCTCTTGTTCACCAAGGAGTACTCGTCGCCGAGGGGCCCAATCGCAACCGATGCGCTCGATGTAGGAGTTGCATACTGCTCGCCAGATGGTCCAGCCTTCATTGCGTCGGCGAGCTGGCTCTTGCTAACCTCAGCGTACGTGCCGTGGTTTGCCGCATCTTGAGCACTGGAATACAGTCCACCATCACCAGCGACATCTTGGGTTGTGCTGTAGAGCGATTCCCAAGCCACATCTTGTGTCGTTGCATACAGATCATCCTGTTTGCTCCTGGTGTTGTTCTTCTTGCTGGCGGGAGCAGTCAACTCGTTGGGCATCATTTGAATGTGGTCGTCAGTCGTTGCAACGCCATTGCGCGGCGACCGAGGCGACATCAATTCGATCGAAGAAACAGACCGCTTGGATTGGCGTTGGCGACGACGACGACGCGCAACAACAAGAATAACAATGACCAGCAAGAGAACGCCCAGAACAGCGCCGACAACTGGGCCGATGAGGCTCATCGACGAGCTTGCGCCTGATGGATCTGGCGCACCTTCGCCAGGCAGTGCTGTAGAGACGCCTGGAGTGTGGGACGAAATGGCGGCAGAGGCGACTGTGCTTTCGGGATTGGTGCTCGTTGCGGCGACAACTGGAGAAGAAACGGCGGCACCAGGCACCGACGTCACAACAGATCCAAGAGCTACTGACGTCGAAGCAGCATCAGGCACTGGTGTCGAAGCAGCATCAGGCACTGAAGTCGAAGCAGCATCAGGCATTGAAGGAGTCGCGGAACTGCGCGTCAACCTGTCACCGCTGGTTGCCAACGTCACAGTAGCGGAGGCGGTGGTCTGCCTCACGTCCGCGTGCGAGCTGGGAGTGGTGGATTTGCTTAGAGAAACTTGCGACGCTCTGGTAGTGCCCACGTTGGGACCACCGCACTTGCAAGACGTCGTATCAGTCAACGGACACGAAGTAGTGTTGGTAATCGCGTCCGGGGAGGTGTAGCTGCGCGTGCGCGATTGCGTGCAGTGGGACTCGCCGTGATCGCTGGTAGATTCGTCCTGTGTGCACTGTCCTAACGACCAGTCGGAAACTGGGTTGCAGCTGCGCGAGGAGGCCGGGGACGGCTGCGCTTGGCAGTCAACCATTGCAGTGGGAGTGGATGTGGTGGCAGTGACGCACGTCTGAGTGAGGAGGGCGGCCGTCGAATTGCAGGCGCTGCACTCGCTGTACGTGGTCACGTATCGCACGCCTTGTGTTTGGAAAGTAGTCGTCGTGAATGCCGAGCATGTCGCACTCGACACTGCTCAAAGTGAAGGACGGAAGTTTCCAAGTTGTGCAGTGAGCCAATGCCTGAATCGCTTGAGCATCACAAACCAAAATACAACTCACCACTTGACCCACAAGCTCGGACGCCGACATAATAGGTCGTCCCGACACTGAGAGCGCTGATTGCCGTGCTGAGTGACGCTGATGTACTGGAGAAGGAAGTGCACGTCCCAGTCAAGCCAGAGCCCGTGCAAACCTTGCCGTCAAAACTGCCGAACGGCTGCGAGCTTGGCGCACTGTTTGTCCACGTCCAGGACAAGGTGGTCGAGGTGGCCAACACGGATGAGGACGACACTGAAGCAGGCGCATTAGGTGCTATGCAAAAAAAGAACAAATGGGGTCGTACAGAGTGAGGTGAGGAAGCAACGAGATGTGGGCTGTACTCGTTGAATGATGGTAAACATTACCTCCTGACAGCGAAATGGTCGGATAGTTGAATTCATAACTGGAAGTGGTCCATGTTGTTGTAAACCCCATCCGGAATCTTAGGGAGGCTGTGTTTGAAGGGCATGCAACCAGTGTGGACAGTGTTGTGGCGGCAGTCGTAGAAGCCGTGACCGAGTTCAGCAACCCGTTCGCGCTGTTCCAGCACTCGAGAACCAGCGATGACGATCCCGACGAGCCAACGCTTGCTTCTGCGGATCCTGCGAATCGCAGTGTGCCGGCTTGCCCTTGCGCCAACGCCACCGACGTCAAAGTGATAACCTGGTTGACTTCAGAAGTACCGCCAAAGTTCGAAGTTGGAGTAAACCGTTGTTCTGCGGTGCAGCCGCTGAGGAGGCCACAGCTTTGTACTGAAAATGACCAACAACCTCCGGCAGCGCTCCACGAGCTGAACGAGTTGGAGCAGCTCACTGCAGCGGTCGGAATCACGAGTGCGACTGATTGAAGCGCTGCGCAAACAAACCAAAGACAAAGTGAGCGACGAGAACGCCATTTCTTCATGCTCGTCGTGTCTGCCTTTTTCCCTTTTGGTCGTCGGCTTCTTCTGATTGTTTTTTTGTTTTCAACCAACTTTTTTTTTTCTTTTCATGTTTTATTTGTGATCGTGTGGGGGTGTTGTTCAGGACTTTGTCTGCTTGGACGTTGAATTTTCTTCTTGTTCGCTTTGCTCTGTTGCTTCCATCCAGTGCTCCTCGGTCCTCGGGTGTTTCCTCGTCTTCTTTCTTGCTGAAACGCCACCACAACACGCTGGCTCTTTCCTCCCAAATGGTCAAGCTGCACCTCGCAGTCACTTGTTGATGCAGTGGTGATGAATCATCCTGTTGTTCGCATTGTTATTTCCATATTTGTGCCCGGCTTTTGTTGCTCTTCAGCGATTTGAGCAAATGGCTTCCCAAATGAAGCACCAGCAGTCCAACCCGGAGGTCATCTGCTGTCCTGCAAGTACCATTGATACTGATAGCGACGACAGTTCTTTTCAGCAGCTTCATGTGCTTGCGGCTGCAGAGTCAGTTTGATTGCTGTTTTCCACCCAATCACACACGTTCATTCACAACCATAACACACTTCACCCACTCACACTCACTCACCCTCTGGCCTCTCTCTCTCATTTCCAACGACCAGTCGCAGGGGGGAAGGAGGAGGGGGGGGGTGAGAAGTAGTCGCGTCAGAATCAGGTCGGGGCATTCTAATCCAGCGAATGCGATCTTTTTGCATCATGAAACCAAATGACACTCTTCTCACCAGCACATCAACAACATGCCTCGACGGTGGACCATTGGAGACACGTTCATCCATGCACGTCTCCTTCGCTTCCACCCCCGCAACAACAACAACCCCGCGTCCCCAAATCCAAACAACAATCGCCATCAGGAAGCGTAAAGTCGATTTCGGCCGATTTGAGTCGATTTTAATGTTTTGGGTTTTCGTTTCAATTCGCTCGTCTTGAATAGAGCCCGGACGTCAGACCCAGTATCACTCGTCGTATTCGACTCAAACACCACACGCTGATGATGCGGAGAGCGGGCGGCAGTGGACGGTGGGGGGGGGGGAATGAACATAGAAAGGGTTTGGGGTTGAGGGGGTTGGCTGTTGCTAGATTCGCTTCACCAACGTACGTTCAACGGCAGTCGCACGACCAGTAGTGCCAACAAGCACGACGAGCGTGACCACTGCCAAGTGGAGGAGCAATCGCCGCATTGGAAAGATGGAAAGACAAAAGGAAAGCAAAAAAAAACGTAAAATGGGATTGAAGATTTTGAAAGGAGTGAAACAAAATGTACAACAAGAATAAAAAGGACTGTTTGATCTTGTAACTACTAGCAAACCCTCGTCTGAGCAGCCAACAAAGTCTCTCAAAACGGAATTCAAAAAAACCATCGTACATTTTGTGCTTCAACTACGCAAACACCGAAACAACCAAGAAACACAGCCACCCTCGCTTGTTAAAAATCAACCAATTCAATGCTGTAAAGGGCAGAAGATGGTTGCTTGGGCAAGCGACCGTGGGCGGCCAGTTGGAAGAGATGGCCTTTCATGTCTTGCATCCGTTCGCACAGCTGCGTGTGTTGCTGGATTGTGGCAGCGAGATCCGCCACCAAGTTGTGGGTATCTTGTGCGAAAACAACGCGGGTAAAGTGCGAGTCCAAAATCAATGCGACCCAATCCAAGAGCTAAAAGCAAAAAAAAAAACGGGGGGGGGGGCAGATGCAAAAAGAAATAGAAGACGTCAGTTGACGCAGCACAAAACAAATGTAAACGGAAGCAACAAGCCAGCAGGTTACCTGAGCAAACGTTGGTGTACGAGGCGCGAGCGTTTTGCTGTGCAACCGCGCTTCGCCATGCTTGCCATATCGCCCAATCCAGCGGTTCAAAAACTTGAGCAAAATCTGTCCGGACGAAAGAAGTGAGCGGGAAAATGTCCAATCGCAACTGCGCTTCAGGTCAACCGGCATCAATACGTACAACGACAAGATTATGACCCAGTGATCGCAGCTCTTGTTGCATGTAAATATCGTTGCGAGGAGCCGAAATGATTAAGAAACTGCGTTGGGAGGTAAAAGCGCAAAGTACAAAGCACTGGGTGAGCACGAGAACGCAAGTTGGACCAGAGCCAAGTCAGCTGTAAACATACAGGAACAAATCAATGACATGCTTGACCGAAGCGGCAAATTGCAATCCCTTCCGGTCAACTGTAGATAACAAGTGAGAGACGCATCAGTACCAAAGCGCAGCTCCGCCAAACACATCCACGAAATCCAACAAGCACAACTTACCCTTTTCAGCAGCGTAGGCCAAAAGAACAGACTCGTCAGCTTCCTCCAGGAAGAATCGCAGCAAGCTCACAAGCGCCGTCTCGGAAAGGTCGTGCACATGCAACAGAACCAGTTCAAGCAGCCTCAGCGCTTGCAATGGCGGGATGGACGCTTGCTTGTTGGGCGTGGCTGGTCGGATGAAGCCTTCGCGCGCTGGAATCATGTCCGTGAGACGTCGGAGCAAGGTGGGGACGAGCGTGACAGACACGCACCCGGATTTGAGCATCAGTGCCAAGGGAGCCGACGCAAAGAAGGCGGTTTCAGACATGATGCGGTGCAAGACAGCCGACATGAACCGATGCATAAAGAACGAGCCACCGGCAAGCGCAAGGCGAGGATGCAGCTCGTCCATGTCGTCGTTCATCAGACCACCCGCGCCGCTCGACGTGTCCATGGCGTCTGCAGAGCCGGCCTCCAAGTCCTCGGCCGTGTAGTCATAGTCGGCGTCGCCATTGCTGCTCGCGCGCTTGGAAGGGCGACGCTCTTGGTGCCGCAATTGCTGCTCGCGAGACTGGCAATACTCGTTGAATGCTGTTGTGAACGACTGCAGTGTCGGGGTTTGCTGAGGAGTGGAAAGTCGCGCGATAAAGTCGAGCTCCTTGGCATCGTCGGCATCAATCTCGGCCTCCCACTGGGCGGGGGTCAGAGCGGAGCGCACAATCGGCGCCGAAACGGTGGTTGCGATTGGGGGAAGGAGAGATGCATCCGAGCCAGCCGCATCATCTGCATCAGCTTGCTCGGACTGCTCGACGTATGCGCTCGTGATGGTCATGCGACCAATCGCGGACGCCAACGACAAGGGCTCTGTCACAATCGGGCAAACCAGCACACGGCGGTCGAGCGCAAGTGCAAAGAGACTTGCATCGGAGGAGTTCCGCAACACGCTGTAGACGTTGCAAGCAGGCGCGCCAGTGGTGGCAGTCAATGCCAGCAGAGAGTCGCTAGAGGAATTGGCGTCGCTTTGCGAGGCGAGCGCCGTCAGACCCTGGAGCGTGCCAAATCGCGTGTCCCAGACAGACACGACGCACTGTACTGTTTTGCTGGGTTGGGGAGCGTGCATCGAGAGGTAGGTCGAGGGTCCGGCAAGCACCACGTACGAGTCAAAGGTAAACAGCGAGACGCTCAACGTGTCGTTCTCGGAGGAGGCAGCTTTGGGAGCGGGCTTGCTGCCCTTGCCCTTGCTGGGAGTGTGCAACGAGGCAGCCTCTTTGGAAGCCGATGATGATGATGATGATGAAGCAGGCTGATACAAGAGTTGTTTGCGGACGAGAGACGGGGCACGAGCGTTCTCCGCTGCGCCTGCGAGATTGTAAATGGCGAGCGAGCCGTCGCCCCACAACACGGAAAGTGTGCGAGAGGCAATGTCGAGCGAACCGGTGCGTGCGAGCGCCGTGGCAGTGCTTGCGTGGTTGCTGGGCGCCTCCAGGACAAAGAATGCGCGTTGCACGAACGTCGACGTTGCAGTGTCCAGAGTGTACTCGTACACGACAAGCTGTCGGTCGGACGAGCCAGATGGTGTCGCTGGCTGATCAAGCAGGGCAAAGAGGGTGGATCCGCTCGCCCAGACGTCGCGCAAAACGGCGTTCGGCACGGGCGCAGCAGTTGTGTTGAGGCGCTTTGCTGCCTTGTTGTCGTACGAGAAGAAGGTGAGGGTGCCGTCCGTGAAGGCAATAGCGCAGACGAACGTCGACTCAGCGCTGCCGTTGATACGCAGCGCCACGAGCTTGGCGGCAGAGCGGGACTTTGTCGCGTCAACCACAATGGAAGCGAGCGGGGCGCGCTCAATGTCCGTGGCTGACTCCTGCCACAGAATGAGCGTGCGCTGGTCGCGGATGGCAGCCAAGTGGTGCGACGCAGGGTGCTGGATGGCGGGTGTGGTAAACTCTGTGCTCAGACGCACAGACCATGTTTGGGTGCACTTTTGGTCGTGGATGTTGTAAACGGAGACTCCGATGCCCTGTCAGATGCAATCGAAGACATAGAGAGAGAGAAAGTGAGTGAGACAAGCGTTTCAGTTTTCAGTACAATGGTGAGTGGCAATGGATGGTGACTGAGTGCGTCTCCATTGCGATTGAATCCAAAGTGCGTTTTGCAGCAAACTCATGGCTTGTCTTGCGAGGTGCTTTGTATTGAGGTTGCTCTGAATTGATTGATTGCATTTTGCAAGGGGGGATCGTCCCAATCCATGTGTCCCGCATCATAGACGACGGCATCCGAGTACAGCGGGCTGACCGCCTTGTGCCGCCGCCCTCCCCGTTTGCCCCTCCCCCGACTCGGCTTGCATTTGGCATCAGCGAGCAGTCACGACCGACCGGGAGCAGACGAACAAGTGGTGGAAGAGGGGCGACTGAAGCCGTCAATGGTCGGTCTGCCCTGCTCCTTGGACCATGTGGCTCGATCGCTGGCAGAGGAGTCCTTTTGGGGGGGGAGCTGTGGGGAGTTGGAGCTCCAGCAACCTCCACTGCCCTCATCGAATGTCTCATAGAACACGAGGATGGCACTGCAGCTGAACGGGATGAGGGGGGGGGTTACCTGGAAAGTGACGAGGAGGCATGCGCGGTCAGAGTGCTGGCTGATGCCGAGGATGCGCGACGCCCGGTCTGCGCTCGCACACAGCTCAAAGGGCTCCTCAAGCGAGCACGTCGTCGATGCGGGCAGCAATGACGCCATTCGAATCGAGGGAAATGAGAGAGAAACGAGAGTGCAAGGAAAAGAGTGCAAGGGAAAGAAGGGGGAAGAATGAAGAGTGAGAATAGGAATATCAATGTGAAAAGCCATTGAATCTCAGATCAGATGGAGGAAAATTGAAAAAAGCATCATCGGACTTTGCTGAAGATGCAAGTGGCATTGATTTGCAAAACCACTCAGCGCCATTGTACGATCGAACGCCGGTTGGCCGTGGCAGGACTTTGCGACTGAGGACTTTGGAGACGCGTCCTGATGGCTGCGGATACGCTACGGCGGCGCAAATAGGATAGGAATTGTAGCAGTTTCATTGTACGTACTTTGGTGTGTAGCAGAAGTCTGAGACTCGGTGTTTTCAAAAAATCGCACCTGTACCAAAGGTTGAACGGCTTATCTTGGCAACCCATTGATAGAACAAGGCACAAGAACAATAGAATGTGATCAAATCGAGCACGTGCATCCAAACACAAAGTAAACTATTAAACTCACCACTGCCATAAATTCTGCAAAGTTACAGGGGACGTGGTCATTGGAGTGGCGACAAAACCCAAACCAGAAAGTCCTCGCAATCCGGCAACAAGGAAAGTTACCGTCCAAACCGCGCTATCGTGCATTCAAAGCAATATACAGGTTGAAAAACACTTTTTCTACCTTTTCTGAGCAATTAGAGCCGCAATCGAGCTCGCGATTACGGTGGATACGAAGCTGAGTTTCCACGCAGTTAAAAACATCCAAAGCCCGCGATATGCTCGATATGCTGCGTCCACGACCGTGCTCCGCCTTCCACTACGACAATCGTACGTATCTTGTGCAAATCCATCGTCTCAAACACCGTGACGACGCGGGCGTTTGTGATTTCAGGTTTCAACGGCGTGCCGTTTTCCCGGATTCGAAATTTTGATCTACCTGACGCATTGAGCCATATCATGCTGTGGCACAAGCATGTGCAGTTGAGTAGGAGCGCTATTGTCTTACCTATGTGGTTGCAAGTGCTCCGAAGGGCCACCTGTCCGAAATGGGCGCATCGTATGGCGCAGACGATCGGACGAAGCGAGTGTTTGATGCTTGCCTCCGATCTCGGCCTTCCAAGCGGCTGAATCGGCAGTCGACTTCAATGATAGCCCTATGATCCATACATTAAGTGAATGAAGCCTGGCTCTCTGAGCAGCTGCGCCGCATTCGTTCGCACGATCGGGAAACGTCATTTTGGACGCTGTTTTCGGTTTTTGGGGTGTTTTCGGGTTTCAATTTGAAAGCGACAGCAAATCGTGCTCGCCCATCCCCATGCATGCCACAGCAAATCAAATCGTGCGATGCATCGATGATCTATTCTACTTTGTAGCTTGCTGCTGATGTTACGACAGTACGACCAAAGTTCAAATCCAAACCATCGTTGAATATTTGTTCTCGATTCAGTCTTGATTTGCATTCAACCCCAAGAAAACGCCCCCATTCCTTATTCTTTTTTCTTGGTCTTTTAACAACACAACAACAAAGCCGAAACAACAACAGCAATTTTCTGTCTTTGAATGAGTGCCAACACGCGCACCCTCCGCTCATCGCAGCGACCGACGCCCGGGGCTGGGGACGAGGAGGAAGGATCCTCGACGCAGTTCTTGGGCAAGTTCAAGCTCTTGCGCACGCTCGGCCACGGCAGCTACGGCAAAGTCAAGCTCGCCCAGCACATTGAGACTGGCCAGAAGGTAGGGAGCAGCTGCTGGTTTGTTGCGTTGCGTCGAAGGGAGGGGGTGGGGGCGGCGAGCAATGGTGTGTCAGTATGGGGTTTCGGTTTTTTGTACTGAGCACGGGCTCGCTGCGATCACCCGCTTGCGTCATCGAGTCATCGGAGAGCGTCTGCTGATTGACTGAGTGGAGTGGAGTGGAGTGGAGTGAAGTGGAGTGGACTGAGTGGAGTGACTCGACACGCTCAATCTCTCGCGCATTGTTCAATGTCTCACTCGCCTCGCCATTCATTCTTCCAACCACCTCCTTTTGAATTCCCCTTTGCAGCCCTCATCCTCACCCCCTTTCAACCCTCATCCTAGCTACTATCGACTTCACATAATGCGTAAAACGTTTGGAAGAACAAACAGGAAGGAACGCGGACCTTTTTTTTTTTTTTTTTTTTTTTTTTTTTTTTTTTTTTTTTGGGGCTGATTCTTCGTTTTTCTTTCTGGTTTCTGGGGTGGTCAAATGCGACTGCAGCACTTTGAAAGTGAAGCGCTTTGTCATTTGCAGCGGATGACTCAGAGATGGACCAATTGAGGGGGTGGCTGATGGCTGGCCTTGTGCCACAGCAGGGCACACAGTAGGAAGCGAAGCGGTGCTGTCACAGTCGCAACACACACACAAAAAAAAAAAAAAAAAAAAAAAAAAAATCCGATTTTTTATTGTTCATTGCAGCGCTCGTTCGTTCGCTCGCTCGTTCGTTCGTTCGGGCGATGTCACACATACACACACACTCATACTCTACTTGGGGGTGTCCTTGTTTCCAACTCAAGAACCAAACGCGGTTTTCCTATGGAAAAAACACAAACAAAAATCAAATGGAAAAAAATGGGGTTTCTTTTTTTTTTTTTTTTTTTTTTTCGATCGCCGATGGCAGTGTTTTAGAAAATTTTGTTTCTTTTCATTCGCCGTTCGTTCGTTTCGCTGCTGCTGCTGCTGCTTGTTGAAACTGAAAGCACAACCCAGCGAATAACAACACACGCAGAGTCACTTTCCAAATGTTCACATCTTGTCGCTGTCTCTCTCTCTCTCTCTCTCTGTCGCTGTGAATGGTCACTCTGCGTGCTCGATTTCCGCTCGATTGGTCGTCGATCCTGACCCAACCCTCTTCTTTTTCCTTTCCTTTCCTTTCCTTTTTTTTCCGTATTTTTGTTTGATTCAAGCAGTAGTTCAGTGCAAAACAATTATATGATGTGCTTTGAGTTTTGGGAGACATGATTGCTGGTGGAAGCAAAAACCAAACGAACAACAGCGCGCGAGACGAAAAACAACAACAACAACAACAACAAAAATCTGACACTCTAAAAAATACCATGTTAGGAACTGGCCAGAAAAGAAAAAAGAAAAAAAAAAAAGAAAAAAAAGAAAAAAAAAAAAAAAGAAAAAGCGATCGATCGCATTTTGATGATGTTGAATTTTGGATGATTTGGTTTTTGTAGCGAGTGTTGAAAATCACAACAAGTGCGATGAAAGATTTTGTGAAGAACGACGAAAAGAGCAAAAGAAGAAGAAGAGCTGAGACAGAGAGTTGAGAGAGAGCTTGACACTGACATGCTCAGAACAACAAAGTCAAACAAATGCAAGGAACAAAGAAGAAGAGCGAAAACGAGCGAGAGAGAGCTTGACACTGACATTCTCAGAACATCAAAGTCAAACAAATGCAAGGAACAACGCAAACACAAAGAAGAAGAACGATGATGATGCGCTTGAATCACTGACAGGGATGGATACTGAGACAGAACTCGGAATGAATCACACTCTCAAACAACAAATACTCACTTTTCTCCCCACCCTCCTCAGGTCGCTCTCAAAATCCTCGAAAAGTCAAACATCAAGTCCAACAAAGCCCTCAAGCGCATCTTTCGCGAAATTGGCTACCTGAAGGTCCTCCACCACCCACACATTGTGGCGCTGCTCGAAGTCATCGAGACGACAGACCGCATCATCCTGATCATGGAGTTTGCCGCGGGTGGCGAGCTCTTTGACTACATTGTCGCCCGCCAAAACCTCAAGGAGGTCGAGGCACGGCGCGTCTTTCGCCAAATCATCTCGGCCGTCTCGTACTGCCACCAGAGCGCGCTCATCCATCGCGACCTCAAGCCCGAAAACCTCTTGCTAGACTCGGACTTGAACATTAAAATCATCGACTTTGGCTTTTCCAACGTCTACCGCACAGACATGGTTCTCAACACGTTCTGCGGGTCGCCTTACTATGCCGCGCCCGAAATGATTGTTGGGCAGTCGTACGTTGGACCCGAGATTGACATCTGGAGCATGGGTGTCATTCTCTACACGCTCCTCTGTGGCCACTTGCCGTTTGACGACGACAATCTGACCAGGCTCTACGAGAAGGTGTTGGTGGGCCAATTTGATCTCCCCGAGACGCTGTCGCAAAGTGAGTTGATGCGTTCTGATCTGTTTTTGGGAGTTGGTTGGAAGAGGAGAGCGAGTGAGTGTGAGTGTGGTTGATTTGGTGGCAGAACTGCCGAGTATTTGCTGTTGATTTTGAGGTGTCGGGGGTTTCTTGATGTTCACTTTGGTCGCTTGCTGGAATAGTGGCCAAGGACTTGCTGGTCCGCATGATCCGCGTCGAGCCGGGTGGTCGTGCGCCTTTGGAAGAGATTGCCAAGCATCCATGGGTCATGGAAGGCTACGACACACCCGTCAACGCGTACTTGCCACCACGACTGGAAATTGACGAGGTGAGAGCCAGAAAACGATCAAAGCGCTTTTTGGGTGTGGGGTTTGATTTGCCTTGACCCTGACTTTTTTTTTTTTTGTTTTTGTTTGTGTTTGTGATTGTTTCAGGTCGACGAAGTCATTTTCCGACAGTTGCTCAAGTACGACTTTGACGCCATTGAGGCAGACGAAGATTTGCACCGACCTGGCGTCAACCCCGCCAAAGGCATGTACTACCTGCTGTGCGAAAAGCGAGACCGCGACCTGAAAAAGTTTGCGGCGGCAGCGGCAGCCAACAACGCGGCGGCATTGAGCGCTTCCCAGTCGGTGGCCCATATGCGCTCTGGCTCAAACACGGCAATGCCCATGAATGTCGTGCCCGCTTCCGCCGAGGAGGTGGCTGCGGCCAAAGCGGCTGCGACAGCGCAACAATCGGCGCAACAATCGCGATTGGCGCAGCTGCGAGAGCAACGCTACTCAAAGCTCGCGTCAGACACGCGTCGCTCACGCACGATTGCCTCAGTGCCAGCCCGCGCGCCAGAGTCTGCGGGCGTGGTGGGGCAGATGATGCCGTCCGACATCGATCCTATGCAGGCCATGGTGAACGCGCGTCAGGCCCACTTGCAGGCCTCTGGCGGCTCGAGTTCCGGAGGTGTGATCACGGTGACTGCGCCCATTGCAGTTGCTCCCTCCCTCGGTCCGTCCATTGGCGAGCGTGTCCAATCTGTCAACCACAACATTTCTGGCGGCGCGCTCCCCTCGTCGCCGCTCCCCATCGAGCCACTTGGCGACTTGTCTGCACCAGTCAAGCCAGTCCAACAGCAGCCATCGGCAACAACGGCGGCAGCAGCAGCAGCAGCAGCCACAGCAACAACAGCAGCACCCGTTGCTGCAGCCGCGCCCGCAGCTGCTGCGCCCGCCATGACACCGGCAGAGCGCATGCAAATGCTCATGGCCAACGCCAAGGCGCATCAAGCCAAGAAGGCAAGCGAGGGTGCTGCTCCGCAGGCAGCTGCCGAGCCTGCTGTTGCTGCTGCTGCTGCTGCTGCTGCTGCTGTTACTCCGGCGCCCGTCGCAGCAGCTCCCGTTGTTGCCTCCAACGCTAGTGAAACCAGCATGGATTCGTCCAAGCCGGACTCGGCCGAATCCACGCCGACCTCGTCGGGCGCCAGCTCGGCCGTGGGTTCGCCAAACTCGTCGCAGACACAAATGGCCCCCGTGGACGAGCCGCGCAAGACCGTGGTTGTCGCTGGCAAGGGCAGCGGTGCTGTCAAGTTTGCCCTTCCTGCTGGTCAACAACCAGAGGAAGACGAGCCCGAGGACGAGCTGCCCGTGCCGGATTTGCCAGCATCATCAACTCCCGCAACCGCTGCCACGGCCACGGCCTCGTCTGCCGGCCCAATGACGACAACGGCCGCTGCCGCCGCCGGTGGCGCAGTCCCGCCCGCCTCATCCGTGGCCAAAAGCTCTGCCAAAGCCGCCGGCGACGCACAGAAAAAGAAGCGCTTCTTGTCCCTCGACGGCGCCATGTCAAGCTTTATCGCAGCATTTGGCCGCAAGAAGGCCTCGCAACCCACCGCGAACGGTGCCATTGGCGAAGCCGGCGAGGAAGGAACCGCCGAGGAGCCCGCAGAGGACGTGTCTGGCAATGCACAAGATGCTGGAACGGTGGACGCGAACGGCGTCCGCGAGTTGCCTGCCAACGATTTGCGCACCCTCAAGGGCTTTTACGACGTGTCGACCACCTCATCCAAGCCCGTTCCTGACATTATTACAGAGATTTCTCGCGTCCTCGGGGAGATCCAGATTGATTACTCGTGGAACAATGTGACGGTGAGCTGCATGCAGCATGTCGAGCTTGTCACCACCGTCACCACCGCGGGCGGCACAGTCATCCAAATGAACAAGTCTCCCGCGGCACTCGCAGCGGCTCAAGCCAAGGCGACGCAGTTTGAAATTGAAATTTGCCGCGTGCCAAAGCTCAACCTGTGCGGTCTGCACTTCCGACGCGTGTCTGGCGACATTTGGGCCTATCGCAAGATTTGCCATCGCTTGTTCAATTCGCTCCAACTTTGATTGTGTTTTGTTGGAGGAACCCGTTTCAAGACAACGAACAGAACAAAACAAACCCACATTTGCAAGTGTTTTCCGTCTTGTTTTCTCCACAGCCGAGAGCCCTTGCATGTTATCCGAATGTACTATGTCTTATTCCTAGGTTTGTTTCGTTGCACAATTTTTAAGAGGCGATTTGCTGAGAGTGTTGGCAATGAGCCAACCGCGGCGCAATGTAAGGGTCATGCGTGCGAGAGAGCTCTACCAAAGCACCGAGAAAAGACATTGTCACTCGTTGTCGGCCATCCGATGCTCGGGATTGGGGGGGGGGAAGAAAGGATGATAACTCGTGAACCGAGAGTGAAAAAGTGTTTTTTGAGGATTCAGCTGATATCGCGTCCAACGCAGGATGCTATGTGGCTTTGAGCGCCATCATGAACAGAATCAACTCATCCACCCCCAGTTGCAGCAAGTCGGCAGCTAGTGCAGAATGACCAATAGAGCCATGAGCAAAAATGCAACGTTCGGACACGAGTTTCACACCCGATTGCGCTGAGTCACGCTCCCTTCCATGCTCCACGCTCACTCTCATGAATAATCTTGCTGGACATGACCGTGCCAAGAGCGAGACAACCGAGGCGGATGCTCAAACTTTTGTCGTTGCCTCCTTTTTCAATGATTTGGCTTTTGAATCATTTCTTTTTTTTTTTTTCTTTTTTTTTTTTTGTTGTTGTTTTGGTTTTTTCAATTTTCTTGGATTTGTTTTTTCGAATATCTTTCATGACTGATTCGACTTCTCGGATGGCGCTCGTGCAGCCGAGGCTGTTGCTGGGACTGCTAGTTCTACACGTTCTGCTTGGGCTGCTAGTGATGGAAGCGTCGGCGGCGTACAGAGGTGGGTGTGTTGGATGAAGCGAGTGCGCTTCTTGATGGCTAAGCCATATGGTGTTGTGGTGAAGAAGCGATAGCGCATGATTGCATGTGAACGAGTCAGCGAGTGTGTGAGGGATTTGATGAGTGCGATTGGGCGGAGGGAATCGCTGTCTCAGGGAGCAGGCCGCAGAAGGAGTGAGGGAGTGCGAGGGCGTGAGAGGGAAATGTGGGGGATTTGGATTGCGATTCGATTGGAGCCCACTCCACGACTGTTCCTCACTCACTCGTCATGCGTTGGGTCGTTCTTCGGCATTGATTGCTTGTTACTCAGGGACTTCGTTTTTACCGACCGCAACCGATACAATCGTGAGAGCTGCAGGAACAGGCAAATCAACTGGTAGCGGCAACCAACTCGCCATCGCAACATGTCCGGCTGGCAAAAGCATCATTTGGGGCTTCAAATGGTCGTAAGTCGCTGTCTCGAGTCGCTTGTGTGTTCGAGGCAACATGGAGAGCTCATCCCTTTGGAAATCAGGTGGTCGACTGATCTAGAAAGTTTACCATCATGCTTCGCAGACAATAACGGGGCGTGCACTAGTAAGTGATTGTGATTTTCGAGCGCCTCGATCTCCTCAGTACTTATTATGGCATTTCAGTTGGCGATACCAGTTGCTCGAGTTCTGAATGCTCAAAGAGTGGAGCTGCTACCAAACAGTACGTCATCATTGTTTGTCGAACGGGCGCTGCCATCACCGGGTTGACGCAGCAGACAGCTTATGGTACTGGGCCGGAAACCGCCTCCTGTCCTGCTAGCACCGTCATTGCTTATGGGTTTTCCTTCTACATGAGCGACGGACTGCGTGACACCAACTGTCTCTACAACAACAAGGTCTGCGATCTGGGTCAGCAATCCTGTTCAACTACAGCCTGTGACACAAATTATTGTGGTAGTGGAGCGGACCCGGCTTACGAGTATTCGTTCATCTACCTCCTGTGCATGCCATCCGCAGCAGTAACATTGAGCTCTGGAGATTTCGTGTCGAAGACAGGAACATCGAGCGCTGATAGCGTTGCTTGCCCGGACACTTCCAATTACAAAATCAAGTTTGGCGTGTCAATGCATGAAACGGGTTATGATTTCAACCAAAATCCGTCCGACTGCTTAACGACAAACAATCAAGCTGCTACGTACAACAGCGACATTCTTAATCATGTCGCTTGTGACACGACCAGCAATTCTTGCAGCAACGACCAGTTCTTCCTGCACGCAATTTGCGTGGACGTCAGCGCACCTTCCACGCCCTCCATCACTTCACCGACCCAAAATCAGGTTTTTCGGACGAACTCGGTCGCATGGACTTTTACGGCGGCGACCGATGCCCAGTCCGGCATTGACCACTACGAGTGCCAGTTTTCGTCTGGTGGTGGATGGACGACTTGCACTTCCAATCAAGTCTCGACCTTAAATGTGGGAACCTACTCTTTTCAAGTTCGCGCTGTCAACGGAGCGGGCCTGCCATCATCAGCCAGCTCCTCGCGCGCATTCTCGGTTGCATGCTCCTTGGAGTGCGCCACTTGCAGTCCATCCAATGTGAATGTGTGCCAATCGTGTGCCTCCGGATCCTACTTGTCTGGAACATCGTGCGTCTCGACCTGCCCTGAACCAAACTGGGGCAAGCCTGACGGCACCTGTGGCGATTCCTGTCCTGCGAACAAGTATGGAGACATACACCAAAGTCGTGCGTGTGTTTCAACTTGCACGAATTTTGCGCCAGCGAATGCATCGCCGAGCACAAGAGTGTGCGTTGACCAATGTCCTAGCCCATATTATGGCGATTCGGTCAACCACCTTTGTGTTGCAAGCTGTCCTGCTCCCAATTATTTTGGTGACGCTTCTCGCAGCTGTGTCACACCCTGCCCCGATGGACTGTACGGAAACCCCTTGAGTTTGCCTCGTGTTTGCGTTTCAACTTGCACAGGCGGGTACTATGCCGATTCCGGCAACCACCTTTGTGTTGAAAGCTGTCCTGCTCCCAACTATTTTGGTGATGCTTCTCGAAACTGTGTCACACCCTGCCCCGATGGAACGTACGGAAACCCCTTGAGTTCTCCTCGTGTTTGCGCATCAGCTTGCACAGGCGGGTACTATGCCGAGCCAATCAGCAAGGTTTGTGTCCAGACTTGTCCTGCTGGGACTTATGGCGACGGTCTGCGGACTCCGCCGTCGTGCTCGGCGAGCTGTACTAGTGGCACCTTGAAAGATGATGCATCCCACAGTTGTGTTAGACACTGCCCCGCCAACTCGTGGGCGGACTCTCCGACTGGCACCTGTGCTTCGAGCTGTTCCTCGGGACTTTTCAAACAAAATTCAACTTGGACGTGCGTGACTGCATGTGATGGGAGCCTCTTTGCAGATCCTACCAGCGGATCGTGCGTTGTGTCATGTCTGTCGCCGACGTACGCAAATTCTCTTGCTACCCCGCCATCGTGCTCGGCGAGCTGCACTGGTGGACGCTTCAAAGATGACAGCACTCGACAATGTGTTGCGAATTGCCCAGCCAACTCGTGGGCGGATCCCTCAACTAGCAGCTGTGCAGCAACCTGCTCCGCCGGGTTTGCGCACAATGCCACCTGGTCTTGCGTCAACACTTGCACTGTCGGCTATGCCGACAACTCGACTCAGTCGTGCGTGACTAGTTGCCCAAGCGGCACTTTTGCTTTGAAGCCGTCTCATTCTTGCGTCGCTGCGTGCCCATCTGGCTACAAAGCCTCCAACTCCACGAACTCGTGTGATGACGGCTCTTCTGGCGCTCAAGGCAATGGTGGCAGTAGCCCTGTTGCCGCAGCAGCTGGCGCCGCAGCAGCAGGCGTCGTCGTTCTGATTGCGATCGTGGTCGTGGTTGTACTTCTGCGTCGAAGCAAGCGAAGCCACGGCAACCACAAGATGGAAAGCACTTCCGCTACTATCGAAATGACCAACCCGAACTTTGCTCCGGGCCACGATCCAGTCTACGATGTTGCTGTTCAAACCAAGCAAAAGAGCTCTTATCCTGCCTCGACAGCCTACTCCACCCCAGCTGACTACGCACTGCCGCTCAAACCAAACCCCAGCGATCCCGAGTATGCCGCGGTCGGAGGATTGCCGTATTCCACGCCGTCAACTGAGTACAGCCTTGCAGTGGTCTCAACATCTGCAATGCTGTCATCGCAGATAGCCACTGGCGAGCGCAAGCTGCTCGGACGAGGCGCCTTTGGAGAAGTGTTTTCCGCGAACGTGTCCATTGCCCTCATTGCTCCCCAGCATCGCCACCTGTTTGCCCCTGGCGCGCAGACGGTCGATGTCGCAGTCAAGACTCTGCAATTGGATGCCAATGTTCGGGCGGAGCAAGACTTTGTGCACGAGGCCGAGCTCTTGCGCAGGCTGAACCACACCAACATTGTCAATGTCCTCGCGGTGCTCCCAGCCGGACGAGGTCAGCCGCAAATGCTCGTTCTGGAGTATGTGCCGTATGGTAAGTTCTTGACAATCGTGGTTCCAACTGGTGAAGCGGATTTTCATTGGTGTGTTCACTTTCATGAAAACTCGACAGGTGATCTCCGCAACCTGCTCCGGAAATCGGCAAAGAGCGGTGTCGTCTGGTCGCCAGACGAGTATGTGCATGTGGCCACCGGTGTTGCCGAAGGCATGGCTTACTTGGAGCAATCGCGCGTGCTTCATCGTGATTTGGCCGCACGGAATATCCTTGTTGGCGAGCATCTGGTCGCCAAGATTGCCGACTTTGGCTTATCCAGGGAGCTGAACGACAAGGACTATTACAAGTTGCAGTCGAAGCAGAAGCTGCCGATTCGCGTAAGTCGATTAATTGCCGAGGACGCTTTGGGTCGATGGTTTGTGTTGTTTCTTGTGGCCTTGTGTTCACAGTCTGGTGCATCGTAGTGGATGGCGCCCGAAACACTCAACTACCGCAAGTTCTCGAGCCAATCGGATGTATTTTCGTATGGCGTTGTGCTTTGTAAGTTGGATTTGCACTTGTCGAGCAAAGGTTGAACTCCGCGACGATGCTCACTCTTGCGTTTGAATCAGGGGAGCTCTTTACAATGGGCCAAGCACCCTGGGCGAATGTCGAACGCGAGCAGTACCTTGTGGGTCTGGAGCGCGGCGATCGTTTGCCGCAACCTCGGGACTGTCCTGCGCAACTCTACTCGCTGATGTTGACGACCTGGGAATGGGAACCCTCTGCCCGCCCTTCGTTTGCCGACTGCGTGCTGTTGCTTCAGCAGGGACGTTCGCCAAGCGGCACAGTTCGCGATTTGGGGGCTTTGGTGCATTGATTTGTCGGTGCAAGTTTGTTGGCGCGTTGGCAATGACCAGTTTGTGTTTCTCGATGAATGGAATCCCTTTTAACTTGAAACTCAAGCAGACACTCTTTTCCCGTGCTCTGCAAGGTCACCTCAACTGGAGCGCTGCAGCTTTCCATCCGTTTTCTTTGTGGTCGTCGTCGTCGTCGTCGTCGTTTTGCCATCCTTTGCGAATGTGCAGCTTTTACTTGCCTTGAATAGCATTTTATTGTGTCGTGATTGTCATTTTTGCGCTCGAATCGTATCGTCGTCGTTTCTCCATAAATCTATAAATCTGAGATTCTCACTCGTTTTGGACTCTTTTTATTTTTCCACTTCAAAACTCGCTTTTTTGTCCGTTCAAACTTGGCTTTATTTTCTTTTTTTCAATTTTCCCCTCTTCGTTGCGTTCGTTTCCCACTGTTTTTGATACAAAATTGAACGTGCGCACTTGAAACGTGAAGTCATGCCTGGAGCTGGACGGCGTCGGCTGTTCGGGAGCAGCGGCAGTTCGGCGGCAGCTCGGCGGAACATTGTCGGCGATGACCGAGAGCGGCTTGTTCCGCGACGCGTCAGCAGCAATCGCAATCGCAACGACCACGGTGCCGATGCTCACGGTGACGATGATGATGACGATGATGATGGGCGTTCCGGGTCCAGCGACGGCGAGCTCAACTACGACGCAGACCCAGCAATCGACTTTGGGGCAGCCGTGGCAGCGACGACGACCCATGCGGCCGACCGAACGAGTCGAGCGACGACGACGACGACGAGTGCCGCTCAGCGTGATCATCATAGTCAAGGAGTTGATGATGACGATGATGACGATGACATGGTGGTCTGGTCGTCGAACACTGGCCGAGGCGATGACAGTGATCCAACAAGGATGATGATGGGACGGACGATGGCGCCATTGGGCCACCACGGACCAGCCGTGTTACATCACCAGCAACCAATGCACGCGGCGACGACGATGACGACCACGCAGCCGGCTGTGCAGACCACTCACCAGTCACCCCCAAGCGAACCGCAGGCTGGGTCCACGCGCACGCTGCTGCGCAATCCGAGCAATGCAAGCGCAGCCAAATCCAAATCCAAATCCAAATCCAAATCCAAATCAAGACTCCAATCGCCGACATTGCCGACTGGCAGCAGCAGCAGCAGCACTGGCAATCGCCGCTCATCGCCGCCGTCGGAGCCTGCCGACACTGCAAGCATGCCAGTCGTCAAGCCGACGCCGTTGCCGATCGGCGCCATGATTGTCGTGACGGTCGTGCAGCTCGCAGAAGCAGCCCAAATCACCGTGCTGCTGCCGTTCGTCCCGTTCATGGTCGCCGAGTTTGACTCTGTGCCAAAGGACCAGATCGGAACGTTTGCCGGCTTGCTCGCCGCTGCGTTTCCAGCTGGCCAGTTTATGAGCAGCTACATGTGGGGAATGGTGGCCGACAAACTCGGTCCAAAAGCAGTCATCATGGCGTCGCTCATCTCCACTGCCATCCTCACCATTGTCTTTGGGATGAGTACATCGTTTCCCATGGCCCTCGGCGCTCGAATTGCCTGCGGCCTGCTCAACGGCAACGTCGGCGTTGTCAAGAGCTTTCTGGGCCGTGTGACGGACGGCTCGAATCAAGCTCGCGGCATGGGCATCTTGTCCATTGCGTGGGGCACAGGCTCGATTGTCGCTCCCGCACTCGGTGGCGTGCTTGCCCGACCTGCCATTTCATTTCCCGACACCTTTTCGACCGACAGCTTGTTTGGACAGTACCCGTATCTCTTGCCCTGCGCCTTGTCGTCCGCGTTTGTCGCCGTGTGCGCAGTCCTCGTCATATTCTTGATGAAGCCTCCAAGCCACTACATGCGGCTGGCGCAGAGCGATGCCAATAACGACGACGACGAATGTGCCGCAAACACCGAGTCCTTTGAGCTTGGCGCCTTGTCCAGCTCGACGGCCAAGTTTACCATTGACGACGAAGACGCTGCCGAGGATGATCGCACCACCAGCAGCAGCGCTTCGAGCACCCTCTCCGGAATGCGGGATCGCGAGACCACAACCGACACCAAGTACCAGCGATCCCCTTCGCCGTTCGCATCGCGCTCGAGCTCGTTGGCCGCGATCGGGTCTGAATCGCCGCAACCCAAGCCTCGTCCGACCAAGCCTCCACTGGTCAGGGCTTCGCTGTCCAAGCGCGGCTCTTCGTTGTTTTCCATTTTCTCTACAAAATGGTCGTCGGCTTCGTCGCTCTTTGGACGCAACTCAAAGTCCAACGATGACTCTGATGAGAATGTCAGTGTCTTATTGGAGTCGGTCGATCCCGAAGTTCAAGTTCTTGAGACCGAGGACGAGACTGCAGATGGACAGAGCAGCAAGCCTGCTGGCCGAGTCTACCAGTTTCGATTCACCAGCGAGTCGCACCGGGCCATGCGGCGCGGCATGATGTGCGCCACTGGCATGTACGGGTTTGTGGCGCTTGTGTACATGATGGCCGATGAAACATTCCCGCTGTTCTGCTCTTCGGCGATCGAGAATGGCGGCTTGGCGTTTTCGTCCAAGTCCATCGGCCTTGGACTGGCTGTCATGGGCGTGGCCCTAATGGCCTACACTTCATTCCTTTATCCTCATCTCTGCGCGCGCGTGAGCCATATGGTAGGGCTCTGGCATGGTTGGATGTGGGTGGGTCACGGTTTGTTTGATTTTTGTGTTTGCGACTAACGGTTTAATTTTTAAATTGGGTTTCGCATCCGCGTGTTAGGCATTGCTTCGCTGGTCGCTTATCGCCGCTGTCGCAGGGTTTATGTTCTTCCCGCTGGTCAATTACTTGGCCGCCAACAATTACTCGATCGAGCTGCAGTGGGTTGCGCTCATGCTCATCTTGACCTTTCGCGGCGTCCTTGGTGTCCACACATTTACAAGCGTCATGCTGTTTGTCAACAACTCGGTGCCGCGCGAGCGTCTGGGTCAGGCGAACGGCATTGGACAAATGTTTGCCGCTGGCGCGCGTACTTTTGGCCCTGCGCTTTCGGGCATTCTGTGGTCGGCGCTGTCCCACGCCCGCTTTCCTTTCCACAATGTCCTGCCATTCGCCTTGCTCAGCTTCCTGAGCTTTGTCATCTTCTTCCTCTCGTTCCTGTACGCCCCGACGATTCAGAAACCGTTCGAGGATTCGCTCACCCTTGCTCAGTTGGATCCCGACTGCGGCGCCGAGTGGCTGGCCAGCAAGTCCAACCGCAGCCGCAGCAGCAGTCACTCTGCCGCGCCATCCGCTGTCATTGCGCACTAGTCGAGGCGAGGCGAGGCGAGGGGTAGTTCTCTGTTCTGTTGCAAGGTGGGGCATGCAATGTTGTTAATGATGTACTTTTAAAATTTCCAATTTCTTGTATTGAGCTGATCTGGATGTCCTCTTGAGGCCCAGTGCCAAGTCGTGCAGTTTGGTCCAAGTAGTTCAAGTTGGGTTTGCATGAGATGTATCGGATATTCCAGTGTTGAGCTCTTTTTCTGATTTCTGAGCTGTTCTTCCCATTCCACGAGCGTTGTTTCTCCCTTTGCTACTACTTTCTGAGCATCTTATCTGATATTCAACTCAGTCGTCTCTTAGTTTCTCTTATCACTTGCTCTGATGACGTCTGCGGCCGGTGCGATCAATCTGCTGTCGCAGGCGGCGCCGTCCGAGGTTGCCGAGAGCGTCTTTGACTTTCTGCACATGGAGATGGTCAACTATGTGCAGCAGTCGACGCCGGCTGGTGCATCGCACAAGGTCAGTCATAGGCGGTGGGGGTTGAGCGTTGTATGGCGCTCCATTGAGCCTTTGCCTTGCTCACTCACCTTGCTGCTGCTGCTGCTGTTCCCGCTCCTGTGGGCGATATGTCGGGTTGTGTTTGCACCAGGACGAGGTCGTGTACAAGCTGGAGCGCATCGGCTTCCAAACGGGACAGGCGACCATTGAAAGGTGAGCAGCTCGATTTGGGAGCAAAAACGCGAGATCTCAGACAAGCGCTTGTTTCTGAGGTTTATGGAGCGGAAACCAGTCAACTATATTGCTACAGTGAAGAGGAAACAAAAAAAAATGACCATCGCAATGGTTGAAATTTTGCGCTGAATTCTACACAACTTTGGCGAATCACAGATGCACCAAAGACGTCCATCGGTTCAAGGATCAGCTCGATGTGATCAAGTTCCTCTGCAAGGAATTCTGGACCCTGGCGTATGGCAAGCAGATCGACAACTTGCGGACAAACCATCGCGTGAGTTGAACAAGAAACAAACAGCAACCGTTTTTCAGTTTTTTGGTTTCATCGTCTCACTTGACGAGCTGCGGCTGCGGCTGGTGTTGTTGCAGGGAGTATACGTGCTGCAAGACAACCGCTTTCGAGTCTTTGCAAACATTTCCAACTCAAAACAGTTTCTAGAGAATGCCGCTCCTGTCAGTTTTGCTTGCCGTTTTGCTTTTTTGCATTTATGCTTGGGAAGTCTTATTCTGATTCGTTTATTGTGCTTGGTATATCATGGCTGTAGTATGCTGCGTTTGCTTGCGGCATGCTGCGTGGCGCATTAGCCAATCTGGGCATTGTGAGCGTTGTGACTGCAGACTTGGGTCAGACGTTGCCTTCGTGTGAGTTACGCTTTTGTTTCGACTTGTGCAGCAGCAGCAGCACCACTCTTGATCGTTTGTCTCACGCTGCTTGTTCTTTCTCTGACCCCCCCCCCCTCCCTCCCTTGTTCTTGTGTCTCGCAGGTTTGTTCCAAGTCAAGATGTTGTAAATCCCAATTTTTCTCGCCAATACATTCTGTTTCTGTCTCCCTCTCTCTCTCCCTTTCTCTCTCTCGCTTGTACTGTTGCAACTGTCACCCCCAACTGCAGTCTTATTGATACTGCACGCCCTTCTAGTTGTCCTTTCTTTCCAGCTCAGTCGTTCTTCCTCCAATGCAATGGATCAATCTCACTCTCATCATCCGCAGCGTGTGCCGCCAAAGCGCACCGTGAGCACGATGGATCAGCTCCGAGAGAAGGTCAAATCCACCCTCACAAGTCAGTCAAAAGCCTCGTCCAGTTTTGCATTGGGAGTTAGGGTTCTAGGGTTACAGGGTTACAGGGTTTCTGAGGGTTTCCGGGTTACCAGTAGCTATCACAATGGTTCAACAAGGACCCTTCCCGTCAATATGACTAGAGTGCTTGTGCTGTTGCTGCTGATTGGCGATGGAAGCACACCCACCCGAGGAGAGAGAGAGAGAGGACTTGGGCTTTGACTGGCAGACCACTGCGCACTCAACACACGCTGGACTTGTGCTTGGAGACAGACAACCAACGCGTGTCGCGCGCAAAGATACTCTCGCTCAAGCGCATCAAGCTGGAGCTCGAGCTGGACGCAGAGGACGAGGCGGCGCGGCTGTTTGCTGTGGCGGCGACCGCCGAGACAAACGGCTATGGCCAAGATCAAGCTGGTGATGGCGATGGTCAAGCATGGCAAGACACCTCAATCCATGCTCATGCTCAGGAAGGCAGCTCAAGTCATCCCAGTACCGCAGGAACCGACTCAGAGGCAGACGCAGAGCCTCACGGTCAGGTCAGCTGGATGGACGCCGGGAACTCGAGCCCAGCGGCATTGCTTAACAACCCAGTCCAAGTCAAGAGAATCGTGCACGAGCTCTTGCGCGAAGTGACGTCGAAAGGAGCTGCGCGCCGGCACTCTGGGCTGCGTCAGTTGCGCCGATTGCTCTCCTGCGTTCGCAAATACCCACTCGCGACCGATGCGTTTGTTGCGTAAGTGCATCCACCCAGGCCAGGCGAGATGCATTTTTGGGATTGGCGTGCTTGTTCTTGGAGCTGCGGCGACAGGGGTCCGAGCGAAGGGGGGGGGAGCCATTGCGAAAAGAACTAACTTAAAAATGCAAACTCGTCCTCGTCGCTGCGTCGCCCTCATAAAAAACAGAACACCCCACGCCATGGCCACATTGATAGACTTGCTCATGGGCCACAATAGCGATGATCAGATCGAGGCGGCTTGGTGCATTTTGAACCTGGCGGCGGGCTCGCCAGCTCACACTGCTGCAGCCGCGCACGCCTCCCCCTACCTCGTGTCGCTTTTGTCCAGTCCCGTGCCACTATTACAAGAGACGTCGGTAAGATAGCGAGCTCTTCAGATACGCAGCATGCACTCCATTCTGATTTTGGGTTTTTGCACGGCAGGCTTGGGCGTTGGGAAACTTTGCTGGAGACTCTGTGCAGTTCCGCGATGTTGTGGCTGCCCAGGGTGCCATCATTCCACTCGTGCGAATCCTGATGCAAAGTGTCGATCCTGCGTTGGTCAAGGCGGCGAGCTTTGCACTCGGCAATCTTGCTCGCGGCGCTCATGCTCCGATCGCCTTGATGGTCGAGGCGCAAATCATCCCGGCGCTGATTCGACAGCTGCAATACTGGCAACAGCAACCTGGCGGACTGGTAAAAATAGCAAATTACGGTATTTGTTGGTTGCCATGTGGGTTGATTTGGCTCACGTTGCCATTTGAATGCTCACAGGCCGTCTTTTGTCAAATTGCCTGGATTCTCACCTATCTCTCGGCGGTTGACTCGCTACGCCATGTGCTGCTGCCACTCAACGTGCTCCCGCTGATGGCCGCTGGCGTCTTTCTGGTCTTTGATGCAGTGTTCACTTCTGAGCAACACAGCGGCAAACCTTGCGAGGTGTCGTTAAACGATGCGACACCGCTCCTTCGCGTCATGGGCAACTTTGCGACGATGGATAACGACAATGTTACCAATGCCATCATGTCGAGCCACGCGAGCTGGCTTGATCTCTTGGTTCTGGTCATGTCCACGGAGCACAGGTACAAAAACTCGATTGTTCAGTCTGTATTCGGGACGTTCTTATCTGACGAAAATGTTCCAAACAAATGCAGCGGCCATTTGATTGCAGAGACGGCATGGCTTTTGGGCAACCTGACCACGAGCAACGCCACTGGCGTGGTTGACAGTTTGGTGGCGGCAGGATTTATTCCGCTGCTCCTCGAGCAGCTAAAGCGGCCAAAAGTTCCGCATGAGGTAAGGGTTGGCGGCTGAGACTTGGGGGTTGGAGTGAGAAACAATGCTCTGACTCTCGTGATGCATGGCCAGGTCGCCAGAGCGCTGTGCAATATTGCGTGTTGCAAACCAGAGTATTTAGCGACAATGCTGGGCAGCTCTGCCTTGCAATGTAAGTATCTCGGCTGTTGCGCTGTTGATTGTGATGGGTTTTCAGGGCTGGCTCTGCTCAATTCCAAATTCAGACTTTACAGCATGCCTGGAATCGCCCGATTTGCAGCTTGTCTGCCGAGCAATCGACTTTTTTGACATTCTTTGCGGGACGGATCAAGTGAGTTTGGGCATCTTCACTGCAATGAGTCCTTTTCAACAGTTGTGCTGACTCACGCGTTGCCTTTACTTGTGCAGTTGGATGGGTGTGAGTTGGTGCGACAGTCTCCAGCGGCAGCCTTGATTGAAGGACTGCAAAACCATCCTAACGCTCGCATTGGCCAGCTGACAGAGGCTCTGTACTTGAATTTCCTCGAGCCGAAGGTGAGTGCACATCAGTGCGGTCTTTTGATGTTGCCGGTTGTACGCGATGCTGATCATTTTGTGGGGTTGTCTGAACAGGAGGCGGAATACGACGACGACGACCACGATGACCACGACGACGACGACCGATGATTATGCGATACGTCTCACTTTTCACGTAGCGCACACAACTGTTACTATACTGTACATGTACTGTATACTTGCAGACTCTTGTATTACCAAAGCATCCATCAACAGCATTGATCAACAGCATTGATCAACGAACAACGTCCATCCTATTCGCTCCATTCTTGCACATCATTTCCTGCTATTCCGAACTGAACTGCTCTACGTTTCTACGTTTCTACGTTTCTACTCCAAGTCCAGTCCAGTCCAGTCCTCCGATATCTCCAAGTACAGTGCCCAGCCATGTCCGAGTCCATCCTCGATCGCGTCCGGTCGACCTGCGCTGCCGTCGTGCAGGACCCGCTCTGCTGCGTCCGCGTCGACTCATCCGCGCTCGATCGCTTTGTCTCGTCGTCGTCCAGCTTCACTGAGGCTGCCTTTGACGCACTCGCGCGGCCGACGCGGCTGCCACTGCGCTTTGACACGCTCGACCAGGAGCTCAATCTGCACTGCGTGCTGGCGCTGCTCAACTTTGGCCACGGCTTCCGACGCGAGCTGCACGCTGCCGTCGACCGCGGCGCGTGGGAGTCGGTGCTCGTCGGCGTCATGAGCATGCACGTCGCAGGCGCTGCGTTGGATGCGCGCTTCTTTGAGGCGCTGACCGAGAGCGACGTTGCCGAGCACTTCCAGCTGCCCATCATGACCGACCGCCCGCACGAGTCCATCCCGGGGCTCGCCATCTCAAGTCCGTCTGTGCTCAGGCCGTTCATTGCGCTCGTGCAGACCGTGCTCAGAGACACTGGCGCCAGGCTCAGGCAGCTCGGCTACCAGCGGTTGTCGCAGTTTGTGCTCGACACGCTCAAGCCAAGCAGCGCCGCCAGCGCCACCAGCACGGCGGCAGGGCCAAGTGCTGCTGTGCTCGTCGAGCGTCTTGTGCAGTGCTTCCCCGCGTTCGAGGATTGCAGCGTGTTCAACGGCCATCGCGTACTGTTTCTGAAAAAGGCCCAATTCCTTGCTTCGGAGGTCTACACGCTGTTTGGCACCCGCGATCCCGAGCGGTTTGCCTTCAAGGACGTCGACCAGCTCACCGTGTTTGTGGACAATGTCGTGCCTGCCGTCCTTCGTCAGCTGGGCATACTCGTGCTTGCCCCGGAGCTTTGCACCATGATTGACTCGCACGTCGACCTGTCAACGACACGGCGCGTCGAGGGCAGCGCTCCCATTGTCGAGCTTGCAGGTGGAAAGTCGCTCCAGGACGCGGATGTACAACTGCGAGCAGCAGCAGTCTCGGCGTGCGAAGAGATTGTCGCCCTGGCTCGCCAACGCCACCCATGGGCTGCCACGCTCAACGCCAAGCGGCTGGACTATTATTTATGGCGTCTTGGCAAGGAGCCCGGGTATCGCACCGTGACCCGGCACAAGGACCAGACGACCTTTTACTATTGAGTCGAATAAACACGGTGGTTTTTCGCAGGCGTTTTTTTGATTTTGTTTGATTGATTGTGCTTGCCCATCTGTCACATCATCCAAGCTGCTTGCGACTCGTGAATTGGTGTATTGGCGTGAGTGAGGCGATTCGATCGGTCAACACTCGTTCTCCCACTTTGAAAATGTTGCTGTATCGTCAGCATCGCGAGGGTGTTGCTTCCAATCATTCCGCTACTACCTCGGCATCCATTGCTTCTCTCGATGCCGACACATCAATCAGTGGACCCACCAATACAACCTCGGATGTGCAACCAAAGCACAAGCAAAGAACAAAAAAAAAAAAAAAAACACTTTGTTGAAAGCAAAACATGTGCGCTCTTTTTGCTATTCACTGACAAACACAAAACACACTGCAACTATTTATCAACAGGTACTCGCTCGCACACCGCAGCTTAGCACTCCATGGGAATGGTGAGGTACACGGTATGGGCCTCGGCAGAGTAGTGGGTCGCCGGAATCGAGTCCATGCATGTGGGGTCTTCGCACGACGAGTCGCACTTGCGCACGTTGGCATCGTTCTGGTCCTGGAAGTACTCGGTGCAGATGTGGTGGAATTCCTCCACAGTGTGGTTGAACTGCGGGGGCAGATGCGGCACAATGTCGTTGTAGTGGACAATGCGGTACGTGTTCGGGACGTGGATGCCAAAGTACTGCGAAAAGGCCTTGTTGCCCACACGGGGCTCTCCCATGTTGTACATGACGACGTTGTGGCCATAGTCGACGGCGAGCTGAATGGCAGCAAACACGGCCTGCGCAGCGCCGAGAGAGTGACCAGTCACGTAGGTTGTGTACGTGGGATGGCTGGTCTTGAGCTTGGCAAGCTCCGTCAGGAGGCCCTTGGTCACGGTGCTGTTGTACGAATCGTAGAATCCGCGGTGCACGCGGCAGGTCGAGGGGCAGCCGGGGTACGCAAAGTCGGTCTACGGCGAGCAAGAGAGAGTGGAGGGATGGTGTTAGTTTCAACGACACTCAAGAAGGATGGTATGCGCATGTGCTTGCAGTTGATTGAGCACCATTGGAGAGGGGGGGGGAATTGCATGCGCGAATCCTATTTACCTGGAAAAAGTAAAAGTCGTCAATCCAGTTCTGGATGTTGGACGAGCCACGGAACACCACGAGAATGCCTTGGATGGCGTCCAGAGTGCCGACGTAGACTTGGGTGCCAAGAACGGCGTCGGTGATGACGGCTGAAACGGAAAAGTCCTAGTAGTTTGCAGGGCAGAGCAGAGAGCGTTAGAGTGAGTGCGCAGGACATGGATCAATGTCACACTTTGCTGAATGTTGGAATTATGAGAGAAGTGTGATTTTTTCGCCACCATTGAACTGAGACCCGGCTCCAATAGGGGCGAGTGAGTTTTCTCTGAGAATGTGAGAAATGGCAGGGAGTGCCGCCGAAAGTGTCGGCAAAGCACGCACGTTACGCCTTGCGCAATTCGTCCGCCAGTCACCGACGCAAGACGTGTCACTGCAATTGCAGTTCAAGTGGTGAAGACGCAGCAGCCACCCGTCCATCCAGCCATCCAGCCATCCAGCAGCCATCCAGCCATCAGCTGACGAGCCGGGCCAAAGTTGATTTTATTTCATGTTGTTATTTCTACTAACCTTGATGAGCGGGTTTGAGACGCAGGAGGGGCAGTTCCAGGCCTGGAGCTGGGCCGGCGGGCAGTACGCAGACGCAGAGAACGTGGTCATGATGTTGGCGAGGTTCGGGTCGTACGGGAGATCTGTGCCGGAGACAAAGGGAGAGAGAGGGAGAAGATAAGCATAAAAAAAAAAAAAAAAAAACACCGCGAAAAAAACAAAATCAAAGTCGGTCAAATGATCCGACGGCAAAGAGCAAAGAGAGAGCGCCACACACACAAAGCGGGAGAGAGAGGCACAGCGCAATGCAGCATATGGGGTGGGGGTGCGTACCAGTGGCATCCGTCGCAACACGCACGGGGATGGCGGTGGAGCGCTCGGCAGCGAGGAGCACCAGCGCAAACAGAGCAGCAGCACACACGGCAGCAAGACCAACAGCGCGCGCCATTATGAGTGACTGAGGAGCAGCAAGCAAAACAAGGACTGGGCGACAATATAAAAAGTACACACAAGTGATTCTATAATGGAAGCAAGGGCTGGTTTGGTCGCATCAAAGTAAGAGCGGGTGAGGTGGGTTGACCAGCCACTCACACTGCGCAAGCCACAAACCCACATCACACACGCCCGAGTCGGCTTCTGGTGGTGATGGAGTGTGACGAAAGAAAAGGAACCGAAAAAAAAAATCAAGCCTTCATTGAAATTGTAAGGGCGCTGGTGAAGGTCAGCATTATCTCAACGTTTCGAGGAACAAGAATGGTTTCAAAAATAGAGGTTCAGTTGCAGTTTCCTTCATACCTTGAACTCGATGCTGAGTGCTCGTCTGTCGCTCATCAAAGCAGCCCTCCGTGGTGCTGCTTCATGGACTACAACGACTCTTGCGCCGAAACGTCTGCATGGTAAGGTTCTTGCTCCTGTTTTCCGACCACCGATGCCCTCCCGCTTCCCTGTGCTGCTGGTCAATGACAACCAACACGCGGTGTATTTTTATTGTCGTTGTGTGGCGTGCATGCGCGCCAACGTTCGGCCAAGTGCTGTTTCTCGCTTCTGTGCTGAGTTTGGCCTCATTACCGGGCATCAGGGCCCCTGGACTCGCGCTGCGCCCCTTGCCTACAATGCCAACTCCATCACCTGCGTACTAGCAGCTGGTGACTGGTGTGCGTCGTCTCTTTCGGCTTGAAGACTTGTCTCGGCTCCGTTGTTTTTAACCAAATTAAGCGATCATTTTTCTCTTGGCGATCGCAATGCTGCTCGACGTCTCGACTTGAATGTGTGACAGCAAGTGCTACTTGCTTTGAAGAATACTGCCCAATCCATTCACTGCCGCCTGTTCTTGTAGTTGCGCCACCTACTTCAGCCAAGCCGGCGTTTGACGCCTTCCTCTCCCCCTCTGGCGCCGTCCTCCTTCCCTCCTTTGGCGCCCTCCAGTTCCCCACCATTGGCGGCGTCCGCTCCCGTATCGAGAGGAGCTATGAACGCTCCAGCCTGCTCATTTGGCCCCGCAGGTCCCGCTCGACCTCTGCTTCTGGCCCTCCGTCCGGGACCGAAGCCAAAGCCCCTGCTGTAAGCATCCTTATCATGGCCTTGAATTGCATGTACTCAGGCTCACACTGTGTCATCGTTCTAGGCGACTTTCAACCCTTCAGCGGAGGATGAACATGCGCTGATTGGTATGTGTGTGTGTGTGTGTGTGTGTGTGTGTCTGTGTTTTCGCTCACGATTGGTCGTGTGGATTTGTGACGCACGCAGTCCCTTCTGATCCCACAGCACTGATTGCGACGGCAGATGTGCTCCAAAAGGCACTTGAGGCAACATTCCCGAACTTGGCTCCGCGACCTGCTTCAACGATTGTAAGTCGGATGGCGTGTGTGTCCTGTGAACGCATGAGTTACTCACAGCGTTGGAATTGGTAGAAGAGTGCCATGCAAGCGCACAACTACACCCTCCAGGATCGCGAGAGCACGCTTGCATCCCTCTGTGAGCTGGTGACAACATTTCGTCTGCGTGTGCATCAGCGTACCGGCGACCGAACGCACTATCCTGTTGCGCTCGCCGCGGCACTGCCTGGCTGTGGCAAGACTAGGATGTGTTTGGAGACGCTGCAAACTGTTGTGGCCCCAGCATGCCGCTCTGTGACCCAACAGGTTGGGGATGAAAAGGTCTCTCTACCCGAGGTCCCGTACCTATGCCTCTTTTTGACCTTCAGTGGCAGTTTTGGAACGAGCTGGAACCCAGCCACCGAGGAAAAACGCCACCCGGAACATGCCATCGCCAAGCGGCTTTTGGGCAGCTACTTTGCAACCCCTGAGTTGGACACCGTGGCCAACATTTCTGTCAAGGCCGCGATGGATCTGATCCGCGAAACGGAAGCAACGAAACGCACCATTGATCCTGCCAAGCTTCATATCTTCATTGCGATAGACGAGGCCACTCGTCTTCTCGATGCGCTCGTTGATCTCAAGTACGAGTTGGCGGATTGCCAGAGCTTGCGAGCTGTCACGGGCGACAAAAAGCCTGAAGCGGACATGCAACTTGCACGACGATTCTGGACTCAAGCTCTGGGTCCGCTGCAGGGTATTTGCCGGACTTTCCGGACCCCAACGTGGATGATGGTTGCTGGCACCAAGTCGGAGCAGCTGAGCAGTGCGATTTCTCTTGTACTCGGTATTGGCTCCACTATCCCCGTTGCGCCGGTTGATGTTGCTCCCCTGTCTGGGTCAGCCACGGCCGGCTTGCTCGAAGAGCTCGAGCAGAACGCGCTCGCGGAAGGGAAAATTGTGTCTCCCCACTGGCGGTTTGACGGACAATTGATGCGCAAGATTCAAAATGTGGCTGGTTTGCCCAGATCCGTCATTGCACTGACCACTGGAGCACATCAAGTGAACGATAGAAGAACTGACACTCTCAGACAAACAAACATCAGCTACAGCACGTTCCTCAACCTCATGTCACTCTGCGATGGTGCGCGTGACATTGGTGCGGACGAGTTGGAGACGCTTGGCATTGTTGCGGACGAGTTGGTGACGCTTGGCTTGCTCTTCAAGTCACGCGACAACCAGCTACTTTTGTTTCCACGAGTGGACTTGATTAGTTTGATCGCCCACGGTACGCGGTCGTCGGGTTTTGTTCGCTGTTTCACAAGATTTCCTGCATTCGTCTCACAGCCTTCGTGTTGATTTGTTTCAGACGGCCTGAACGGTCCTTGGGTCGACGCGACCAACGAATTACTCAAGACGCTCAAAAGCTTTGAGTCAATCGCCACGACTGGCCAGTGGCAAGGCTGGGAGCTGTTCTGTGTCACGATCTTGAATCTGCGCATCTTGCTGGCGGTCGCGTTGACTCTCAAAAAGGATCCCGATGCTCAGTGGGTGTCGATCGGAGCTGCTCTTCCTGGAACCGTCCCTGGCCCTTCTCCCCCCAACTTGTTCGTCGACGCGCAAGTTTGGCGCCGCAGCTATTTCGCGGAAACTAACGGAAAATTGACGCCAGCTCCGGCCGAAGGCCGCATCACCCTCTGCCCTGAAAACCGCCAAGGTGTTGACGGCTGGGCCATTGTCCATGAGAAGATCGATGTACGCCATTCGCATTCTTGGCTGTGAAGGATGCGTGAGGGCTTTGACTCATTTGGTGGGTGACACTTTAGGGAAAATATCAGCCAGTCACTTTGGCCCTGCAGTGCAAGCTGCATCAAGTCGAGTCGACCACGCCGCAAAAAGACCAGAATCTCTATCTGCAAAAGGCAAGAGCCGCACTGCCGGACGATCAACAGCAGTCAGCGGTCGTGGCGTTGCTGACAACGTCGCGCATGGCCAGGCTCAGCTCAGACAAGCTCGAACCACGATCGTTTGTGTTGGACCGAGACGGGATGAAACAGTTCACTTCCGGCTTTAACGCTATTGCTGACAGTAAGTGGCTTTGGGCGCGATACCGCTTTGTTTCGTTGCCTGTGACTCACTTGCTTGCGAACTTTAGTCTTTTGGAGCTACAACCCGCACCTCAGCAGTGTCGCTCGCATGGCGACTGAGTTCTACGCGGACACAACAACCTTGGAGCAGGCCCGCAGCATGGCTAAGGTCGTTTTCCATAGTCGAGCATCGATCAAGTTTGAGCGTGTGAGCGACTTGCGCCAGTTCTTGGAGGCGAGGGCCGGCAAGCCGATCAAGGTGACATGGACCGAAACCGATGATGATGGCAAGACGACCGCTTTCACAGAGACAGTGGAGTACCCGCTCGCAGCCGTTCCAAGCGACAAAGTGCTCCAGTGGCCTTATGCTCTTGAGCCTGCGAGCTCACCGCGCTCGCTGAGATCGACGACCAAACAAACTGCCAAATCGCGAAATCGCAAATTTTGAAGTCATCAGCAGGAGGTCTGATCCTTCGCATCTCTTCAGCTTTTGTGTAACCGTGTTGTTGTTGTTGTAGTTGTTGTTGTAGTTGTTGTTGTTGTTGTTGTTGTTGTTGTTGTTGTTGTTGTTGTTGTTGTTGTTGTTGTTGTTGTTGTTGTTGTTGTTGTTGTTGTTGTTGTTGTTGTTGTCGTTGTTCTTGTTGTTGTTCATTGTTGTTGTTGTTGTTGTTGTTGTTGTTGTTGTTGTTGTTGTTGTTGTTGCTTTGTTATCTGTTTAAAGCGTTTTTAGAAATAACAAAGAAAAAGGAACGTAGGATATGAGACAGTTGAATGTCGTCAAAATGCACGCCAACGAAGGCATGCGGGTAGAGTGCTCAAAAGCTCGCAAAGCAGCTCGAACAGATGATCACCCGAACTGACAATGGAAAGGATCAGGCATTCCCCACCTATACTCGTACCCATTCGTTTCCGTAACCCACCTCTGCTATCGAGTTGATGAGGTATCAACGCGCCAGCCATATGCGAATGGAGCTCTTAAACGATGCCATCATCCTGAAAGTGTCAGTCGATTTCCGTTGTTTTTCAATGTCGTTCAAGCGCAACCCGCAAACGGCTCCGTTTCCACCGGCCACAAGTCGGAAGGCGAATGCACGTCGCGCATCTGAAGCACTTTCAGATGCAAGTGAAGTGAGGCCGCCGAAACAGTCAACACTGGAAGCCGTAAGTGGACAAACGTTGCCTGTGTCTTGGCAGTTTTGCGCGCCGTTTTGGTGTTTGGTTTCTTCTCGAATACTCTTCACCCACCGACTCACGCACCCATCCGCCCAGTCAATTTCCTTCCCCGTGCAACACATTAAAGGCTTTATTCTAGAGCCGCCAAACATGGCATGGCCTTTCCATTCCGCCCAACCCACCTTTTTCCCGTCTTTTTTGAAACTCTGGAGTTTTAACCTTCACCGATGTCTTGGTAGGACGACATGTTTGGGCAAACACGCGGCAGAGTCTTCCCAAGCGCTCGAAAATCGAGCTCAGCTTTGGCGCGTGCAAAGCGGGCGTCAACTTTCACAATAACGATTGACGACACAGTGAGTGGGAAATGTGCAGTTTCTGTTGAAGGTTGAAGCTGACGATGTGTGTTCAGGCAGGGTGCTGGTCTAGCAACCAACAGCAGCCAGGCTGCGCCAGTGCAAGTCAGTGCTCAAAGATGCTTGGTTTCTGAGATGGATTGGTGGTTTGCTCCTCAGACTGACAATTGCATGTTTTGTCCACAGGTCCCTGCTCACCTCACAGCCGAGGAACAACAGCAGTCACTTCTTCAAGCGCCATTCCGTAAGCGCCGTTTGACGAGATTGGTGCGAGCTGTTTCGACTAATGTGTGCGCGCTCATGAACGCATGCTGGAACTTCAGGAGAGCTGAAAAGCACGCCAGCCATGATCCGCGATTCGCTCCGTGGCCTGATCACATTGGAGCGAAAGCAACCAAAAACCGTACGTTTCTAGTCGAGCTAGATGACCGAATTGTGAAGTTTGTCTAATGGTGTTGCTCTGCAGGACAGCTACACACGACTGACGGAAACCTCCTCCTCCATCGAGGCGCTGCTGAAGAAACGTATGAAAAAGACACTTGCAAACGACACCGATCCACTTGAGCATCGGTCGTTTCTTGCTGCCACAATCCCTGGTACAGGGAACTCGTGTCTGTGCGACGCGTTTGTGCATCAAATTGCCCCGGAAGCTCATCGTTACAGAGAAAACGATCCGTTGTGCTTATCCGTCTCTTTCGACGGTCCTTCCGGTTTCGACTCTGCAAACGACTGGACAGTTCTCAAGCAAGCCAATCCGGAGCACGCTCTGTCGACTCGCCTGCTGGCTGCCTACTTTGAAATTCCCCCGAGGTTTTTTCAGGACAACTTTGAACAAACTGGCAGCTTCCAGGTCGCTGCTACGCTCCAGTTCATCCAAGAGTTTGAGTCCTCGGCTCGTAACGACAGTCAGCAGCCCACGAGTCATGATCAGCTGCCGTGGCTTGCCATCGCTGTTGACGGAATTCAACAGTTGCTTGGCTCAACGCTCAACGTCAACGTCAGCTGCTGGACAAGACTCTCGCGTCACTCAAGGCTGCCGTTCAGCGCCCTTTTTTTTTTTTTTTTACCGTCTAAAGCGTTATTAAGAATAACAAAGAAAAAAGAACGTAGGATATGAGACAGTTGAATGTCGTCATAACGCACACCAGTGAAGGCATGCGGGGAGAGTGCTCAAGAGCTCACAGAGGAACTCGAACAGATGATCAGCCGGGCTGACAATGGAAGGATCAGGCATTCCCCACCTATACACCACGAAAGACATGTTGCTAGCCATTTCGGTTCACTAACAAGTAGACGGCTGGCAGGCGGTGGGACAGCACACTGTCAGCGCCCTGCAGCGCGGCTCGTTGTGCTTTACGCTGGCACTTTGTCCGACGACCTCACCACTGGCCTGATTGAGTCGCTCCACTCTCAAACCTCTGCTTCAAGCAAATACAACGTGGATGAGGAGGAGGTGCCTGAATCCCAGCGCGTGGATGCAAACCTCGAGAGCCAGTTGCATCCTTCCGGTGGCATACCATGCCACATTGAGAAGGTTCTCGGTGTGTTGGCAAGTGGCGCGGCGGCTAAACTCTGTCTGAATGCCCGCACGTTTATCGAACTCGTGCACTTCTGTGCGTTCGACGCGTTCTCGATCAATCCTTCAAGTCTGGATGCCCGAACTCGCTCTTGGATTAACATAGGATGTGCTTTCGTCGGTCAGTTGGCTGGTTGTCACACTTCAAGATGCTGGATTTGACTGATTGTTGTGTTGACTCCTTCCGTCTTATTGATGACAAACGACAGCGTGCGAGAAGGACAGCAGAGGGTCGTTGCAGTTCAATTTGCACGACAAGATAAAACTTGGTGAGGATTTCTGGAAATGCTTTTGTGACCTGAGAAACGACAAGTTGACGCGCTCGTTGAGTGTTTGCAGATCTGCGTTCGGGTGACGTCTCACCGACATGTGACTCGCTCGAACAAACTGTGCGCTGCGCCTACGTCCTTGTCGATGGACTTCAGCGCTGGCTGGACCGTCACTTCTCGTATTGTTATCATACTGCAGTTGCGTGGGAGCATACTGTGGGCATCCTTTTCAGCTTGCGATTGATTGTACTTGTCGCCAAAGCACTGCTGGATCATGCTGACGCTTCGAAGCAGCTTGACAGTTCAAAGCTTGGCGTTGCAACGAAGCTTGGTGCTTCAAAACAGGCAGACGCTTCAACGCTTGGTGTTTCGAAGCAGCTTGACGCTTCAAAACAGCTTGACGCATCAGACCAGACCGGTGCACCACAGCTGCCGGCTCACATGGACGTACCACTGAGTCGGCTGCTACCTGGCGTCAAGTTTGGTGCGGGATGCGAGGATCTCCAACTGCGATTGACACTGAGCGATTGGAGAAAAGACATGAAGTGCATGACAAAGATCAACAATGCTGAATGTTCACTCGCGACTCACATTGAGCCGGCTATTGACTGTTACATGCATGCTCAAGTCGTCGAGAAGGTAAGTTGCCAAACCCTACCGCCCTTTTGTGGTTTCGATCTTTACTCACGGTTGTTGGCAAAATGTGATTGCAGACTAGCGGCAAACTGCGTCCGGCAGTCCTTGGACTGCAAGTAAAGCATCATGAGTCTCTTCGTCTCACCACCCAAGACGAGATTGAGAGACTGGAAACAAATGCTCGGAGGGAACTCGCCCGAAAGTACTAGTACTATCCCCCGAAAAAGTTCGTGAAGAATGGCATTCCACCATGTTCCCCTCCTCCACGTGAGCCCGCTCCTTTGTTAATAGATGGGTGCTGTGTGGCTGACACTATTTTATCGAAAATTTGCCTCCTCCAAGGTGCATGTGAGGGAGGAGGCGAGAAAAACTGCGATTTTTGTGAAGAAACAAATCTGAAAATTTCTGTATTTTTTCAAAATTTGCGGTATAACCGCCCGTTCCACCCATTTCAATCCAACCAAACCACTTTAATAACAAACATAACCATGACTCACATCATAAAATGCATGGATGCTCTCGGAGATAGAGCTGATGAGGCGGATGTAATGTGTTGGACTGAGCACTTTGTCGCTCACGTTTCGGAAGCACTCTCGAACCACGACTTGGTCCGTCGTCTCTGCACCTTGGTAGTTTTCTTTCCTGACCATGGTACATGAGTTTGCGATATGATACAGGTCGGGGGAGTTGGGAGGCTAGTCGGGCACGTCGACTTTGGGGTTTTTCAACCACCTGGTCACAACCTCTTTCTTGTGCCAGGGCGCATTGGTTTGATGGGATACGAAGTTTTTACCCTCTGGTGATGTGCAACGGGTGTACTTCAACTCATCATTGAGAAAGGACAGATAGGGGAGCGAGTTCATGCGGTCTCCGACCTCACGAAAGTGGGACACGGCGAAACGAGAAATTTTTGGACAATCGTCAATTTGCCACCCTTCCACACTTCACTTGCGGCTGGACGACCCTGTGGTCGAGCAGCTGCCCGGTTTCATGCGCACATGTTTGAACACATGCGTTGCTATACCCGGACAGCAGTTTCGCCTGAGGAAATGACGTTGAGCCACTGCTTGGCGGCATAATGCAAATGCCGTTTGGCGAAGCAAAAATCTTGTTTTGCTCGCATTTTCGGCGACCGCGACTTTTCGTACTTGACTCGGTACTTGAACCCCCGCCTACCCAGTTCCTTTTGAGCATAAGCTGTAGATGACATCATTGTCGTCATTTTGAGGGTAAAAGCGGCGATCTCAGAGGCAATGGGGGACTCTCCGGACTGAAATTGAGCTGGAAAAAGGGGGCAAAATTGGGCAGTAACCTCGAGTTTTCAGCCAAAGCTCGGCTTAGTTGCAAACCTGCCGCCCGCCTTGCACACACGAGTGTACCTGAACATTCTTCGGTACTTCAGACCAATCTGGGCGGCGATGGCGGGCCGAGGGACGCTGGACTCTCATCGAGCATTCACGTTAACACACATGATCCCAGGGCCCGGCCTTCCCTCCATCAACGGCACCAAACTCGCCTTGTTGGGTTTTGGAAGTGATCCTAAGCACTTGTGCAATGTGCAGGTAGAGGGTGGAGTGGAATGACATGATTTTGGTGGTGGAAAGCATGAATTGATTGAAAAGTGGCAAATTTTTCGTGAAACAAAATTGCCAAAACTTCTTCTTTCCCGCCTCCCTCCTTCTCGTACGGAGCTCAATCTTCCAAATGACAGTGGATTTAGTATGTGCACATGCTATGACAACTACTGTAGGGGGATAGGGCGGGGCATGGGTGCCGGAACATAGTGAACTACCATTCTTCACGAACTTTTTCGGGGGATAGAGAGGGCCTCCCTAAAAAGACTCAGTCCAAAAACCATTGCGCCCCCACCCTAAAAAGACTCAAACCCGATTATCTCGGCTTGTATTCCTCCCACCCCGCCGCCGTCTTCGAATATCAATGAACACTCATTCCAGCTACAAGGAAGACATGGTCAGACGGGCGCAGGAGCAACTTGAGGTCGGCCTCGCCCAGATTGCGACCGCGTCTCCCTTCCGCCAGAGGCTCCTGACGAAGGCCACCGCCCTCAAACTATACTATTTTGACCCGTTCCTATCCACTACGGATGTCGGCGGAGCTCCGGGAGCCTCCGCCGAGCGAATCTGGACGACCCGCCAAATCGCCCATGCGCTGGGTCGATCGCAGTCCATGATCGCCCGCTGCATCAAGGCCCACGCCAACCTCGCTTCTGACATTCCTGGAATGACCTTAGATGAGTTGGCTGACGTTCTGCGCGAGGATCCCATCCAGGGACAAGGCTACGTGTTCACCGTCCCCGAGGAGCAAGAGCTCGTCGAGTTTGTCAAGCGGTGCTGCTTAGGAGCTGTCTCTCTGAGCAAAACGGAATTCACTCGATATGTGCTTGCAGCCTCGAAGGTGCCGAGGCCGGACGGCGTGGAAAGACGTCAATTTGAGCACGACAAAGTTTCCGACAAGTGGGTCAATGATTTTGTCGCCCGTCACAGCTCACAGATTGGCTGGCGCAGTAGCAGCGTGTTGGAAACACTTCGAGTGGCTGCTTTGAGTGAAAAGAAGCTCGGCAGTTTGTTCGCGCTACTGGCGGAGTACAGCAATCTTTACCCGACTCTTTTCGCTACGCCGGCCAATATTTTCAACATGGACGAGTCGGATTGCTCTGTGGGTCGTAAAAAGAAGCGTGCCCTGGCTGCTGTTGGTGTCAAGCGTGTCAGTCGGCGATCTGGCCGAACCATTACGATGGGACCGCATGTTACTGGTCTGTTTACTGTTTGTGCTGATGGCACCGCTCCTGTTGCGCCCCACTTCATTGTCGCGCATCCACGGCCCACTCTACCTCACAGGTGCACCGAGGGCCTGGACGAGGAGTTGATTCACCAGTCCGAGTCCGGCTTCATCAACGAGGAAATCTTCGACAAGTGGTTTCGAGATTTCGTCGAGGTCGTCAAGGAGCGAGCTACCACCACCCCCGTTCTATTGGTGATGGATGGCAGCTCGTGTCACAAGTTCACTGTCGGGTTGATTGACCTCGCGGTGAGCAACAACATCCTGGTTGCGATCCTTCCATCGCACACGTCGACTCACTTGCAGCCGCTCGACGTCACCGTCTTTGCCTGGTACAAGAACTTGCTCGAGACTCACGTGCAGTCGATTTTGGATGAAGACTCGCCACTCATCGACGTGAACATCAAGCTTCACGGGGCCATTCGGGCGTGGAACGAAATTGACGACCGATCCAACTTGATCCGATCTGGGTTTCGCCAAACTGGTATCTATCCGCTGGACACGGAAAAGCACAAGACCCTAGCGTTGCCTTCCGTCGCTGACGTTGCCGTGTCTACGACCCCCTCGCTGCACATTCCCGAGCCA